AAGTCAGTATAGAAAATTTGTCATACAGAGAAAAGTGATTTTTATGAACATTATTTCAAAGTGTTAAAAATTCTCTGATTTCATCCCTAATTGAATTGCAAGTTTCAGTATAAAATTGAGTTGTATTTTATAATATGACTAAGACACAATGCACATCAAACACAGAAAAAACAATTGCATTATCCATCCCAATAGTATTTGTCCAACACCCAGATTGTGAAATAACAACATACAATGCTTTATATTTGAGGCAGTAAAAAAAGAACCAACTATATAATGTCAATCTCTACTAAGTGAAAAGTTAGAAAGAATTCAGGTTATACCAAAAATCAATGCAGATTGTGACATAACTACATACAATGCTCTTCATCCCAATTGTATTTATCCAACAACCATATTGTGAGAGAACTGCATACAAGTGCTCTACATTAAAGGTAATAAAAAATGAAGCAACTATATAATGCTAATCTCTACTAAGTGAAAAGCTAGCAAGAATTTAGGTCATCTGCATTTGATACCAAAAATCATCTCCATCATCTTTTATACATTGGAACTGCATGTGGCAATCATTCATAGGTGATGGTTATTCCTTCCAAGCTTTCTTTTATAGCATCATTCCTAATAAAAGCCAATATTAGACTTGCCTATTTCATCTTTTCACCAAACCCAATGAATCGAATATGTTTAATATTTGTCAAACACCATGCCACATCATCTCTTGGGGAATTTCAATCAAACTTCTTGCTCTATGGAACATCTTTCTTATTTACCATTTCGAGATCCAATCTTTGTCCATTATGAACATGTGAGAGAAAATATGGCATGAACACCCAACCATAAGAATTTGCTATACACAACCTCACGCTCATGACATGATGGAAATGGGAAAATGTCTTTTCAAAACTTGTCCTGAATTGCATCTTCATTATGATAAAAAAATGTAGTCCATGCAACTCCAGTTAAATGTAAAACTTAGTGCTTGCAAAGATAAAATCAGCGTATTAATCAATAACAATAAATACATTTCATTCAAAATTGAAAATACAAAATTGAAACTAAATCATACTCCAAAAGCACCATCTCCAACAACTAGCGAGATAACATATAGTGTCGCTTTATTAATTGTTGAAAAGACTTCTCAAGAAAGATGAAGAAGTTGCCTCTTTGCTTCATAGAAGCGGCTTTGCAACCTTGTTCATTAGAGAGAATAAAAATTTCCAATCTTAAACTTTACGAATAGCGACTCATCGAGATGAAGAAAATTTAGTTGCGAAGCATCAATTTTAACTTCATAGAGGTTTCCAGCTGAAAGGTACACTTTATGTCCTTTATCAAGCTGTAGCTTATGAAGATGCAATTTAATTTTTAGTCTTAAGAGACTCTTGAGACCTTATTTCGAATTTTTGTTTTTGCTTAAGGAGTCTCATGATTTTTCCTTGTATTTGTAGATCCTGGAATACCGGACACTTCTTGTAGAAGTCAAGGATATATGCGTGTGATGACCGAGATATAATGACTTGTATAATGCTCAATCTCGTGAAAGTCCTTGTAAAAGGAGTCTTTGATATTAGCCCATGGGTTCTTTTGGTTTGTTTAGACTGTTGTTGAAAGTGTATGAACTTATCTTGTGTGTGCTAAATGATTTGAGATATTTTGTGAATTCGTTATGTAGGTGGATTTTGTGTTTGGAGCCAATTACAGGGGAGACTTTGTCAGATTTTCGGTAGAAGTCAAACCCCAGGATGGTTTTGAATATAGGCAAAAGGGGTATTTCAGTAAATTGGGCCTGACACATGCCAGGTGTCGAACAGGTGCAAGGTTCGGCATGGGCACAAGTGAAGATCCAAGACCTATCTTCGTTAGTGCACTTTTGAACCCTAGTAAGATGAAGCATATCATCAGCTTCTACTTGAATTAAATATGCCTTTACATGGACATACAAGGAAATGCCAAGCCTCGATCCAAAAGTTGTTGTCCATCACCTTGCATTCAAGCTCGGAACGCGTCCGATCAAACAAACTTAACGTTTCTTCCGCCCAGAGCTTCTAGGTTAAATTGAAGCTGAAGTTGGCACGTTGATCATCGCATGATTTATTAGGGAGGTAAAATACCCAACGTGGATCATGACCATTGTTTTTGTGAAGAAGAAGACAACTAAACAAATTCGTACTTGTGTTGACTTCCGAGATTTAAATAAGGTTTGCTCGAAGGATGACTTTTTGTTGCCCATAATTGAGCTCATGGTATATGCAACTACAAGCAATGAAGCTTTATCTTTCATGGATGGTTCATCCTGATACAATCAAATAATAATGTTGCAAGAGGATGACGAACTCATAGCTTTCCGCACTCCGAAAGGAAATTTATTGTTACAAGGTAATACCATTTGATCTTAAAAATGCATGTGCGACCTATCATCATATATTGCATAGGATCTTTAGTGACATGCTTCACAAGAATGTCGAGTGCTATGTTGATGACTCGGTGGTCAAGTCAAAGAGAAAAGAAGATGACTTGAAGGACCGAAGAATGGTGTTCAACAGACTGCGGAAGTAGCAACTCAAGATTAACCCTTTGAAGTGTGCTTTTGGACGAGTCTAAGATTATAGGTATCCAAGACATTCACGAGCAAAGAATTTTACGTAAGTTGAAGAGTTAATAAGGACATTTTGCTTGTATTTGATGATTCATCTCAAACTTAGCAAGGTGGTGTTAACCGTTAGTTGTCTTATGAAGAATGATGTCTCGTTCGTTTGGGATGATGCTTGTCATAATGTCTTCGAGAGTATAAATAAGTATTTATTGAGTACACCATTATTATGAGCTCCTATTCCCAGCAAGTCATTCTACTATTTATGTTGAACCCTTACTGGTCCCGAACTAAACTACACAGCCATAGAAAAGACGTGTCTTGCACTTGTTTTTGATATTCAAAAGTTAAGGCAATACATGCAAGCATGCACAATCCATCTAAGTGCATGAGCTAACCCAGTCAAGTATGTTATTTCAAAACCAATTTTGACAGGGTGCTTCGCCAAATAGTGACTCCAAATTAGTGATCAACCAACTCTCGACGCATTACTAGGTTAGGAAAATGTGAGAGCAAATATGGCATGAACACCTAACTGGAAGAATTTGCTATACACAACCTTAGGCTTGTAACAAAATGAGAATGAGGAAATGTCTTTCCAAACTTGTCCCAAATTGGAGCTTCATTATGATTATTAAATAAAAAATAAATAAAAAAGGTAGTCGATACAACTCCACTTAAATGTAAAAATTAATGTCTGTAAAGATAAAATCAACACATTAATCAATAACAATACATACAATTCATTCAAAATTGAAAAAAAACAAAACTGAACTAAATCATACTCCAAAAGCACTATCTCCGACAACTAGCGAGCTAGCATATAGTGTCGCTTTGTTAATTGTTGAAAAGACTTCTCGGGGAAGATCGAGAAGTTCTCCAACTTCTCCTAGTTGCCTCTTCGCTTCATAGAAGCCACTTTGTAGTCATACTTCTTGGAGAGAATTGAAATTTCAAATATTAAACTTTACGAAAAGCAACTTATCGATATGAGCTTTTAGTTGCTGAGCATCAATTTCAACTTCATAGAGGTTTCTAGCTAAAAGGTGTACTTCATGTCCTCTATCAAATTGTAGCTTATGAAGATGCAGTTTAATTTTTAGTTTTAGGAGACTCTTTAGACCTTTTTTGGAATTTCTATTTTTTGTCAAGGAATCTCATGAATTTTCCTTGTATTTTCAGATCCTGGAGCATCGGACACCACTTGTAGAAGTCAAGGACATATGCATGCAATGACTAAGATATATCGACTTGTATAACACTCAATCTCATGAAAGTCCTTATAAAGGGAGTCTATGATATTAGCCCATGGGTTGGTTTGGTTTGTTTAAATTGGTTTAAAGGGTGTGACTTATTTTGTGTATGGTGAATGATTGGGGATACTTTGTGAATTCTTTATGCAGGTGGATTTTGTGTTTTGAGCCAATTATAAGGAAGACTTTGTCGGATTTTCAGCAGAAGTCTAACCCCAAGGTGGTTTTGAATTTAGGCAAAAAGGGTGGTATTTTAGTAAATTGGACCCGACACACTTGCCAGGTGTCGAACAAGTACAAGATTTGTCATGGATTCCATGGGGAATCCATATTTTACATAACATGTTTGGCTTTATGGCATATTTCCAACCGGTTGTATATCATTTTTTGTTGAAAAGATTGTAGATCCTTTTACTAAGCATGAGATGTCCCTTTTGTACTGCCTTTGATGTAATTCAATTAGGACTCGAAGATTATTTCCTTAATTGAAATTATCGTATGACTTCTCTTAATTTCAAACTGTAGATAAAAAGGGTCAGTTGGATTAGTTGTCACTTGTGACACGTGTGGATATCCGGCGAAGTGCATCAAACGATTCAAATTGAAGAAAAATTAAATGGAAGAATTATAAATTTAGGAGTAAGAAAAGTAATAATAATGTGTCTATCAGCCTGCATGAGCCTAAACTGCCCATGGCACCACCCAAAAAAAAAAGGTTTGTTGGATTGAAAATACAAAAGGGTGATCCAAGCAAAAGTTAGAGCATAATAAAGTTTGTTGAATTGAAAACAACCGAAAGGGCGACTCAAGCAAAAAATAGGACCAAAAAAAGTCCATTGAGTTGAAAACCCCAAAAGGCAAAAAAAAAAAAAAAAAAAAAAAAAAAAAAAAAAAAAAAAAAATACATGAACTTGAAGTGATGACTTGATCCCTTTTCATTGACTGTATGTAGGCAATTTGAAAAATTAACTCCAAGTTCAGTCAACATCAAAATAAGAAAAAAGGTTTCTCCATGAATCCGAACCATAAGAAGAAATGATGAAACGAGGGAATGCTTTTATTTCAATATGAAGGTCAACTAGTAAACATAAATACTTTGTCAACATTGAAAATATTTATAAACGAAGCAAAGAAAGTTTACAAAAAACAAAAAATTGTTATTCCCAAGTCAAGTCTCTAAAGCCATTACGCAGCCTCTCAAATGAAGCTTGTAGTGTGTCCAAAGCCTCAACATCAACATGAGATAAAACATGAATCTTTTCAATCACAGTCTTCTCCTCCTTTAAATGGGTAAGCTCATCGTGATGTTGTGAAAGCTGCGCATCACTCTTTGAAAGTATTCATTGAGTTGACAAAGTCTTAACTCCAACTGTTCTTGTTATCTCTTCAACTCCTCCATATGCATGTTTACAGAATAAACAGCATCAAGTATGGATAGACGATGAATCTCCTCTGCTTGTTGCGGAGACAAAGTGATAGAAAGTGAAGAGTCAACATCAGCTAAAAGATCACTTTGAACCTCCGGAGATAACTTTTGAGAGTAAGTAGAATGCATGGACGAATAATCAATTGCGGTCACCATAAGTGCATCAACCAAAGCTCGTAAGGATAAATAGTTCACTCCAACATTTTGTCAATGGTAGTAAACAATTTACCAAGTTCTTCCTTAAATGAAGGAAGCCTTCAAGATTATGCTTTTTACTTGATTTCCTAACATGGAAGCTATTTTGCGAACCACAACACCTAATTTGGGTTACCCATATGACCTTTCAGAGATAGATGCTTGATTGGTCGATCTCGATAGATGTTGTTGCGCAAGCGAACCTACATTAATTGACGAATAATAGTTAAGTGGTCTCCAACACTTATAAACATTCGTAGCAACAAAGATTTGAATAATACCTCTTAGACTGACACTTGAACCATTTATAGGTTGCAAAGTATTCTTTATCCTTTCTATAGGTAAGGTATTAAATGGTCGAAGCTCGGACAAAATAGGAATATATACACGACTCCCCTGAAAAAAAAAAAAAAAAAAAAAAAAAAAAAAAAAAAATATTAATGACGGGTCCGTGATGAGTCAAAATGAAATAATTACATACCTAGTCTATTAGAACTGGTGCAAAATAGCAGCACATCACCAAAAAATGTGTCATCAAGCGGGTATACAGTGTCGAGGTTGCAATAGAGAGATCCGATATTTGCCTTCTTATGCCTGAAGTTGACTTCATCGTATTCATTGCTACTTACATATGTCCTCTTCAAATTGTGAATTCGTCAACCGAAAGGAACATACTCTTCATGAGAATCTGCTACACTTTATGTGTTTTCTAAATTGTTAGGGACCCGAAGTTGAGGAACATCAACTGGAGGTGAGTGTTGAACTCAAGGTGCTAGAGTAGTGGAACTGCCTTCAACTTCTGGATGAACTCTGTGCACCTTACCACATATGGGTTTATAGTGAAAAAGGGTCTCGTTATCTTGAGACCTAAAAGATTTCAATTGAGATAAAGATAACGACTTGCTTGTAGATGAGACTTTCTTCTACTTCGTTGATTCAAAACAATGCACCTTTGACCACCAAACAACATAATCAGAAGTGACTTTAAATTCCCAAATATTGTCCTTAGCATGTAAGGTTATTGTAGATACGGTGTGGGCTATAAGGTTGGATGACCTGGTAATTGTCATGTCATAGATAAATGTATCATGAACAAGGGCATATCAAATATGTGAAGTCTTCCTTGAGAATATGATTTTCATCAGTCAGTTGTTTACACTCTGAAAACACTTTTCCCATACGGCTGATTTTCACTTTATCAAAAGTCTGTAACAAAGCTCGATCTTCTGAATAGTTAAAATATTTCGCCAAAAGTCCTCTTGAGAACCTTGCCATGATAGGAGTAGACTTCTCAGAAGATGAAAATAAAAAAGGTGTGTCGAAGTATTCAAGCCACCCATACACATAATGGAAAGGAAGAACAGTTGCACAATCCCTTGAATCATCTACATTATAAATTTCTTTCAACCTCTTATAAATGCTAGCCAACATTGGAATTGCTAGGCTGAAGGGTACACATTGCGTCATTTGACTAGCAACTTTGAAAACCCTAGTCTGATCAAAGTAACATCATCCTTGGGAAATACGAATTTGCATAACCAATAACTAAGGGAAGCAGTCAAGTATGATCTTTCTATATCTTCATCGGTTATACCCAAATCTTCAAAAAACCATTGCTCCCCGCTAGTGTGTTTCGATGCCACTGCAATAATACCAAACGGATTAGTGTCTTCCTTCGGATTTTGTGATTTATTCCTTATGTTTTTCCTCGAAGGCCTTTTGTACTTGAACAGCTCCCGATACTAGTATATTATCGAAGTAGTCATCCTTACTCTAGATTTTCCTTTAGCATCCTATAACAACGCTTGGAACAAATGTAAGGTGAGCATTTTTGGTCTCTTTTGTTGAGACTATCTATGCTTGGAACAACCTCATCATAAAAGCGACCTATAATAGGAAGACCGCCGATTTCGTGAAGATCCCAAAGGGAAATAGACATTTCTCCTTGTGATGTATGAAGAGTATTTGTCGCTGGATACCAATACTCACAAAAGGCTTGGATGAGTGGAGCATGCTGATCGTAGCTAAATAATGAGGCGAATACGGCATTATACAGATCGATACTCTTGAGAACTTGAGTGTTTCTACTTAACACATCTTCAAGCCATTCCGAGTAATACTCGGTAAATGTAGATTCACCAGTCGTTAGGAGGATAAAACTCCAACTCAATGCTCCATTATGGATTTGGTTGCTAAGAAGTGCGAATGCCCCTAATGAATCGGTCTATGTATGATGTGAGGTCTTTAATTGTAAAACTTTAGAGTGAAGGTATCTACTTGTAGACTTAGACTTTTTTGAAATTGCTCAGTTGACAAAACATCTCTTGAGATGAAGACGGGGTATGGAGAGAATCGTCTACTTTTGGCACCTCCGAAGCTAGGGTGGGCGCGCCTACAAGTAATGTAGTTCCTTCGTCCCAAGCATCACTTTCATCCTCGAGAATGATAATAGTACCTTTGTTGAAACATATGAAAAATTTCATCTTTATAAGATGGATGACATGAAACGACAATAAGTATCAGGCTAATGACTTAATACTTAAAAGAATGGAGAAGAAACAAGAAAAGTAAAGGGGACGTGCTTACTTGCACAACCTTAGGAATCCTGATACAGATGGAATACAACAAGAAGTTATTTTCACTCGTCCTCCAATACGTAAATCCTAAGGGCTTGAACGGGCTGTCACCAAGTCGGAGAGATAGATCAAACCCCAACAGTATAAGAAGCCTACATTCTTCACTCATCCTCTAATACGTAATGCCTAAGCGCTTGAACGAGCTATAGGACATCTACGTTCTTCACTTGTTCTCCAATACATACAACCTAAGCACTTGAACGGATCATCACCAAGTCGGAGAGATGGATCAAACACTAAGCGGTGTAGGACTTCTACGTTCTTCACTCATCCTCCAATATGTAAAGCCTAAGCACTTGAGTTGATTATCACCAAGTCAGAGAGATGGATCAAACCCAAGTAGTGTAGGAAGTCTACATTCTTCACTCGTCCTCCAATACGTAAAGCCTAAGTGCTTGAGCAGGTTATCATCAAGTTGGAGAGATGGATTAAACCCAAGCGGTATAGGACGTCTACGCTCTTCACTGGGCTTCCACTACGTAAAGCCTAAGCGCTTGAGTGGGTTATCACCAAGTTGAAAGAAATGGATCAAACCCAAGCAATTATGACGATTATGTCCTTCGTTTGTCTTCAAATTGCTATATATATATATATATCAATGCCATATAAACAATACAAAAAAAATGTATGTTGGGCAAAAAGAAAGGAAAAAGAAAGTTATAAGTTTGCTACTTCGACTAGTGGGTCATGTTATAGTTTGATAGGTGTTCTTCTCAAAATTGATCTGGATGTGTCCCACTAGCAAAATAAGCGAAACAAAGACATGTCCTAGGTGCAAAGAGAAATAGTAGGACTGGGGGGTCATGTTGTAGTTTGATGGGTGTTCTTCTCAAAATTGATCAAAATGTGTCCTTGTAGCAAAATTAGCAAAACAAAGACATGTCCTAGCACCAACAAAGAAAAGTAAGCTATGACTACTAAAAAAAAAAAAAAAAAGAACAACAAGTGTACTTACGATTTGATGTCCCTAGAAAAAATATATAATTTTTAAAAGGGAGGAGGAGTTCTTGATGTACTTGTCTTCTTGAGTCATTGTCTGCAAATAAGAAAGAATAGTGGAATTAATTCCACACTCTTGGCAACAAAAGAGTTTCAATAAGTGGTTCAAAAAGGGACTTAAAGCCTACCACTTTAGTTGCACACTTGAAGTGTCACATGCATAGCAATTGGTGGAAATATTCATCAATATTGCGTTGACAATATCTCTAAGCAAAGATTCCTTGCGGTGGTGCCTATTCAAAGATTGGACAAAAAAAAATCTTGAGATGATAATAATAGAGGATTCCCATGAATGAGCAGATAAAAAAAAGAGAAAGCAAAGGAGACGATGCACTTCACCCATGAGCAACGCTTCAAGACACATTCAAAGACGGATGCAAGTAACCGTTGTACAATTAAGGCCAACCTTTAGTTTCTTCTATGGTTGAAACTGAGTAACGCCCAAGAATTTTCTTATTTGATAGTAAGACTATTCAAGGCAATAGGAGATTTACGAAATCAAGGCTTTCTTGTTTGGGTTCTAATATTTGTACGAAAAAAAAAACCTCAAGATGGCTTTGACGTACAAACCATATTAAGTATAAAATCTCAATAGTGCCTACCCAATAAGGCTCCCAAACATTAAGGAAAGAAAGAGTTGCATTAATGGGGATTCATTCCAATGAAAAAAGAAAAGAAAGGGAAACCTTCAATGCAAATCAAATTGACATTGCTCGATTGATATCATCAAAAGGTGTTTGAGTCAATTGCAATAACTTTAATGACATACAATCACATTAAAAAAAACAAACAAACAAACAAAAAAAAAGGCGCAAGAAAGGTTATTGGATCAATGACTAGATGATCACTATCAATAGTTACTCCAAGGTACACCTCCAATATGTAATAAGCACATATCTACGGCACACCGGGAAGTAAATGTAGACAAAGAAATTTTGGTGAATTAAAATCCGCTAAGTAAGGAAATAATTAAGGCTTAGTGGATTAAGTTATGGGTCCCACAATTTGTCCAAATGGCATATGAGTCATCAAAATTGAATTAGTTGTCAAATGTGACACGTGTCAACATCCGGCGAAGTGCATCAAACAGTTTAAATTGAAGACAAAGTTAAAGGGAAGAATCTTCTGTGATTGACTTTGATTTAAATAAAATATTAATCAAGTCAATCAATTAAAGATAATTTGGTTAAATTGCCAAATTATCAAAATTGATTTTAAATCAAAATCAAAATCCTACAAATCAAGGTCCGAAAGAGTGAAAGCCATTGAAATCAAGAACCATGCAGGAGCCTATAAATAGGAGGCCTCAAGACAAAGGAAGGGACCCTTAGATACACCAAGCACTCAGAAGAACTAGAAAGCTCTCTGCATTCTTCACCTTGCTTGGAAGAGCCACCAAGCACAACAAATACTTGCCGGTTCCTCCATCCCAGAAAAGTCCAACCACAAAACAAGCCTCCTGTTGCTCGTTTGATCAAGATCAAGCCTCTACGACCCTTGTATCAAATCTTTAAACACTTTGTAGATCGAATAAGAGGATTTCATATAGAGAATGTAACCCTAATGTTTCCCTCTTTTCGGCCGGGGCGGACGACGGAAGGAACTTTTGGTACTTCTTCTTTTGGATGCGGGGCGTGCCACCACCAAGCCCCGAATTTGGGCTTGAATGGAATGTGAATAGATGGATGTGTTGTGCTTCTAACTTCTGACCAAACGATTGATCGGCCAAGCAAGGAACCTCCTCTTGGCCTAGATTCTTTCACTTTCTCGAGCTCGAGAATGGTTAGGTTTCGTATGGATTTTTTTTGTGATTTTTTATGGTTTTAAGTAAAAATAAGGCAATTAAACTAAATATGCGTATAAATGTAAAGACAAGAATTGAAGTGCAATAAAATAAATCAGAGCGATAAATAAAGCAAGAACAAGATAAAAGCGATAAGCACGATAAAATGAAATAAACTTGAAATTAAACTTAATTGAAGTGCGATAACAATGAAAATTAAAGCAATAGAAATAACCTTGAATTTAAACGACACATTTAAACGACAAGAAATATAAACTGAACAAGAATTTAAATGACAAGAAAAATATAAACTTACACTAGAAATATGAAGAACTCACTACACTAGGTGCTTGAAAAATAAAATCCTAAGTCTAGGAAAAAAAAAGTGCGAGACAAAAGATAAGTTTGTTTGTCTGATGTTGTGTGTCTGATGTCTTCATTGAGCAAGGTTTATATAGGGCACTCGTCAGCCCACGGGCTGGCCATTGAATGGCCAAATGTCAACTCTTCTTAAAATCTTTCCTTTCAAAGCCCCCCTAAATCTGTCGAATTGCATTGATTGAAATATTCTGACATGCTTGATTCTTCCTTGTTTTGGAACACTCGGAGTTACTATAAAAAATCCATTGATTTCTTTCCTTGTGAGGCCCTCCGTCACATGCACATAATCCTCCAAAAATATGGGCTTGAATCGTTGGCTTAAACCTGGGCATCCAATTTCTCTTATATTGCCATCCATATAATATATATTAAATTTCAAATATATATATATATATATACATATATATATATATATATATATATATATATATATACACTTATAAGCATGCAATAGAATGGGCAAAGTTGGCTGCACGTCTTTATTCACTTTCTTATATATACTCATATATATATATTATATCAATATAAAAAAAGAACAAAAAGAAAAGGGAGGGCTTTGAATAGAAAGCACTCCAGCCACATATTTGCTAGGACCCCTAGGCTTCGGCCGCATGTATGATATTTATTCACACATATATATATATATAACAATTAGATTTTTGACTTGTGAATCCTTCAACCAATTCGCAGACCACCAAAAAGCCCCAGCCGTATTTGGTCCATTCACCCACCTATTATATATATATATATATATATATACATATACATATAATAAAACAAAGACTTTTCAGCCACATTTGCAAAGGGCTCCCAAGCTTCGGCCGCACACTAAAATACTCCAAAGACCCCAGCCACACACCACAACAACCTAAAGACCTCCAGCCGTAATGTCTCAATAGCTCCCGTCTGCAATATTCCAACAGCTCCAAATCTCAGTCGTCACACTCCTTCAAATCGTGCTTTCGGCCGCAAGCTCCTTCAAAATCGGGTTCCAAATCTCGGCCGCCACATTCTGTCCATTAGTGCCCAGCCGTATTTCTTTGCCCAAAAAATCTAGCTTGAGCATCTCTTGGGCATCTCCTACCGCTCCAGATCTAGCAAGTCCCGACTGCTATTTCCAAGCCCCGACCGCATTTTCAAAAGCCCAAGGACTCCGAAACCCAGCTACCCAGTTTCACCCGTGCCCAGCTAATTCTCGTGCCCGGGTTAATTCTTGTGCCTAGGTTAGGTGGATTTCTACCACCCCCAAACACCTAAATTTCATTAATACAAATATTATTTTGTACACGTGTTCTTGTCTTATTTGTCGTAGGATTTTCATGTTTATACCAGTAAACGGATTTAAGCCATTAATTGGCCCAAAACCATTTATAAGACCCCGATTTTCCTCATAATTACCTTGACTCTTATCTCTACATGGATTATCCTAGCCTTGCACAACTAGCACGCTCATTATGATTTTTTGAGTTTTCTTTGAGCATAGATGGGTCTACTCATCCAACTTATTCTTGAAACTCTTCCCTAGATTATTATCCACATTTCTCTTCAACTACTTGAGCTTGGGGTTAGGTAAATCTCTTGAAGCTTTAGAGCTCACCAAAGCTCGCTTCCTTTTCGGTCATTAAAAGCCTTAAGCTCAGCCATCAATTTAAATTTTGCTCTTCAACAAAGGGTCATATTGATCTTTGTCTAAGAAATGCAATTGTAGATTTCAAATTTGGCCATATATTTTGTCATTCTTAATTCAGTAAACTCGTCAAACTCACTTAAATGAAAGTGAATGTGCATGCTATACATCAAAGCAAAAATTATACATCAATCTCTCCAAAAACTAGTGACTTTAAGAAAGATCTTTCCATCCTTATCACTCAAGATTAAGAGACGTAAAGTGGGGGTCAGTAGTAACATAAGCAATCTCTTTTATTCTTCGCTACAATAGATGGCTAAAGATTAAGAGACATGGTTGTTGATTTTTTTTTTGGGGTCAAAGTGAAAAACACTAAGTAGTCCATCAAGAACAAGCAAAATAAAGAGTGCCAATAGAAAAACATAAAACAAAATTTGAACATAGTTGATGCCCAATTACAAAGATCTTGCACGAAAGAGAAAAAAAATAGATTTGAAAATAAACCATAGTCATCACCCGCATCGCACTTGTCACGCCAACTTCGTTGGTCCACAACAACCAAGGATTAGCTAGTAACAAGATGTACTAAAGATTTGAACAGAAAATGGGTGATCAAGCCACCTACACAATGTGCTCCCATAATTCAAGCAATGAGTTCAAAATGCAGTTTAAATGCATCTGCACACCACAATGTGTCACCGAGGAAGCACGATGGAAGCGACACTCGGATGAGGAGTAGAGGATGGTGGTTGAGCATTGGTTGTGAGATGCAATGAAAAGTGATAGGTGGAGGACACCATAGCAAAGAGGGGATGAGGGGAGTGTAGAAGTGAGAAGTGGAGGTTGAAAAACAATGTCAGTGGGTGGGGGAGAAAGTGTAGATTTAGGGTTTATAGATTTTGGCAAAAATTAGGGGAAGATAATTTGAGGGTAACGAGAAAAAGGAGAGGGATTCGAAGAAGTAAAAGCCCCACATTTGAGACGTAGCTTAAGGAAAAACACCCATTTCAGGTGGAGATGATCCACTGCCTCTCAATTTTGGGGTGGAGGAACAGGGCTCTCAAGGGTTAAACCCATAAATATGGTCTAAACTATAACAACAACAAAACTCTACATACTCGAACTCTAGGAAAAAAAACTCATTTGACTTTTTAATGAGACTGAATACAGCATGCAAGCCTTGAAAGCTTGAAAATTAAAACACTGCCACCAAAATTTAATTTAATTTAATCTAAAAATCATACCACAAGGATAGTATAAAATCAATTTATAAGTTATAGTGTTTATGTATAAAATCAAGGTTTGAAATGAGATTTATTATAGATTTCTAATTTTTTTTGAATTTTTTATTTAGTTCGGTGTATCAAAGTGTGACATTTTTAGATGGCAAAAAGTTACTTTTGGTCCATGTGGTTTACCACTTTTACCACTAAGTCTTTGTGGTTTCAATTTGATCATTTTTGCGCACATGGTTTTCAATTTAATCAATTCAAGGACAATCTCCAAATTCTGTTAAATTAAAGTAACTACCTTTACTTATTGAGGGGCATTTCAGTCCAAAAAGTTAAAAAAAATAAAAAGGTGCGAGAAACCTTCACCCCCCCACTTGCTCACAACCACCACCACACTTGCCCCCATCTCCCCAACCTAGTACAACCTCATAATATAAATTGAATTGAATATGTCCCATATATGTAAAGCACCAAGAAAATTCATAAACAAGAACAAAAGAAAATAATTTAAGTAACAAAAGAAACCTAGTGGAGAAGACCCATGAATTTTCTCCCACGTGGCTATGGCTATCAAAAGAATAGAATCTCTAAACAATGTATGACAGAATCATAACCCATCATGAGAGTCCATGGCATGCAGTTCACGTATGAGGCACAACTCTTGCTGTTTTGCGATTTCAGCCTTAACATGTCCCCCGGTTCGCGATGTCTTCTCGTCAACGCCAATGAATTTGTTAATTAAAAACCATAATTTGTTTAACTAGTTTGGCATGGTGGGGTTGGTGGTGTGGCTAAGGGCTTCTTTTTTTTTATTTTGGGACCAAAATGCCCCTCAACAAGTGATGAAAGTTATTCTAATTTGACAAAAATTGGAAATTATCATTGAATTGCTTAAATTGAAAACCACAAAAGCAAAAGTAATCAAATTAAAACGATAAAGACCGTGATAAAAATGATAAACCACGAGGACCAAAAATCACGTTTTGCCTTTTTAAAATCGGAATCAGAACTTGCAAGTTGCAACCTACTTTACACGGCAAGAGACCGGACGACAAATTGGTGAGACAATCAATTGCACAAACCCCTAATTCCTAATTATCCTATTTGTTCGATAAAAAAACAAAAATCCTATTTGTGCAATTTTCCAAAAGAAAAAAATGTATTAGTTTGAAATGACTGTAGTGGCCAGACATAAAAGGCAGAGCGGAGAGTAAAATCAAGGGCATGAGATGGAAAAGCAAGTCAAAACTAGTGATAAAGGCAGCAGGCTTGCAGTAATAAGCTCTCACTTGGTTACTCCTCAAATCCCCATGGCTGCTGCTTCTGAGAAGGAGGCTGCTCTTGCGGCCGTTCCCTCTGATTCTCCCACCATGTATTTTCCATGCCTTTTGCTTTCGCTTCTATTTTTTCTTGTTTTTGTTTTTGGGTTCAGATTCTTCGTCTGTATTATCTTTTTACGTTTTACAAATAACGTAATCTGTTTGATTAATTAATTTTTTTGCAGATTTGACAAGATCATCAACAAGGAAATACCATCTAAGGTGGTTTTTGAGGACGATAAGGTGCTCCCGTGTTTTTTATTTTTATTTTTATTTTTAATTTATATAATTTGTTTTTCGTATTTTCCGTCTCTGTTTAGTGAATTTTAGTGAGCTGTCTCTTGTGTTGATTCATGCTAAAATCTTGCTGCCAACCGCATTCTGCTTTGGAGTACCACATCTATAAGTTTGGGGCTGAAAAATGCTAAAACAAAGAAGCTTCCATTTGTTCATGTTTATAAATTTCATGTGAAAATATTTCTGATCCAATGGCTGAGATACATTTACCTAAATTTCTATTAACTTAGCAATTTAATTGTATTTTTTTTACAATATTATGTATATATTAGTATCTCTATTCGTCTAAAAATTACCAATCTCGTTGTGATTTTGTTAGTGAAGTTAATGGAATTGCATGTTTCAAAATATTTGCTGTACTTGAGTTCCCAATCCTGTCCTTATCACTATTGACAATAACTTTTGCTCATAACTTAGGGGTTGCATGGTATGATTTCAGTTTATTTGAGGGATATGAGAGATGAGAGAGAATAAAAAAGCTAAAACTAAAAAACATATATTTATAATTTCTTTTTAGTTTTTAGAATTCAAAATATGCATACTATCTCTGCTTACCTTTCATATCTATAATCTCTGTTCACATTTTTCTATCATTGTTTTCTTCTTTACCCTTGATTGAAAACAAAAACAAAAAACAAAGAACAGAAATGTTACCAAATGGGCCCTTAAGAGCTGCAAATTGGGTAAATAGTGGATGCATATAGCTTATTTTCTGATGCAAGGCCAAATCTTTTGAGGAGACCACCTAATTAATGTGATTAATGGAGATTCACTTGCTTCCTTAGGGCTGGGATGTATAATAATATATATATATATATATATATATGTATATAATTTATAGTATGTAAACATTCATTGAGATCTGTATTCTTACAATCTTGTTTAATCAAAGCTGTTTATCTTCATCAATGTGTTTTTAATGTAGTCACCTTATTTCTGGGTGTTGTATTGATTTCACAGTACCCGTTTTCTGGTTATTCACCCCGCCCTTTTATTTATTTTGAATAGGTCCTTGCTTTTAGGGACATTAATCCCCAAGCTCCGACACACATTTTGATCATTCCCAAAGTTAGAGATGGCTTAACTGGACTCTCTAAGGTACTTGCTACTGACCTTTCTTTTTCCTTTCTGTTTATGGCTTTCCTTTTTCTCTCTTGTGATAATAAGCAATCCAAGGAGGGGGAAAGAGAAATAAGAACACATAAATTTCAGGAAGTTGATAGGTTTCCTAACAATGTTCACTTGAAAAAAATTTGCCAAAAGAGTAGAAGCATCAACACTACTTTATATGGTGTATTAGAGAATTGGAAAATTAGTAGACTAGCCACAGCGGCTTGTGCTTGATGATTAACAATTTAATAGAAAAAAAATAAAAATACATTTGTGTGTATTGTGGTAATAAATACAAATGGTTTATGTCAACTGTATATCAACCATATCCAAAAGCTTAAATGTTTACCTCACTAGGATGCAATTTTAGTTATGTGCGCACGTTGGACAATGTAAAGGCAAAGCCTGACGATGGTCAGTGTGAACACGTATGCCTGTGGTATAATCTCCAGAAAATCTCCTATAGAGAATCTTATAAAAGAAAACGCAAGGAAAAAAATAAATTATGACGTAAGTGAGCAATATCCTAGTTAGACTATGAGAGGAAAACAATGTGGTTTTAACAAAACTGTCTTTTGTGACGTGTGTTGGCTGTTTCTGGGTAGTTTAGGTGGAAAAAAGAGGACTTTTGACATTGCTAAGGGGAAGAAGGTGGATATTTTATGGGTGTGGTGTCTCCAGATTTTAAGGACTACTCTTAATCTGTTATGCTATCTTCTTGGATAGCTGTCTTGTCTTGGAGTATTGGTGTGGTAGTCTGATCTTTAATTGTAGCTTGGTGACTGTTTTAAATCATACAGTTTAGGGTGAAGTTCTGGGATACAGTTATGGGATAAAGTGAAGTTCTGGGCTGCCCTTTGGGCATCAAATTCCCCTGATTTTAAGGATTTATCCTATGCTACAATTATGCGCAATCTGCTGACTGTAGTATCTTAAGGGGTTGTCTTTTGATTGGCTGTTTTGTTTTCTGTGTTGCGTAGCCTTGCGTTTGTTTCACTGGCCATTGCTTCTTTGTTTTTGTCTGTGTTCTATTTGTCCTCTCTTTTGGTCCTTTCTAATTTTGAATACAAAATGTTTCTATTAAAAAAAAAATCATACAGTTTGCTAGTCTGACTGTTGGTCTAGAGGACTTCTTGTAATCTAATTTTTTTTCTCTTTCTTCATTTAATGAAAGTGTGTGTTTTTTTTATCAAAAAAGAAAATGTTATAACCAATGAAGAGCATACTCTGCTTGGATTTCATAGGACCTTACTAGAGTGAATCAAAATGATTAATGCAAGTACAACAAAAACAAACAACCAAACCCAGACCTGTTAATCCATTTCCATTTCTGTATTAAGAGCCAATTGCTATTTAGCACACAAGATTACTTCACAATATGGCAGACATTCAGTGAAGTAATCTAGTAAGTGACTTGTTCAACACCCACAGTGCCAGAACACTAATTGTGATCTTGACCACCCCAATGGTTGTGACAAGCCAATCTGTATAAATTAGCTATCACAGTCAATCACATGGTTTTTCCAATTCTATTATCAATGTGAATTGAGATTTGTGTGGAAGGAATCTGTGCTGCTGTGCACTCCTAATGGTATGGACCATGAATTTCCGGAGCCAAACACCTTTTTTGCTGCAAAATGTTCAGTCTCCACAGTAGAATTAGCAACTGAAGTTTACTTCACACTTGCACGGCCCCTCCTGGAATCTTGATTTGACTGGAAGTCAGAAAGCATAGCCAACTAGTATTATATCCTCACATACATAGATGAGCATGTAATCTTTGGTTCTCAATTGCTTCTGGATATGCTTCACTGCCCTTCAATGCTCAGAATCTAGGTTAGATAATAACAATTAAACCAAAGCTAGATCCCGTAGTCTCCAGTTCTTCCCATGTCTTTGGACAATAGTCCTTGAAAAGAGGAATTTTTGAAGGGTATGCTGATTGTGGTTGAGCTTAATATATTTTTCTTGTGATTGTACCAGAACTTCATCACAAGGAGATAATTGGCCTTTTACTATGAGTGGAAAATTGTAAAAACTTCCCTTTCTTTCACTATGCTTTACCCTCCAATGTTCAAGATATGGGTAGACTGATAGTGATTAATTGTAGCTATGACACAACAAATATCTAGTTCCGTGCAAAGCATGATATGCATAAGGCTTCTGGCGTCCTGCCAAAGTGTAAGAAATCTTCCTCAGATGCTCCTCTTCTCTCTCATCTCTGGGCCACAGGTCCAACCCAAGGAAATCCTTCTGAATTATTTAAAAAAAAAAAAAAAAAAAAAAAAAAAAAAAAAATACTCATGCATAGCAAACCTGATTTATGTATGATGATATTTATAGGGTTAATATCCTTCATGTCATCTTGCTAGAGTTTCATCCCAAGGGCATAGCTATAATTTTAATATGATGGGGAATCATGCCTCATTCATAGTGGGAAATAGGAAAAACCGTAATTTCTTTCTCTATGAACTTGCCAAAGCTCACAAAGTAGCTCTTTTATAGGGGTTTTTGATACATGAATCATTGAAAGATCCAATTTAGTTGTTTATATGCTTAAGGAATACCAAAAGACATAATTCAACACCTAAGACATTGATCATGTGAAATAAAGGGATTCAGAGATAATGGATAATCAGGCTTCGAAGTAATGGACCTAAAAATACATGTGTAAAATTGCCTTAGTTACATGAGAAGTACAAAGACTCCCAATCCTGTGGTGCTTGGTACTTGTATCATACTTTGAACTATGCTCCAGCATCACCATCCATACTTTGATATATTGTTGTCGTAGTATCATATTTGTATGTGACTGAGGGTTTTACAAAATAATGTTGTCCAGTAGAAGAATTTGTGCATGGGCCACTTAGTGGTTCTGAGGAGCTGTATTTTGAAAGAGTCGGGTGATTTTAGAAGTTATATGTAAATTAAAAAGAAGAATAGATATGTCAAGACTTTGACTGCGGTAAGCTTCTTGCAGCATCACTCCAAACAGTTGGAAACGCCATTAGCAAGGTTTGGTTTTACTGAAATATTAGAATAAGATGAAATGTGAGATAAAATGGGATGTTTAGGGGATATTAACGTTTCCTTTCATGGATATAAGGAACCTATCATTTCCTTGACTTCCCCTTTACAATAAGTGGTATTTTTTATATGAGTATATGCTCATTTAGTCTTGTAATTCATCAGTTCATAATTGACAGATTACACTCTGTTGTGGAACTTAATGTACTTTTTTGCTAAATTTTATGTTTTCCAGGCCGAGGAGAGACACACTGAAATTCTTGGTCAGCTTCTCTACACTGCCAAGCTGATTGCCAAGCAGGAAGGTCTTGATGATGGCTTCAGGATTGTGATTAATGATGGGCCAAATGGATGTGCGTATTTATTCTTTCTTTACTTTAAGTGCTTGGGATTGGTGACATATCATTAAGTCTTTATCTTCAAACTCTTGTGCTTTCTCAGTGTAAATTTTTTGAACTTTATATTGACTTATGTGTGTTCCTGCAGGCCAATCCGTTTATCACCTTCATGTTCATCTCCTTGGAGGACGTCAATTGAACTGGCCTCCAGGCTAATGCGGAGACGTGCTCGGATGTTTTGCGAGATTTCCACTGGAAGTCTGTATTGGCATGAAACTAGTAGTTTATTGATTGGAGATCTCGAACCAGTTGTGAACTTGTGGTAGTTGGTAAAAACCTTATTTCTTAAACCATACCATCTGTAAGTAATAATCTGGTCCATTACCAATGGCTTGGTTGTCACGTTTGAGGTTCGCTGTCAGTTTTATCACTTCTGTCATGAACGTCAAAATTGGTTTCGATGGAAAGACGATATTGATATTCCAGGGAGCTCTAGCTCCTAGTTCAGTCTTGCTATTTACTGCATGTATGCATTGTGCCTGAAAACTTGCCAAATGACATACAAGCCTCCCACCAATTATTTCGAACCAACAACATCCAAAACAAACACTTGTTTACCACTCAAAGACAATTCACACTCTTACCTTGACTTAAAGAAAAAAAAAATCTACCTATGCGTGCGTTAAAAAATTATCAAACACGTATGATTAGATATGGTCCGGCTTGGCAATGCCTAAACTGTTAACCGAATCGGTCCGAACCGATCTGGTTAAGTTTGTTTTCCGGCTTGGTTCACCGTTTCAAATGCCCACTCCTATCATGATTGATCAAGTTGGAGCAATTGGACAAATTAATTTTGTAGTGACGCGCGAGGACAGAGAGTGTTATTATGTATAAATATTTAAATGCTCTCGGCTGTAGGAAGAGAAGAGGGAATTAATAATGGAGAGATCAAGAGTATGGAGAGGTGTCAGTGGAAGCAGCAGCAGCATATTTGAGAAGAGCCGATGCCACCTGAGAGACACTGATGATGCAAATTCTTTCTGGTCGAATCTGAGACCAAATGTTGACCATGGTCAACAACAACAGCATGCTCATCCTCACGTAGCTGACGTGGATTCGAAAACTCCTCCTCCTCCTCCTCCTTGCACTGATGATCAAGAAATAAGCGTTTTTGACGCCCACAAGTACTTGAACAATGAATTAAGCATCGTCAATGACATCGACACCCAAAAGGTAATAACAAATGTTTATAAGTAAATTAATTTAGACTATCGTTTGTATTCAAAAAATTATATGCACCGCGTGCATGCAGGTTTCTGGTGAAACAGTTTCGAGATTTTCTTGGGCCGCAGGTTCTTCAATATCTGCGGTTGATGATGCTGATAATATTAGTTATAGTAGTGTCGGTAGAAATAACTACCCGCGAGGTCGTTCTTTCCACGTGGTTGCTGCCTCTGCCACTGCCGCCACCACTCCAACGGCTTCTTCGGAGGCCAGCTGGAACAGCCAGACTGGCCTCTTATCTCATCCTCGTGGTCCCGCCGGCGCAGCCAACATCACATTCATGACGTCATTGCGTAGTCGCAGTGCTGCTAATCATAATGCTGCTCCTCATCCTCGTCACGACAATGTGAAGGAGGAGAAGGAGATGAAGAAGAAATTGGGTGTACGATGGTACTGTATTTTCCCAATGAGAAGATCAAGGAGATGCCCTTGCTCCGGCAAGAAATCGGTTCGAGTTGTTGATCCCGAGACTAAATCATCAATTCCAAACATGTCATCATCAGTCAGTCGAGTCGGAGTTGGAGTTGGAGTCGGAGTCGGAGAGAGTTTTACCATTAATAATGGCAATATGGCAACCACCAATGTTGTTACAGCCCGCGATTTGAACTCTTCCTTAATCGTGCCGCCGATCGACAACCGTCGTCATCTAGTGTGGCCAGGTCCAGAACGGCGTTGTCCGGAGTGGGATGAGCACCAACAGATCACTGCTAACAATATGCCTAGGCCTACTACTACTGGTGGTGGGTTTAGCTTTCCTATATTGAAAGTGAATGGGATTGGGGGCACATCCACGTCATCGCCAGTTGTCTCAACCATATTCCAGAACCCACCAAATCCTACTTTCACATTCCCTTCTTCAACTCCCAAACCCCCAATTAACATTCTTAATAATACTATTAATCCCAAAAATCATCATCGTAATAATATTGATGATGACGTGGCAAGCGATGCTAGTTCTGATTTGTTCGAGATCGAGAGCTTCTCTACTACTTATGCTCAAACACAAAATTACTCTCGCACCCGCCGGGAGTCGTTGGGTGCCGATATCAACTCGGTATCCGATGGCCACGATTCAATCACGGCAACCGATCAATACTGCTACGAGCCGAGCGAGGCCAGCATCGACTGGAGCGTCACCACGGCTGAGGGCTTCGACCGATCATCCGATCATCATCATCATCTTCAAGATCATGATCGTGATTTTGCTGACGTGGCACAAATTATGAAAGTGAGCAGCAGCAAAGGGAACAATATTGGGTTGTTGAGCTGTCGACGTGAGAAGGCGGTTAGTGTGGGGCCTAACCCAGTGAGATTGGTTATCATGCCTCCTGCTGCAGCGCCTGATCAGAGTCGACATCCGGGTGGAGGAGCAGGACCCACCAAAACTCTATCACCATCGTTAAATTCCAGGATGAGGCATGTGGGGAGTAGGCCAGGCTTAGCCAACAATAATAAGCCACCGCTTGCAGCTCGGATGTCTGTTCCTTTTGCAACATCCGCACAGCCAGTCATCTGATCATCAATCATCAGTCGTATTGAAGAACCAACTTGCATGTCACGGAAAAATACTATTTTGTTATTTTCATCAAATGCGAAATTCTTATTATATATTATTAAACATAATTTAATAAAAATAAAAAATAATGTTATTCCCGCGATGTACAAGTTTTTCTCATCGTATATTTTACATGCATTGCATTGGATGCTTCTCTTATCTAAAGCCAGCATCTCTCTCGTCTTTATTCTCTTTTTCCACGTTTTCCCTTTTTCTCTTTTGTAATCGTGTTGGTTTATTATTGATTTCATCATTTTTTTTTTCAATTTTAATTTTGTGTGCATGTGTTCTTCTCTTGCATGATGATTGGGTTGTAATGGGTCGTATTGTCTCTGCCTATTTTTATTGTTATATTAATTTCTTTTGTGTATAAGCATATGCATAATTGACAACAAAAAAAGAAAAATAAAAAAAAAGGGAATGGAACTTGAGATGTCTTCAAGATTGTGGTTTTCCTTACTAGATTTCATTGTTTTTTCTTATTCATATGTTTCCCTATGTGACTCTATTTTGAGTGTTAAATCTACCTTCAATATATTCAACTAAAAGTAAGAATGAATAAGCAATTAACGTCCGCATATACACGAACGGATAATGGTTGTAAGTTTATTTTTATTTTCATTTTTATATAAATATTTTTAACTTTGGGTACACATATGTCTAAACTTTCAAAATATTGGAAGATATTTTATGTTTCACTGCTGTCATAGGGAATTATCAAAAGACATTTTCTTATATTTCCGAGGCCCATTGTTTGATAATTAAGCTAACCTAATTTCTAGACCAACTTAATCCAAATTTTATTAGCAAATCCACGAATCATGTAATAGTACAACAAGTGAATACGAAATCATTCCCACATATGTTGAATTTAATGCTTTAATTCTATTAGTTAACTTGCCAACGAGGTCTAGCCTAGTAGAAAAGAGCCTTGACTTGGTCTCAGGTTCAAACCCCCATGACATCTTAGTTGTGTGCGTGTGTGTGAGAAACTCCCTCCTCTGTAGTTTAGACTATCACTTGTACTAAAGTTGCATTCTATCTGGTTAAGGCATAAATTTAACACAAATGAGTCATTAAGATATTTGAAAACATGAAATCATGCAAGACATAAATCTTATCAAAGAAAATATGAAACTCACAACTCTTAATCACAAGAGGCTATTCGAAATATATTTATTGTTAACACCTCAATTTCGTCCTCTAATTACTAGATGCAAAGTCCCTAAGGTGTCAATCAAAAGAACTTCAAACAAACCAGCAACCATTCATAAAGTAATTAAGAAACTTAGTTTAATTAGATGAAGACACTAGAACGCGTGTTTTGGTGAGCTTCTACAAATTCTGGCCGGAGCAGTGTCGTATTGAAAAATTTGTCATGCTTTCGATCAAACAAGAATAAATCACTAGAAGATAATATGGAAGTAATGAATGGGGTTTAGTACAATCGAAATTGTTTGGAATGTATTTTTTAGGTGGAAGATAATAGGAAGGGGATCCCCAAGGAGAATCAACAAGCGATGTTCGCAAACTATGTAGAAGTCAAACAAACAGCTCTTGGATAAGGAGGTACTGGCTTGGGAGTTGGGACTTAGTATTGTTCATCCTCTTGTAAGTAAGATATATAAATTCCATTTACTTGTTTAAGAATATCTTGAATATAGGGCATGCGTTGTTGGGTTTGTTTTGGTACATGATTTATCATGTTATTCTCCCAATGTTTTGAGCTAGTTCTTGATCTTTTATAGCATTTTACTTCCTTTTTGTGTTTTTATAGGTTTTACTCTAGTTGGAATGTGTTGAGGCCCAAAAATCCAAGGGCCTAAGCCCAGATCAATTCTTGGCTCAATACAGATAATTGAACGCAAAAGAAGCTCAATCGGGCCAAAAGAGAGTTTGTAGGACTCACCAATACGAGCTACGGGCCACATAAGCAAGCACGTGCAAAAGGGCCAAGAGCATGCCAACTTTACAAAAATCACGCTCACATGCCCATTCGGTGTTACTTGGCCCAATTATAGCCTATCACGGCATAATAAAACCCAAGCACAAACATAGGTATCGTGCAAAGAAGAGCCACTATTCTAACACCAAGGTATGCCACACGCTTAAGTGGGCCCAAGTCACAAAATTACCTGGGGCTTATTGAGAAGATTGTGGTATGGAAGGAAACAACCAATCACAGGACCCATTGAGGGTTTGGGGAATGAAAGTTTTAAAACCACTTGGGAGCATTAAAACTCAAGCTCATTCCTCGGACCCAAATACATGGGTTAGCATGAGAGAAAGGGGAAAAATGGTCCCATGTCTTAGGAAGACATTTAGTAGCATGCATACTTAGATAAGCCCACATCAAAAGAATGCCCAAAATTAATAAAGTCACTTCCAGCAACTTGACGAAAAGCCTATCAAACGTTGGAAATAACAAGCCAAATGACCCAAAACCGTGCATACAAGCCCAGCCCAACAACTTATAAAAATCTGGCACCAAGTTCCACCTCTATTAGAACTCCAAGAACGGTCAACAAAGGAGCCATGGCAGAGACCAAAGGAAACCTACGAGGGTAGGATGAATACCCATCGGACAAAAGGCTCTACCCATCTTCTTTTCCATTACAAAGCTTCATTTTGAAAACCAAGAGGAAAAGTAGGTGGCGCCTCACCCTTATGGGGAGGTCTAGCTGCGTCAAACCCTTGGAACCATAAAGGGTTCCTTACCCATGCACCTTGGATATGAGAATTTCACCAAAATAGGATTAAGTGGGGAGCATCCAAAGGAAAAGGAAGAAGAAGATTAGATGAAATTAGGGTTCTTCGTGCCTATAAAAGGGGGCCTCTTCTACCCAACACACTACTACAAAAATCGAAATAGACGACGGGAAACCACCGTCGTGTAAAAGGTTTTCGCCCGGTCCTAAAATCGACTGCCGTCTATTTGGGTTTCAAACTACGACGGTTTTTCACCGTCGTTGTTTATCAGTAAAGACGACAGTTTTTAAAGAAAATCGTCGTTGTTTAGAGGTAAAGATCGTTAATTATAGGAGGAAAGACGACTGTTTTTAATAAAACTGTCGTGTATTGTATATAAAGATGACGATTTTTTTATGAAAACCGTCGTGGATTGTTTATAAAGACGTCATCTTTACATACAATAGACGACCTTTTTTTTTATAAAAAGCGTCATCTTTACATACAATAGACGACGGTTTTTATAAAAAGCGTCATCTTTACATACAATAGACAACGGTTTTTGATAAAAAGTGTCATCTTTACGTACAATAGACGACGGTTTTTTTTTATAAAAAGCGTCATCTTTACGTACAATAGACGACCTTTTTTTTAATAAAAAGCGTCATCTTTACGTATAATAGATGACGGTTTTTTTTATAAAAAGCGTCATCTTTACATACAATAGACGACGGTTTTTATAAAAAGCGTCCTCTTTACATACAATAGACGACGGTTTTTATAAAAAAGCGTCATCTTTACGTACAATAATGCTTTTTGATTTCCTATGATGCTATACAACGATTTTAACTAGAAAATCAACCATAATGCTTTATCAAAAATAGTTTCTTTCATAAAACTTGAAGATTCAATAGTTATTACATAGTTAACCAATCTTTATTCTACAACAAACATAATTCCTAACAAGACCTACGTACTCCTAATCCAAGCATTCCTCATCCAAACATACAAATGATGCACAACTGAAGTCTCCTCCATCATCCCTGTAAATAAATCAAAATGACAGAGAGAAAAAAAAAGAAGCTAAGATTATAAACATAAAAAATTAGGTGGAAGAGAAATTTTACCATTGGTCCATATTTCCATAGAAAACTTGTAAAATGAGCATAAAAAAGACCATCGAGAACCTGCAAATTTTCAACAACAAAAAAACATACGACTCACATAGAAAACCTGCAAAAGAAAAAGTTATAAATCTGCAAGCTTCCTCCTCATCTCCTGATAACCAAATAAGAAAATCTAAAGAGAAACCAGAAATAAATAAATAAAATGTAAACAAATCAGACAAATCAAGAGAGACAAAATCTGAAATTAGGGATACAAAGAACATACCAAAAACGCAAAGAGACTAATCCAGAATTCACTAGCAAGATATTGAAGGGTATTAAGAGATTAGGTGGCTTTCAAATCAAACCTTTCAACCAGCTTTGATTCTCAAATACAGAACATCCCTCTACATCTTATGGATTTGCTAAGACCTCAATCTCTCAACTCCTTCATTGATATCGATCTTTTGATGATTTTGTAGAGAGTTTCATGAGGGTGTTTTAGAGAGTGCATGATGGTTTCAAGGAGGGAGAGATAAGGTTTTCAGAGACGGGGGAAAATCTGAAAATTTGACAAGCGCGAATTCACTTAAGTAGACTTTTTTTAGCGTGTTTTAAAAGACGACGCTTGTTAATGAGAGATAAGATTTTCAAAGACGGGTGAAAATTTGAAAATTTATCGAGCACGAATTCACTTAAGCAACCATTTTTTAGTGTGTTTTAAAAGATGACGCTTTTTTTTAAAAAAAATTTGTCGTCTTTACATATAATAGACGACGGTTTTTTTATAAAAAACGTCATCTTTACATATAATAGACGACGTTTTTTATATAAAAAGCGTCATCTTTACATACAATAGACTATGTTTTTTTATAAAAAGCATCATCTTTACATACAATAGACGACGGTTTTTATAAAAAAAGTCATCTTTACGTACAATAGACGACAGTTTTTATAAAAAGCGTCATCTTTACATACAATAGACATTTTTTTCTGCTACACTCCTTGACCCTATATGAATACAATGACTGAATTTGATCTTCAATTTAAAATATTACACTAGTGGATACCACAAAATCTTATGTTATATTTAACGAAAGTATAAATAAACTCTTAATTGTTAGTGAATATATTGTTTTGATGGCATACGCATTCTAAGAAACTAGTTTCAATGATCCAACCGTCAAACATGTTTGTTTATACTTTGAGATCATATACGCCAAAAATCGGAAAAAATAAACATTCAGAGATCAAGTAACGGGACAAAAAATTTCGACGGTTATAAATGAAAAATCGTGATTTAACAGTTATTTTAACTCCGATTTTGATGATTTTTTACCGCTACACTCCTTGACCCAATATGAATACAATGATTGAATTTGATCTTCAATTTAAAATATTTACACTAGTGGATACCACAAAATCTTATGTCATATTTAATGAAAGTATAAATAAACTCTTAATTGTTAGTGAATATATTGTTTTGATGGCATACGCATTCTAAGAAACTAGTTTCAATGATCCAACCGTCAAACATGTTTGTTTATACTTTGAGATCATATACGCCAAAAATCGGAAAAAATAAACATTCAGAGATCAAGTAACGGGACAAAAAATTTCGACGGTTATAAATGAAAAATCATGATTTATCGGTTATTTTAACTCCGATTTCGATGATTTTTTTACCGCTACACTCCTTGACCCTATATGAATACAATGAATGAATTTGATCTTCAATTTAAAATATTTACACTAGTGGATACCACAAAATCTATGTCATATTTAATGAAAGTATAAATAAACTCTTAATTGTTAGTGAATATATTGTTTTGATGGCATACGCATTCTAAGAAACTAATTTCAACGATCCAACCGTCAAACTTGTTTGTTTATACTTCGAGATCATCTACACCACAAATCGAAAAAAATAAACATTCAGAGATAAAGTAACGGGACAAAAAATTTCGACGGTTATAAATGAAAAATCATGATTTAACGGTTATTATAACAATCCATCATCTTTACATATAATAGACGACCATTTTTTATAAAAAGCGTCATCTTTATATATAATAGACGACCCTTTTTTTTAAAAAAATCGTCATCTTTACATATAATAGACGACGGTTTTTATAAAAAGCGTCATCTTTACATATAATAGACGACAGTTTTTTTATAAAAAGCGTCATCTTTACATATAATAGACGACGGTTTTTATAAAAAGCGTCATCTTTACATATAATAGACGACGGTTTTTTCAGTTTTTATAAAAAGCGTCATCTTTACATATAATAGACAACGGTTTTATAAAATCGTCATTTTTACATATAATAGACGACGGTTCTTAAAAAAATCGTCATCTTTACACATAATAGACGACGGTTTTTATAAAAATCGTCATCTTTACATATAATAGACGACGGTTATATAAAATCATCATCTTTACACATAATAGACGATGGTTTTTATAAAAATCGTCATCTTTACATATAATAGAAGACGTTTTTTTTAAAAATAAAAAGCGTCATCTTTACATATAGTATGACGTATGATAACAAAATCAAAAAAATAAATTGATAAAAAAAATTCGTATTAAGACGACGGTTTAAATATAAGTTATGACGTATAAAGGGAATAAATACGGTATGACCCGGGTTCGATCCCCGGCAACAGCGTCGTTTCGTTTTTGGGTTACCCTGTACTTTAAATTATAATAAATAAGTGTTAGGTTGAAAATTAAGCAACAAGGTCGTTATAGTATAGTGGTAAGTATTCCCGCCTGTCACGCGGGTGACCCGGGTTCGATCCCCGGCAACGGCGTCTTTTTTATTTTTTGTGTTCACTACCAAACCAAAATTCAAATGCAGGTAATGTTAACCTCAAGTCTACGCGGCCTCAAAAGACCCTCTCATTTTCGTTCCCGCCACAAACTCCTCCTCCCTCCCTCTCCCTCTTAAAAATATAAGTTAAAATTTTCGCCGCTGTTTTTATTGATGTCCTTTCGAAAGCTCATCAGACTGACTCTCAGACCTAAAAATGACGAAGCCTAAAGTCGAAGAAGCAAAACCTAACGCGGAAGAGAAACCCGACGATCTCGAAATCAACTCGATCGGCTCCCTCTACAATGGACCTTGGGACAAGAAGTACTGGAGCTCCTCCAGGGTTTGATTTCCTTTTCCTCTTAATTTCAAAATTTTCCTCTTTCATTAGTCAAAATGTATGAACACTTAAACATCTAGGATAGAAAATTTAATACGGCGATATTTTGTATTTTATCGCCGTGGATTTATTTGTAATTATATGGCGCCTTATACGAAAACTTGGTCGTGTTATTTTCTGCATAAAAACGGCGGCATTTTTTGAAATCGTCGTCTTTACTTTCTACGTCGGTCGATTCATAACTTCTGCCGTTCTTTATTTTCTTTTATTTTACACTGCGGAAATCCTGTTTCAAATAGACGTCGGTTTTTTAATTAGATACGTCGTTGTTTATGAACATCCATTTGAATCTCCATTTTTTAGGTGTCTAAGGTGTTATTACACGGCGGTTTTATAGAACCGTCGTCTTTTAAAAAAACAACGACGGTTTTCACTTAGACCGTCGTTTTTTTCTGGTCGTCTTTGTCACTTTTTGTAGTAGTGACAAAATCACCATTCACGGCCTGACGAAGCTTTGTCAAGCAACTGAGAATTTACTCAAGCCACCCAATCTTCTTCTTCGTTTGTTTTTCTTCTTCCTTTAAGATAGAAATTGTTCTAGTTCTCCTCTGTCTTACTTCAAACTTTCCCTCTCAGTAGGAAATCCATGCTTCTCTCTCTCTCTCTCTCTCTCTCTCTCTCTCTCTCTCTCTCTCAAATTGCTAAACTTGTGAAAGCTTAACTCCCATGCTACAGGCTCCTCAAGCTAAGCTATTAATCGATTTATCATGCTTATTTGGCTGTTGGTGAAATGAACCTAAGAGTGTTTTTCTAAAGTCTCATTAGACTTTTCAAAAACTCTTTTGGAAGCTTGGTTTCGAACTCAGACACTTGGGGAATTTTGTTTCTTTTTCTTCTTACGACAGCCCAAGTCCATTCTTCAGGTTGCTGGAAGAAAAAGACCCCTACAAAATGAATTTGAGCTAAAAATTGATTATTGAATTTGAACTTTGTGTTCGCTCATTTTCGTAAGTCAACTTCTTGACCTTGTTTCATCATGTTCCAGTGCTCGGATGAGGTGAAACTCTTCATGGAACTTGTTCCAATGGGTGTTGACTGCAACAATTTATGGCGTCGTTGCCGGGAACTTGATTTAGTTTATATTTCTTGTTTGAGATAGTTTGGAACTCTTAGTTTAATTTTGTCTCTTATTTTCTTATTTTTTGTGTTCTTAACTTAAGCTTTATTTATTTTGTTGAATTGCTTATGAAACGACCCGACCCAATTTCCACTTTGAAATCCGGGCCGAATCCTGTTTAAAACTGACATCTGGTAATTGTGGGTCGTAAATGATCAAAAGGCCCTGAAAAACAATAACACAAACCCTAAGGCCCTAACTCGTGGCTGTGCCTGGTAACGGTAGGCTGCCTACGTACCCTTACTGAGGGATCAAGCCACACGTAGTTCTTTCCTCTGTTCTTGACCTGCAACTAGTTCGTTATTTTGTAACTGGTTTAATTATCCGTAAAACATACTCTAGGGCTGACATTTCTGGAGTATCCGGGACTCCGTTTTACGATCCGTCAAATACTATACGATCCTGGAAATACCTAGATCAACATACTTGAAATTGACTACGATCCAACGGTTCAAATGTATAGAACCCGGAAATCGCATACTAGGCGAGATCCGTTCGGGGTTCAAACGTTATCCGAATTAAGATCCGCAAAATCCTACGCGCTCGTGAGGACTGGGAGATCATTCTAGGACTGACTGTGGTCCCCACCCTACTGCCCACGCGCCGCCACACGCGCTGGCAGCGCGTGGTGCCTAAAGCGATAAAGCTTCCCCGGAAAAATCTCAACATCTCGGTTCAAGACTCCTATCCTAGGTAAAACACCCTATTTGGAACAAAAGAACCTACCCCAAAAAGTGGCCGGAAATGGCCGGAACAGTGACTCGAAAACCGGCTGAAACCTAACTCGTAAATCGAGCTATCTACGCTGGAAATTTCTGAAATCCTACCCAACCAGCAGTTAGAGCATGAAAAATAGCTAAAAATCCATACCTCACTCGTCCGATTTGGTGGCCGGAGGTGTCCGAACGAGCTCCGTGAAATTCCATCAAAAACTGTCCAAACCGCCTATTTCGTGGCGGTTTCCGGCGTCCACACCGGCGGATCACGGCTGGGATGGTTAAAACTGAAAGAGGGGAGTGAGGTGGTTCGTTTGGCACTGGTCTTGCTCAATTTTGTGGTCGGAGCTGAGAGAAACCCTCTCCTAAAGTCGGCTCGTCGAACTGGAGGAGGAGAAGAAAACTGGGTTTATAAAATCTGAACTTCGAAATATTTACGGTTATGCCACTGAACTTCTTTTGCTTGTAACTCCTTCGTTACAACTCCGATTTGAGTCCACTACATGTCTACGGACTCGTTTTGTCGCGCTCTACGCAACAGTACAACTGGAATCCTCAAATTCCTTCCCGGTCAAAAAGTCAACTTTTAAAATAATAAAATATTCTAGGGGTATTTTAGTCTTTTTTCCAAAATAAATTAATAATTAAATATTAATTTTGGGTTTGGGTTATTACAGCTTATGTCCCTTGCGGAGCAAGACATTTCACTAGAGTGTACATTAGCAAAACTCCAAGCTCAAATTGTGAGAGCACATAACATTCGACTAGCCATGTCTACTCCTCTTCCTCCATTGTTCTCGCCAATTTCTTCCGCACCAAGTTTGCCAAAGGTTGAGTCACCCCTAGTTTCACCAATGGCGGAAGAACATGCCAACTTGGTACGTCCTTTGGGGGACTTTGCGGTACCTCAAGCAACCGGTCAACCATCATGCATTACCTATCCATAGAGAACATTGAATTACTTCGAGTTGAGATCGGGTATGATTTACTTGTTGCTGAAATTCATGGGCAATTAGGTGGATGACCCTCACATGCATTTAAAAGAATTCTTCAAGGCATACTCAACTATATGAATTGATAGCATGAACGACAAAAGATACGAATGAGACTCTTCCCCTTCGGTTTGAAGGATAGTGCAAAAGTATGGCTTCATTCCATGCCACCCAAATTCATCACAACATGGATAGTGCTTGCTTCACGATATGGGCCCTTGAATGCATTAAGATGGAAACTCGTTTCGAACAAAAGAGCATAAAGATTTTGCTTCTGTTTGTTCTCCTATTGGCATTCGAGCTCAAACAGCAGTGTGATCCATCCTACAACTACTTGTACTGACATTAGTAATTAGCGTATAGTTAGAAAAATCTTTTCTTTCTATGTTTTTCTTCCTTGCACTTAGAAAATGTTTGCAATTCTCGTCCCTGAATTTTGTTTTCTACCATTTAAGGCTAGACTAGCCAAATGCCTATATTTCATGTGCTAAGGCATAATATGGATATGTTGCTTAACTTGGAGGAAGAATGAGAACTATCTTTGTAGCTTTTAAAAATTATTTTTATGAATAATGTTAAAAATCCAATACTGCCCGCACCGTGGGGGCCTCGGGTGGTGGGTGGGTGGGCGCAGGAAGAGAGAATTTTTAGTAATTAAACCGAGTTTGACTTCGATTCTTTTTTAATGCAAATGATGGTCTAAACTATAAGGGTGGGGGGTTTCTCATACACAAACACACTACCAAGATGCCATGGGAGTTCAACCCCAAGTGTAGAGTGGGGAGTACATGCGCTCTAGCCAACTTGACTAAGCTCGTGTTGTAAGAGGGGTTGTAAGGAAAGGGGAAGGGATTCTACGAGGGGTTGTTGTAGACACTAACAAGGAAGGGCTCATGTTGATTTGTGGGTTCTCCCCTTTTTGATTTTTCACAAGCTGCTGGAAGGGTACATACGAAACCGCGATGAGACACTGCTGGTATGTATTGCTTCTCTCCCTTTCTTTATTTCTTTATTGCGTGATGGGCTCGTCTGTGCTAGGTAAAAGGGTAACTTTTGTGTGATCCACTGCTCCTGTGTTTGTAGATTTTCATGTCTCTGGCATAGGATAGGGAGAGGTGCTGGAAGCCTTCGTCGCATTCCTTAATGCTGGAAGCTCTGAGCGTGCCAACTTTATAACTTGAGCATTTAGACCTCTATCTTGGTCTTTTAGTAAGAAACTCTGTTAATTTGCTGTGCATGACGAATTTTGCATGCTCCGAACTGGGTATTTTCTTTAGAAGGTGTCGCATAGGGCCAGGAATATATTTGGGCCCCAACCCTGGATTTTTTGAGTCTCAACAACAGCTTAAAAAAAAAAATTTCAGATCTGGAACTTGGGTTTGGTGGATGTCGAAAAGAGAATGGGAAAAGAGAAAAAGGGAGAAGAAATAGAGGGATGATGGTGGGATGGGGTTGATGGGTGTTGATTAACTCCTGATTCAGAGTTTCTTGTTTGTTTGAGAAAAAATAATTGTTCTAGTGGGGTGTTGACAGAGAAGTTGGAGAGGATAAGGTCTCAGTTAAGATATATGGGTTTTGTTTGACCCGTTTCTATGTGAAACCCTTTAAAACCATCTTTTAATCTCAACTGCCCATGTTTATTCAACGGTCTAGATACAAGTTCGCACTTAATGTTCCCATATAGTTGTTCTCACATGATCCGAGCGCTATGCTACTTTAGGTTTTCCAAAGGCTTAAATGTTAAAATGGTCCTTGTGTTTTATCTCATTAGCCAATTTAGTCCATGTGTTATCAATTTGGCCAATTTGGTCCTTGTGTTTGTATATGTTAGTCAATGTGGTCCATTCACTTAAAAATATAAAATATAAAATATTTAAAATTAATTAAAAAAACTGTAATTGATTATAAATTTTAAATTCAATTTGAAAATGAAATTATTATTATTATTTTTTAAATTTCTCCTTCCCCAATTTCGCACACACACCTCAACCACCTCCCAAACCTAGCCACCCTCACCACCACCACTCCAACCCCAAACCCATAGCCAGCCTCACCACCATTCCAACCCCACCAAAACCGCAATAACTTTCTCTCACCTAAACAGAAATAACTCTCTCTCTCTGCTTCCTCTATGACAAATCATGAAGATCTTCATAGCCAGTCACCATAACCTTGATGGCTACCGCCAATTGATCATCCTCACTGCTACAAAAGTCGACGACAATTAGGCCAATGGATCGGAGAGGAGAGAGAGATGAAGGTAAGAACCCTGTTTTTTTTTAGAAATTTATAAATAAGCCCAATCCTAGACATGTATTTATAAAAAAACCCAAGCACTATTTAAACATAGAAACACACCCAAAATCAACCCCAAAGTCAACTTTTTGGGTGTGTTTATAAATGAGTTTTGAGTGTGTGTAATGATGGGTTTTGGGTGTGTTTATATGTTTAAATAGTGCTTGGGTTTTTTTATAATTTCAACCCCCATTTTGAGTGTTTTAGTGAAACTCCCTGTTTTTTTTTCCCTACAAGAATCGAGACCATTGGAGATTGAGGTTGTGTGAGTTTTAATCATTTTAACATTATTATTATTATTTGAGTTTAAATCTTTATAATTAATTACAGATTTTTAAATTAATTTGAAATGTTTTTTTTTAAAGGTTTTAACATAATTTTGATGGAAAGGATCAAATTTGTTAACAGACACAAACACTGGGACTAAATTGGCCAAATTAATAACGTAGGGACTAAATTGGCCTATAAGGTAAAACACAAAGACCATTTCGACATTTAAGACAAAAAAATGCATAAGACATGGTTTAGAAAACGTTCAAGGCCCCAATTTTAGCACAATGTTATTGCAGAGATATATGCCTAAAGCTGTAGAAGAAGGATGCCATATCTAATGAAATCTTTCCATTGTCATGAAAGTTAAGACTTTAAAGTTGAAGGCTGACAGGTTTGGCTTCCAATTGTCTGGACACAGCATAAGGAATACAAAACCAGATAATTCTATCAGGCATACAAACGCAGCCACTGTGTAACATAACAAAAAAATGAAATTGACCCTTTTTTCTTCATGCCCTTTAGAACTCATTCATATATCATAACAACAATAAGTAGATACCAATAAGTAAACAAGAAGAAAAACAACCGTATATTGGTCCTCCTTTTGAGATTTCGAATTGTGTTTGACAACCACCTTTGATTTCATTTCAGACATTCAGAAGGCACTAGGATAGTGTAAACAGATTTTTATTTAAATAGACTTTAGAAAAAGCTGTCAACCAAACTAAAACACCTGCATGCATAAACAATAGCACGAACAAAGCTGCTATCACGCGGCTTCTTTCTTGGGGCAGTCTTCACTCTTGTGCTCGTTGTGTTCCTCTTGCCACGGAAACAATACCCATCTAACTCGCTCTTTGGGGCAGTCTTCAGTGTTGTGCTGACCAGAAGCACGACAATTCCAACACTTACGAGGAATTAATAATAACTCCTACCCAGTTCTCATCGTCATCGCCATGGCCACCCTCCTTGCCACAACATTTACAAACTATCATATAGCCGGGGCCAACTTTTGCGCCCTTTGGGACATAATTCCTGTACGGGCAAAATTTGATGAGACATAGCAGATTTGTCCACATTACTAGGCAGTGAATTTTACAATACTAGATCCTAACTTTGATGAGACAATACCATTACCATACCTTTGTAGACACAAAACCATTGCCCCTTCTTGGTTTATTACTGGTTTGCGCTTCCGCTGTTAAATAAATACAGAAAAATTAGTTAGTAAATAATATTATCGCACATAAATAAAAGGGTTGTTTGCCCTGTATTGAATGAAATTACAACTTTATCCGGTTTTTATCAGACAATTCATTATCTGGTTATTTAAAGACTCACAATTTGACCAAGTCCAAGTAAACTGCAGATAATCTTCTTCCGAAAATCAGATCCCATCCAATTTACGATCTAATTAAGAAATTCCAAAATTGAAATAAGATATTGAAATTCCGATTATTTGGTTCAGGACATAATTGGTGTACGGGTGATCCTGCTTCAAACACATCTTACATTGATGCTGAATAAATTAACAAGGTTTTCCTAGCACAATAAGCATAACAAAAACTTCAAAACAAGTCAATTACAAGCTAGAAAGCAGTCCACGCTGTTCAATTAACACAAGAGTCTCAACTTTGCACATATTGAATGAAAAATTAACCCATCAGAGGCCCAGTTAATCATATAAAAAGATAGGTGGCATAGTGAACACACAGGCTAATGCCATACAAAAACTTTCACAATTGAATTGCAGTAATCCAATTCCACCCATCAATTTGTTCATATTCTCATTCCACAAGTTTTTAAGAGGATGGTGAGAGTATACATTGGGTTAAAGTGGTGAGTAAAAATGCTCCCGGAACAAAATGGATCCTAGAAGTTATGTATCAGTTCCAATCCAAGTTCCAACAGTCCTCTGTCGTTGAGTTTCTTGGAGGATTACCAAGCAATCAACGTCCTACCTCTATCTTGGAGGTTGGTGTCTGTTCACTAGACTCACTACGATTGTTGGGAGACTTGGGACTTGGGGCTCTTAGCATCAATTTTTTTTGTGAAGTTAATTTCTGAAGCACCCCGTGAATGAAGAGACGTTGATGAAGCAGGATAGTTTCAACAGCGTTGATGAGCAGCTAGGCGTTGCACCAGGTTGATCCATTATTAAGCGTTGAAACATTAAACACTACAACTACAAAGCAACAAAAAAAAATTTATTTTTTTTATCATCATCACAAAAAAAAAAAAAAAAAAAAAAAAAAAAAAAAAAAAAAAAAGGCAAGGGGGGAAATAAAAAAATAAATAGATAAGATGTAACTACATGCAAAATCCATCTCATAGCATTTATGGGGAGTTGAAATTACATGCTACTTATACACTAAAAAAGGGGAAAATCATAAATTGTATAATTACAAATGGATTGCATGTCTATTTACGAGGTATACATTACATGGTTTCTAATTACTCGCACAAGCTTCATGAAATACTACTGACAATTCGGACTCCTATTGTTTTGAACCACACAAGGGATCTAACTCCATTGGCGCTTTCTGTGCAGCATCACCATCTCTCTCTTTAAACTCTGTTTGCAAGTTGAATCCAAATCCACTGTCACTTCCATACAAGTCTCGATCCCATTGACCGACAAATTCATTCTTTTGGTCAGCTTTTGGAGGCACATTAGATGTGGTGCAACCATCTGGCAACCCATCATCCACCCTTTGTTTCTTTCGCGGAGATGAGGGCATGGCAGATGCATCGCCCGCTGTCTCCAACTGAGATGACTTCTGCTTATCCTCCGCTGATGGCAATACATCAGATCCTTTGAGAACGCCACCAAGTTTCTCCTGCTCCTCAATGATCTTCTGCAAGTATTTACCCTGAGCTTCTATTCTCATCTGCAACTGCCTTTGAACCTGAATTTGTATTCAAATATATTAGCAAACTTTTAATATAGCCAACACAAGTATAGCCAATCAAAATGCACAGGCATAGACCAGAAGAAAGTGACAAATAACAATAACAATAAAGTGCACACACAAGAACAGACACAAGCTTTCGCCATATTAAATGCGCCTGCGTTCTAAACTAAGAGGATCGGGTCCAGGAACAGTTCCAGAATCATGCACTACACTCGAAATGAACAAGCAACACAATAATGTGTTCTGTGAAAAAAACAGAAGAAAACATGGATATTTGCAATTATCCACCCACCAACTTTCCCATCCCTACAAAATATCTTTTAAGAAAAAACCACTAGTACTCAACCCACCAACAAATATTCCCAAAACACTCCTACAAACCATTACTACTTAACCAGTTGCTAGCCTCCAGTGTTGCCATATTACCACCCAGGCCATGGCAGCGTTTTCAACATCACTATTAGCAGAAATTTAAAGTTTCCCTTTCAGTTTTGAATAAATTTTTTATACTTCCAATATATCTGAAATCCTAGTGACCTGTGTGCAAGAAGATTTTTCAGGCTATATTCCTCTTTCAGCAATTTAAGGCAAGGTGAGGGCAAGAGACCTTACCTCAAGCTGTTCATGAAGTCGCTTCTGAACTTCCATCTGCATCCTCAATGCCTCATTAATTTGGACTCCACTGAAGAATTTAAAGATTCTAATTAGATGCAGATCATTAATATAATAATAAGACACAGGACTATGCAAGTAAAGAGATATGATGATACTGGTCATGAAAGGTTAAGACGAGACAAAAAGTGTGCATATAATCATATAAGGTAAGGGAAAAGGTACCCACGGAGAAGAATCAGAGCAAGAAAGGCTGTCTCCAGAACCCTTCTTCTCGTCTTTAGAACCTATAAGTCAAAGTGCTTCTCCAAATTCAAATTCATATTTTAATACCGTAAAAACAAGTCTCCTATTGCTGAAATAACATAGATAGATGGAGGGAGACGACCCTTACCATCAGCCGGAGATTCTGGCAGGTACTTTGCAAGGCGATACTTCTATACAAAAGAATAATAACGCTATTAGAAACTAAAACATAAAAATGTCTAACATTTATGTTCCTGCGTAGGTAATATAGTGTAGCAAGGTGGCCGTACCTGTAAATGGCTTTTCACATGATAAATAGTTAGTCCCGGAACCCCCATCACTCTCAGAACACCTTTAGGTGTTGCCCCTAAAGCAAATTGGAAAGAATGAAATATATTAATTAGGTAATGGCTATGATCATAAACACTAGTTACTGGATCTGGAAAAAATAACATCCAGTCCCATGCTGTGGGACTGATTTGCCCCAAAGACTGCACACCTCTAATGAAGGACTGGGACAGTTTAATCCAATACTACATTTTGTCCCGTGAACGCACCATTAGCTACCTCACAGTTCATTAGAAAAATCTAACCATAAATCAATGCTTAAATCAATCCTTAACCAGAATTAAGAATGAGACCAAACACTCAGAATAATTTTACAAAATTAACAGCACACAGAGAAACATAGATTTATTAACTCAAAAGACATTACAAATCGTGGATATGGAATCCAAACTCGGGCTACAAGAAAACACCAAACACTACACTCTAGTATGAGAAAAAGATTCAAAGTACCAAAAATCAGAACTTCTCTAAATAAACTAACTGAATGCAACAGTGACTGTCCTTTAAGAAAGCACTGTGAAAAGTTAGAACCCATTAGTCCAAAGTAAAAGTCCTCATAAGGTTGGTTATTCAGTTAGCCATCCACATGGATATCCCTTACAGTACAAATTGGTAATTCCAATTCAGAAGTCGCTTGATCAAGGTTATTAGTTAACATGTTGACTCATACTATCACTATAGATGGTTACCCATAGTGTATGATAGAAAAGTGAAAACAGAGGGCAGAAACAAAGGAATTAGTTGTTCAACAAATCTTTCTTGGCTCTTCTTCATACTAGACACAGTTCTCTTCCATGCCTGAGCATGTTTTTTTCGACAGGAATTTCAACACTTAGCATCAATTAAAGGCCAAGATGAAACAGAAATCAATTTACAATTGGACTTCTATTTCAACCAACAGCACTATCAACGCACAAATTTCATAGCAATCAGAACACCACTGTAGCATATTATATTGAGATACTTTTTAGAGTTTATAAATTGTCAGTTTGGGAGTTGGTGTTTTATTTTAATGTTGAGAACCCAACCTTCCATCTTGCCAAACTTAAGGAAAACGATAATACGTGTACAGTTCCTGAATCCAAATACTTCTTTGGATCTACCTGTTGCTTATGCCCCTAATGCTTGTAGTCTTCTACATGTCAACCTACTGCTCAAGATCCTTCTTCCATGTGAACCTATTACTCAAGTTGGACTAAACATACTAGTTGGACTGAACCAAATAAACAAGAATATCGCCGAATTAAATGGCATAAGGCTGAACTCCATGAATGTCAATTTTTTTTTTTTTTTTTTTTTTTTTTTTAAAAAAAAAACCCTGAAAAATTGGATTATAAAATAACAGATAGAATGTCTACCCAAGTCAAACTACCTGAAATGTGGCCTAAAGACTCAAGAAGCATCAGGGGAAAAGGCAATGCCAGCTCAACCACCAAAACCGATTTATTAGTAGAAACATAGGATCATTCAGGCCAGACTCATTTGACTTAATGACTTTATGAAGGTATCATAGTTGAACTACTATTCTGCATAAAATATGCCGGTTAAAATACTTCGAACGCTTTGTGTAAACCCTAAATTGAAGATAAATGTCTTATATACCTCCATTCTCGCCCCAGAAGCACAAAAAATGAAAAATAATAATTGAGCAGTCCTTCAAGAATGACTTGGGAAGCTGAATGCTGGAACCAAACATTTTGAATTATCAAAATCCATGACAACATGATTGGACCTAGACAAATTCGCAATTTCTGTGGGCTCAGAGCAAGGTTTCAAAGCAACAATAAGCTGAAAGAAGACTAAATGGAAGATCAAGCTTCTACAAATGGAGTAGAAGATGAATTGCCTCAAGGAGTTTTGCAAGCCCAAAAAATTTAGATGTTTGTGTTTCTTCTAAGTTCTGAATACACTAGAAATGGTGCCTGAAGCTGATGAGGATGCACTGATGTGCAACATGTTCTCACATCTATTTGGCCCAACACTAAATTTAATTTAGACATCTTCCATTGAGGTCCATCCCAAATTTTACCAAACTCTATGAGGCATTCATCTCCAAGTACATATGTAACAAGAAGAAAAAGGAGAAAGCATCCAACTCCAACATGAAACGGGAAGACGAAATTGATGGATTTCCTAAGCTGATTTGTCTTTGAATGTCCTAGGTAGGAAAACGTGATAGCTAGCCATGGGTTGGATCAGCACTCAGGCCCAGACAAAGGGTGCAGGAGTCACTACTCAAGAGACCTCCAAGGGCATGGTCAGAGTCACCACAATAACCGACGGCTGTACAAGACTTAAGGAGGGAAGAGCCAAGCAATGAGTAAAATCAACAGGGAAGTGGTTTCACAATCCTCATGCGCAAACCAAAAGACAAAGCAGAAAGATCAAGTAGCCTAAAGAAACCTTTACTGAGATCCAACAGACCATGTGCTGGGCAAAACTGTACATGCGAATACAATTTGGATATTATTTCAAGTATCGCCACCTATGAGGAAGCCAGAACAAGATACAAGTAAGCATTGTTCCTTAACATCCATCAGAACTAACAAGTGCAGGAACTTGAGGGGGAAAGTGGAGGCCATGATCAAACAAGGCGATGCTCCCTCCACACACGGCCAATCGTGCACAATTGATGAAACTACCGAAGTTACCCAAACAGAATTTCCTATCAATAGTCCAATTTTTTTCCCAGATTATAACTTTCATTTACAAGAATCCTGGCCCGAATGACAAAATGAAAGCTCAGAGAAAAACAAGACAGGAAAGACAACAAGAAATCATGAAAATAATTTGTAGGATCTACACCCCTGCACAATAGTTATACCAATGAGAAAAACAAACGTAATTCAGACATAAGGATGTAGAATGCATCCACCTCTTAAACCATGAGCCATTGGTAGTCATCATACTTGCACATGTAAAGTTTTTGGGACAGCTGCGGAAATCAACGGTTAAAGGTATAGAATATTAAATCAAGCCAAGCAAATTGATCAGCTTTGGCGGGAAGGAAATGAATCCCATGGATGAGTCACTCTACCAGTTATTTGGGTTGATAAGGCAATAGTGGACTTCACACTGGTAGACTCTCTTTCCCCTTATAACTTTTAGCAGAGCTCAAACTGGGAGAAGCCCTGTCTGCATATAACTTGAATAGGAAAGTAAAGGGTACATTAAATGGAAGGGATTCCTTCGAACTTGCACCAGGTCATCATGAGTGGTTTTACAGGGACGGACAAGAAACCATTGACATCAAAGGAGACCCATGTACATCGACACTATGGCGAAGCTGGACCTTGAAAGTTGAGTTGGCTTTTAACTTTGGTTTGAGCCTCCTAGTAATGTTCTCTCAATTTTGCAGGGTGATAAGGCTGGCCGGCCTCGGCCTCAAATAATAGTTACTTAGTTGTTTTTGCTTTTGCATCCATGTAACTGAAAAACGGAGATTCACAATGCCACAGTATTGTGACCAGCCAGTACCAAACAGCCAGAAAATCAAGGTGAGCCTTCAAAACAACTAGAAGGGGACCCACCTAAATGGTTCAGGCACGAGCCTAATCAAAATCCCCACTTTAGAACCACTAGTGGAAAAGAATCTGTATCCATTTAAGCCAGAAAGCACAGATGTGCGGCTATCAGAAGAAGAAAATAGGCAGCAGATGGAGTTTCTAAAGAACAACAAAGATATCTTCACGTGGCCATATATAGACATGTTAGATATTCATTCGAGGATAGCATGCCACATTTTAGATCTCTGAGACAAAGAAGGATAGCTATGAGAGAAGAATTTCCAAGGCAATCCACTTTCTTGGAGCCCTAACCAAAAGAAATGACTTCACACTTACCATGAATAATAGAACATGACAATGAATCCTTCTCAAGAGGACTCTCCACAACTATCTACACATAAGAGGCATGTTCCTAAACAACAAGTTCCCAATCATGAACCCCCTCCTCCCGGCACCAATTTCTTTATGACTTTTAACTAGACTCTAACTGATTAAATGAATCTCCCTTAACTACCCTTACCCAAAAGAAATTTATCATAAAATTTTCTAGGATTTGGCACTAGACTCCAACTATTCAAATCAGCACTCATACCTTAACGGCAGAAATGGAAAAATAAAAACAAAAAAGATGAAATAAAATAATTCTGATAAAAAATCAAACCAAAGCCATCTCAACCACATAGGTCCCCACTCATAAACATCAGAAAAAGAAAGGGGGAGGGAGAGAGAGAGAAGCAATTCTAGAGTTCAGTTAGAAGAAGAGTTTCTCTACAACAGAAAAGTCATCCGTAATCAAAAAACAAAAGTTTTGGAAACAAAGGAAATACAATAAAATCCTGCCTTTATTTCCCCAAGCATCTTCATTGAAACTCAAACTACCATAAATGAAGCCATTAATCAAGTAATTATGAAATAAAAATCCCTCTAAATTATTTGGTTCAGAATTAAGAGGATCACCACACAACAGAACTAATGAAGTAAAAGTTAGTATACCAAAAAAAAAAAGTGAAAAAAATTATAATTCTTGATATTGTAAGGCAGGGATAATGTAGGAAGGCCACTAAACTATTTCAAACATGTGAAAATTGCTTTCTCGTAATTCTATCACCTGATACTGTGAGCAAACAAACATACATTTATCACATTCTTAACAGAGAACTACAACTGACCCAAAAACAGCGAAAGAAAAATAACCCATGTCTGCTAAAGGGAAAAAACACAACATAGATGGATTAATTACAGTGAAAAAATGGAACTAAAAAAGAAAGTACCAAATAGAATTACGTTACTAAAAGAAAATACCCACTATCTGGTCCACCGAGTTGCGTAATGGCGTCGACGAAGCGGTCATGGAGATCCGAAGTCCACCGCAGGCGTTGCTTGCCACTTCCCCCAGAAGGCGTTGGGCTTTTCACTGAAGAGCCACCACTGACAACCCCAACGTTTGCGAGCTCCTCAGAGCTCTGGGGTTTGTGAGGAACTAAGCTCGCTGTTGAAAACTTCTTGGCATGATACATGGTGAAAATCCACTGAACATACACACAGAGACACAAAAAGGAAGAGCGAAAGAGTGAAAATTTGTGAACAAAATACAAAAAGGTAGAGAATTCGCAAAGTCAAAGAATCTCCATGATAATTGAAACAAACCGTTAGCAGAGAAGAAAGAGAGATGAAGTTGTAAATTGAAATCGCAGCTGCAGACAGAAATTGAGGTTGAGAAGAAAGCTTCAGGGACAATTCAATCGATGAGACCAATCATATTATTCTCTCGGCAGCTTAGAAACTAGAAAGCTTGTCAGCTATTGGACTTGGTTGGAGAAATTTTATTGGAGGCCTGCAAAATGGTAAACTGCGCGTTTGGACGATGTAGACAATTGAGGTCAAAAGGCAGGTCACGACCCACAAAGCTTCTGGTCATTTTGGACTGTCCAACTATGTGAAAGCCAAAAAAAAAAAAAAAAAATATCATGAAAAATGTTTATCAAAAATTCGCATCAAAAAAAAAAAAAAAAAAAAAAAAAAAAAAAAAAAAAACCAAACTTGCCAAAAAGTGGCATTTGAGAAAAATTAAGGGTTGTATTCAATTTGGAAAATGCTAGAGGCACCAACTTTGGGCACCAAGTTGGGCACCAACTCTCTAATAGAGCGTGGGACCCGGTGTATCCGCGAGTTCCACCTCTATTAGAGAGTTGGTGCCCAAAGTTGGTGCCTCTAGCACCACCCATTCAATTTAACCTCCAACACATTCTTCTTGAACCTCCAACTTGGCTGCGGCTTATCCAACCTCAATTCTTGACTATAACGTTTCATTTAAATTTTAGAGTCTTGGCTTTTGCATATGGTGATTATTTGCTAGTAAAAGAAAGGTGTTTTTATATGGTCAAGCTTTGGACTCATCTTGTTTCTGCATACAAGTCAAGAGATATACTTATACACCGGTTGTGGACTTTGCCAGAACGTAGTAGGCTTGAATCTCCTTAAAGAGAGAGATTTCGCACCTCACCCCAATTATCTACGTAGTTTCGAGGTTTTTCATGATTCAAATCGTCCAATGCCTCGCATATTAGAACTTAATAGATCACACACGTATAAGTTTGAGATATGTAAATTAAATAGAGATAATAAACAAAAATTGATTAGTTAATAAAGATGAATTAATTATTGAATGTAGGAGTTTCATTGGTTCTTAAAATTAGATTTGCACACGTGCATGTTTACTAATCTGCAATGGATACTGGAATTATTTTAGAATTCTACATTATAATGTATAAACCAATAAAATAAAATAAAAACCAAGAGCTAAAATTATTAGGAGAGATTGCTCACCCCATGCCTGTTAATTCTTTCTCTTCGGCATTCCTGATTCCCGTCATTCCATGTATGTAAACAACGCATTTAAGTTCTTAATTCCAAAACTGTTCTTGTACTTGCAAAGGTTTTGTAACTTGGTATATGGTGCCCAAGCTCCTATAGTTCAAGTACTTCCATTTAAGTTCCGTTGAGGCTTCCGAATCATCCTTTTTTTTTTTTTTTTTTTTTTTTTTTTTTTTTTTTTCGTTCTAAGGAATGAAGATTTCATCACTAAAGACTTCCCATCAAGAAGAAATCGGTCTTATTTAAACACCTTGTTTAAGCATATGTTATCAGGAAGTAGTATCATGTCAATGCAAGCTATAAATAGCTTTCCGGGAACATAGTGAAGAAAATAATAAACAGCCTTTCATGCAAGATGATTACATTTTCATGGTAAAGTTACTGAGATAGTCTTGTGAAGGAACCCATATTTGGTGAAATAAGTTTATAATCTTTAATTATTACACTGGATGTTGCAGACAATGCCAGAAAATCACTGGAAAGGAATGAGGCTCATTGTTCAGAATAGAGTTGTTAGCACCTACTATGGGAATCCAAAAGGGGAAAAAAGGGCTGTCTGGTTTCTAACATGCAGAACTAGAAGAAATTGGGAAGCAAGAAAACCAATCCATTCCACAGTGAGAACCCAAACCACCAACTTTACAAAACCAAATCAGTTTCGCAATAAGATGCATGCATGTAAAAGAAGGAAAAAACAAAAAAGGCAAACCAAAAAGAAAGAAATCCGATCAGTTAGACAATGAGAACACCAATCATGAAATGCATGCGGCCATATTCTTACAACCCCCCAAAAACTGAAGAAATTATAAAAAAGACAAACATGACATTGAAAAGCCAGACCATAATACATGTAGTCATATATACACAAGATGAAACCCAAACAGGTTAGTTAGAACATGAAAATGAAACCGCAAATTGAATAAAACCAAATATGAGATACATAAAACAAACACGCAGAGGCAAAAAAGCAACCACATATACAAAAACTGCTTAAAATGAAAATTAAAAAAAATAAACAAAGGGAAGGAAGGAAGAAGCACCTTGTGGTAATGAGAGTCGCCAGATAAGGTGAGGGATTCATAAATTTGAGACAAAGACGTGTGACAGAGTGTTTGGAGGAGAGACAAGAAGAGACAGGATGAGACTTGGAAGTGTGTTCGGAGGAAGAGGGAGAGATGGGAGGGAAATAGAGAAGAGAAGAGGATATTTTTTCTGTGAAAATTTAAACTTTAATCATTTTCACGAGATGTACTTTACAAGCACAACTGTCGTCGTAGTATTGGCTTATTATACCATATCAGCAAGCTGAGGTAATTTTCACTTTGGTACCTGGATGAAAGATTCATGCACTAAGACTGCAAATGGTATCTAGGAGGTCAGTAGCAAGGCATTGACTGACACAAAATTATCTTCAGCTCCATGATTTTTCAACAAGTTATTTAAAAAAAAGTAAAACTAGTTATAGTTCCACTTTGAGCTTTTTGCCTTCCATTCTAAATTTTGTTTTTTATCTAACTAGAAGTTCATTTGAAGGAGATAGACCATTACCTTAACAGTGAATCAAGTTGTAACAGATTAGCCCATTCTCGAACATTCATCAGCAATTTTCAAATCATAATATATAGCACAAAGAGGGTTCCTTAACATCTGAAGAATCTGGTTGCTATGTGTTCTGCAACTCCCATGCTTGAAGTTAAACCAGGTGACTCAATACCAAAAAGGTTAACAAGGCCAGTTATCCCATGAATGTCCTCGCCCTGCACATATGAATTCATAATGAGGTCGTATTTGTCAAATACTAATAGTTCAGGAAATAGCAAACAAAATCCAATCTCCGTAAAGCTCATAGTTGTGAAAAGTATATCAATAGAACTATATCAACTATATATCCCATATAATAGTTAATACTTGAGTTTCAATTATCACTTTAAATATGGCTTGTCATGCATGTCTATCAAAGTTTAAACTCTATTGAAATAGCACAGAGCAAAAAGCAGTCCGAAAACACAGTGAATCCTTGTTTGGGTAAATTTCAATGTCATCTTACATTTCAAAAAGCATAGTACCTAGAAATGAAAAAGAATATGATATAAAAAGCTTATCAAGAATATAAAGAGTCAAAACTAATATTACAGGTTAGGGCTTTACTGGTGTTGTCTGACTTAGAAACAGAATGGTCCTGGGAAGTCTAATATGTTATTCAAAATCTATACTTTAGAAACCAGATCTTACGCTAGAAACAAAATGCTCATGGGAAGTCTAACATGTTGTTCAAAATCTAGGTTTTCAAAAAGTTTCTGTCATGCTTTAGAAATCAGATCTTACGTTCTTTTTCTTTCTTTCCAAAATGAGGTTACTACAGTCTACAGCTCTGTTTGGGCAGCACATAGGACAAAAGAGAGAACATAGTGTGTTCAACACGTTGGTACCCATATATATGTTCTAACAAACCCCTGCATAATATGGATCCAATATCGACAAATTAAACTTTAATGAAATGTCTCCATATAATCTGCATCACACACAATAATTTCTCAAAGTGTGGTAAAATCTATTCTGTTTGAGGTTTGAGTGACCACACTGAGAGTGAGAGAGACAGACAGACAGACAGACAGAGACAGAGACAGAGACAGAGAGACAGAGAGTCCTATCAACTTTTTATAATGTTCAATCAATTTGGAAGTCACTCAAAATCCAAATTATGGATGGAACTTTTTAGTTTTATGGATATTCAAAATCCAAACTGTTCGTCTTTGCAAAGGAGCATCTTCAGCATCCTACACGACGCTTAATGTTCATAGATTAAATGGAACAGGAGAAATGGTTACTGAAAGAAACACTGGATGATAACTATATGGGTTCATCCTATATAAGTAGAAGATGATGTGTACACTAGCTCATATCCCTATGTTTTTTCTATGAGGAAAAAAAGAAGAAGAGAATTATATGGATCTTGCTTTATTTTGCTATTTTGTTTCATGGTAACTGAAAAATGTTAACGAATCCCACTTGGACTCCGTCTGAGGTGTTAAGGATGGATAGGGGTTGATTGATTCTAAGTACAGCATTGCCACGCAAGCAACAAAGAACCGGAAAAAAAGGAGTGAGCTCACCATAGTACAGTGAGTTTTAGAAAGTAAAACTAACCATTTATATAGGCCAATTTGAGCTAAAAGCTGCTACAGCAGCAAGATTTAGGATTCAATGACAACATTTTGTGTACAAATGCGCTTGGCTCATTGCCAAAACCATTATTAGGCACTTCTGATTGGTTAATAAGATATAAAGAGGTAAGTATGTGAGGAATACAACGGTAGATCTATTGCTATACATGCTCATGTATTCTGGCCACAATCATAATTCTCATGATAGATGTGTCAACAAAAAAATTCTGACCTAACATTTCAGGTTCAGGCATAAGAACAGTATGCAAGAAATAACCTGTATCACAAAATCAACTGGAGACTGTCGAGGACCTGAAAGCTTTGGTCGAATCCCTGCATAACCTGGATCGAGAGACCCATCTTTTAGATTTGGGTAGTACTTCCTTATCTCTGGGTAAAATAGCTTTGCATGATTCGTACATACAGAATAGTCAAACCTGGAAACAAGGCCTTGTCATGTTTTAAAAAAAATGTTCAACACTACAGTTATTATACAGGTACACCAAAGAAAGAAACCAAGGTTAAATAAATGAGGGCAATAACTGAATTAACTTTCTTATCGGGTAGATGCACAAGCGCTTGGTTGACATGCATTATAAATAATGCCTCTCCTTTGTGCATATAATAGCATCTAAAATATATAGCAGTGCTAATACCACCCACACCAAACTTTTATGACTGTTCTGATGACTTAAAACTTTTGCATCATCAGTATGGTATATAATTGTTATTATAAATATACTCCGGATGCAAGAAAAAACAAATCACAACAAATCATTATTGAATAACATCACATGCATCCCAATCAGGTCATCTAAGATTTTACCCTAAAAGCATCTTAACAAACATATGATCATATATCTGCAATGATAAATGCAAAACACTTTACAAGAATAAGGGCATATTAATTTACAACCCATCAGCAAAAGTGAAAAGGACCTCCATTTGATCATTAACTCAGGCAGTAAGATTAGTATCAAATGCATGGTCTAAAGAAACACAACTTATGCAAGATAGCAGAATTGGATGCACAATGGAAACCTATATTTATAACAACCAAAAACTGAAGGCATGTGTTCTTCTGTGCAAGCATGCATAGGAACTTCTGCACTGAGTTGACGACTTCTTAAACCAATGACTTAATTGACAATGCAGAAAGTACTACACACTATGTATAACGGACAAAGAGATAAAGAAAATATTACTTGTTTAGGAAGCTTGAAACGTCATCAATACCATCAATCCATTCTACATTGGGGCCAAACTTGACCTGACCATTCAAATCCAGAGTAACATGCACACCAATGCCACCATCCTCTGGTAAAGGATAAATCAAATGTTTGAAAGGACAAATTGTAGTATTTGATAGCGTGAAGTAGCAACCGCGAGCATAATAGGCAGGAGGAATAACTGCACTACGGAGGCCATCAAATCGCTTTGCAAGGACAGGGGCACTCAAGCCAGCAGAGTTCACTACAAGCTTAGGAATGAGTACCATCTCTGGTTGCAATGGAAATTTTCCATTCCAATTTTCAAGATGTCTTGTTTCAGAAATATGAAGGCATAGGCGATTTTCTTCAATATGGCCGCCAATAACTGTAGTATTATAGGAGAAGGTTGTGCCATGATTTTCAGCTTCACCCTGGGTCCACATGTGGGTGATATCTCTGTCAGTAAGCAGTTCTAACTCTATAGGGACAAATTGATAAAATCCAATGTTAGCTGAGCTCTCCATAATAAATACTGAAATTATATTTGAAGCATGTATTTGATCCTAATTTTATTAATTTATGAAACGAGAAAGACGAAAATGCATACCACCAAAGACAGCATCAAGGAATGCGTATCAACAATCCCAGAAACTGGTGATAGTAAGGCTTTCAAGCATCGCAATTCGGGTTCCATCCTCGTAGCTTCTGAACCTTCCATCATAACCAAACCACCAACCCCATTTTTTATCCCGTTATTCATTAGATTATGCAACTTTGGAATCTCTGAAGGTCCTGTTGCTACTATAAGTTTACCAATTTGGTTATGAGGGATATTGTGTTCAGAGCAATATTTGTAAAGCAATTCTCTTCCTCTTACACATAAGATTGCCTACAAAATGCATTGAAATTACAACATTTGTTTCTTTCTAAAATTTGTACTTCCAACATTCATTTTGAGAACTGGGAAGTGGGTACTTTCCAAATTATGTTCTTCATTTTTGTTTTTCTTGGGTAACACAATCTTAATAAAAGTTGTAAGAACAAAACAAAGAGAAAGGAGAGAGAGAGAGAGAGAGAGAGAGAGAGAGAGAGAGAGAGAGAGAGAGAGAGAGGAGACCTTGAGAGAATTGGGAGGATAGTAGATGCCGGCATGGATGACCTCGCTGTTGCGGGAACTTGTGCCAGTGCCGAAGGTGGAAGCTGATTCTAACACCAACACCTCTCTGCCCTTTAAACTAAGCTCTCTCGCTACTGCTAATCCCACCACACCTGCCCCTATCACCACGCAATCTACCTTCTCTTTTGGAACTCCATTGCTGCTGCTACTACCAGTAGTAGTAGCAATATTACGACTCTTCAAAATCTTAAAGACAACTGACGACGACGATGAAATCCTTTCCAGGCTGTGGATTTTGCTTTTCAGCATCTTTGGTTTGGGCTTACCTGTCTCTCTAGCTAACACTCAGCACCGGTCGAATACCCAAGAGCCAAAGCTACAAAGGGTCCTTTTGAGAGACAGTTCGGTATTGTTGTGTTCTGCCGTGCTAAGAATAATAACTAGGACGGTCAGGATGTTTGCTGAATTTGAGGACCTGGGCTACAAGTGAAGAAAGAAGGGTAAATTCGAAAGAGCAAAGCTTTGGCTTCTCAGGGTAAATTCTAAAAGTTAAATTAATTTAACGAGTCTCAAAATCTCATTTGCTTTGAGCTTCTCTTTAGTTTTTGTTTTTGTTTTGGTTGTTTTTGTTTTGGAAGGTCCTCTTTAGTTTTAAAAGGCCAAGTTTTACTCATTCGAAAATATGTTTTAAAGTATTGTTTAGGGTTTAGACAAGTGTCAATACCCATGAACAAGTGTCATGAGAAAACCATTGTTTCTATCTAATAATAATGTCACCAGAAAAATAAAAAGCAAAGAATTAACTATAATTATGTTCATAAACAGGTGTCAAGTTTTGAGAACTATGACAAGGGTGAGCAAAAATGCTCCCTTTTAATGGGTGGTGTTCGTTCGTGTTTGATTTTTTCCACACATCAACTTTTACATAAAAACAAAAATGAACACAAAAACAAAATAATAAGTTTATAACTACCCCATTATAGTAAAAGCCAAATTTACATTGTCAATGTAGTATAGCTCAATTGGTTGAGCTCTTCTACCTTTACTTATATGGGCAAAAGTTTGAAATCCCTAGACACCCAAAGAATATTTGTGCAAACCCTTCTCCCCCAATCACTTATACTAAAATTAAAATAAAAACCAAATTTACATATCCCCGTTTGAGATGTTTCAAGGGAAAACACTGCGGTCATGAATTTCTTTTATTACCAATGGGGTGTGTTGAAACGAAAAAATGGGCCAAATAAATTTTATCATTTATTTCAAATAAAAATTAAATGATAAATGCGAGCCAACATGGGTTCCTAAAATTTTGGGATATCTATTATGTTCCAAATTGATGAGGTTGAATTTGATCATCACTTATTTGAAATTCAAAAAGTGTTGTTTGTTCAAAGGAGTCTTATTTGGTTGGCCTATAAAAAGGCTACAAAAGAAAAGAAGAAAAAAAAAAAGGCACGACAGATTAAAAAAAGACTGCTGGAGAAAGGATGCAAATCTATAAGTGAGAAACCCCGAAATCATTTGGATGAAAATCCATGGGTGAGGAACCCCGAAATTATTTGGATGTAAAAATCCATATGGGTGAGAAATGTTGGAATTTTAAAAGGTTTTAAAAATTTAACCGTTTTATTTATTTAAATATTTTGGATTTTTTATTATGGGGATTATAAATATTTAATATTCAGGCTTTATTTCTTGTTGGTGAATGCCTTAATTTTTTGGTTGGTGAAGGTTACATGTTTCGGATGCCTATAAAAGGTCACTCCTCCTTCACATTTGATACACACACAAAACACACAATGCACTATCAGAATATCACATACACATTCTAATTGTCTCCTTATCTACTTTTACATATATTCTCTAATTTATATTATTATTATTTTGGGCAATGGTTATGTGACTTGGATACCTATATCTGTCTATGAGCGTGCTCATAGTGGATCTTGAGTTTGTGTACAAGGGGTCGAATCTTGGAGTTTTGTAGACTGTCAGTACCTGCACATAGAGAGGCTAAAAAGGCTTTAGGACAGCGTCTTTGACGTGCTTCACTGTACCAAACTCACCTTCTTACTTATTATTTATTTTCCTTTTACTTACCTATTATTTTGTTTTCTTCAATTTCATTATACCTTTAAAACTTTCCAATTTATTTATATGTTATTTATAATATAAATGTTTTGTATTTGGCTTTACGGAAGAGGAAAACTATTATTTTTTATAACAAAAACCCCGAAATTATTTGGATGTAAAAATCCATATGGGTGAGAAACCCAGAACCTTTGCAAAAAAAAAATATGGAAAATGAGTTCAAAGATCCATGACAATTAGCAAACAAAATGGGTTCACAGATGCAAATAAAAAAAATGGCTATATCTCTTCTGTGTCCGTCCTAAAAATACAGAAAGAAAAAAAAAAAAAAAAAAAAAAAAAGAAAATTTGGAGGAGAGGCCACGCACAGCCCACGTTTTCTTGAATCTCATCTGGTGTTGTGTACAAATAATCAAAATAAAAGAAGCTTTGTGTTTTGTTGTGGATAGAGGCTCACTACAGCACAAAAAGAAATGAAGATGAAACAACTATGTTTTCTTTTGGAGGAGGGCTTGGTGTGGTTTGCTTACAGAAGAAATAGACTAGAACAAGAAGATGAAGACAACACGTTTTCTTTTGCATTGGCTTGGTGTTGCAGATAACAGCAACAAACAAAAAGGAAAAAAAAAGGAACTGAAAAAATAAAATCAAAACAAACAAAACAAAACAAAAAAAAAAGGAAAAAAAGTGGTTGTACGCAACTTTGTTTGTGTTGCTGGGTTAAAAGAAGAGAAAGAGGCCAGCCAAAAGAAAACATGAGATAAAAGAGAATTGAAAAAAAGAAAAAGAAAAAAGAAACAAAAGGAATGATGTCTCTGTTTTTTGTTTTGTATAAAAAAAAAAAAAAAAAAAAATAACAAAAAAAGGAAAGACTCACAAACAAGACAAGATGCAGAAGTCGGTGGGTCACAGGACAAGGTGCAGGGAATGGTAGGGTTGGGCAAGGTTCAGATCGGATTGATTTCATCTTAAAACCACGGCCGAACCAATTACAATATAACGGTTTGGTTTGGTTCGGTTTGGATAAAAGTTATAAAGGAAACCGAACCAAACCAAACCAATTTAAGACGGTTTGGTTCTGCCGGTTTGGGCCTAAGCCCAATTCTCTTTCTTTTCAACATTGTTTGCCCAATTTTAACCAATAAATTCACAACTTACTTCATAAATAAATCATTTTTTAGAGTACGAAACCATCCTAAAGCTCAAAATTTCATAAAACTTCATATTTCACTAACTAATATAACTCAATTCAAATTTTCATATATAGTAATTAACTAATTAGAGTATTACACATGTAAAATAAAATATAAATAAATAAATATACACAAAAACGGTTCGGTTTGATTTAAGCCGGTTTACAAAAGCTCAAAACCAAACCAAACCAAACCATATACGGTCCAGTTTGGTTTTTAAACCGTTTGACTTTTCTTGGTCAAAACCAAACCAAACCGGTAATTATAATTTGGTTCGGCCGGTTTCATCATTTCGGCCTGATTGATGCCCACCCCTAGTGAATGGTTCTTAGATATTGTGACTAAAGAGAGCAGTTTTTGTCGAAGCTGAACAATATAAAAAAAAGCGTAAATCCCTCTAAATAGAGAGAAGTTTGGGCAGTGGTGTTGTTTCTTTCCAACTCAGTCAAGGTTACACTTCCTTCGTATCTCCAATTCTTTTGAGTCTCCAATTCCTGAAGTCTCAGCTGAAGTATGATTGATCCACTTAAAGGATGAGCTGCACGCTGGTTTCTTTTGTTACAAAGACCACAGTTGTGAACCATTTTTGTTCATGAGTCAGTCAAAATATCAAGGGCCCGAAAACATGATAGTGGGTTGTCCACCTTTGAATTCTCCAAAGCCCAAAATATTTAATGGGTGATCCAAATAATTAACCTTTAAATTTACAAGGCCCAAAAACAGATTAATGGGTTCTCAAAATATTTGCCCATTAGTTCTCAAAAGCCCAAAATATTTAATGGGTGATGCAAATAATTACCCATTAAATTTACAGAGACCCAAATGGCCTATTATATGGTTCATAGATCAATTTTAAAAAATCCTCATAGCCATATTTGGGTCCAAGTGCAAATATCAATTTTAGAAAATCAGTGGGTTAATAAAAATTGCTCATTATTTTTCTTGGACATTAACAAAAAGAAAAATGGTACAAAACCATCTTCTTCTTTTTGCCATGGATCGTCTACCCATGCAAATTTAAATGAGATTAAATTTTTCCTATAGGTCATCTATCTATGAAAATCTCCAAATTGTCTCAAAGACACAAATTCTCAATTAGTGGGCCACACTCATCCATTAATTTCCAATTTTTCTTAGGGGTCATCCACCGATGAAAATTCCAATGAGATTAAATTCAAATCTTTCAAACACAAATGCTCAATTAGTGGGCCACAGTTACCCATTAATTTCTAATTTTTCCCATAGGTCATCTACCTATGAAAATTTCCAAATTGTCTCAAAGACACAAATTCTAAATTATTGGGCCATACTTACCCTTTAATTTCCAAATCAATTTGGAACTACGCCAGTTTGATCCCATCAAGGGTATGTAGGCAGTCTAGCATCACAATAGAAGCAACCGCAACCAAATTTGAATCACTAGTTATATAAACCAAATTCCCACTAATTAAATATCTATCTCCACACAAATGAATTCCGAACTACGTTGGTTTGATCTTATCAAGGGCACGTAGGCAGTCTAGCGTTCCAATAGATGCAACCGCGACCAAATTTGAATAACTGGTTACATCAAGCAAATTCCCACAAATATCAAATCCAAATAGAATCTCTGGTTTACTATTAACCAAATTCACCCCAAACACAAATCAAAATCGAATCCCTGGTTTATTCAGCTAAATTCACTCAAACATTTTTTCAATCAAATTCATTCAAATTCCCCATTTTGAAATGAGTCATTTATTCATTGCAATTCTTTGAACTATGAGTGGCTTGATTCTCGCAAGGGATACATAGGCACCCTGAGGTTGGACTTGGGAGCTGCCACAAAATCAAAGACATGTTCTATTTCTTTATTATGGAATTGTAGGGGCTTTTTCTTTCCGGCAGCTACAAATGGGTCTGGGCTGTTGTAAAGAGTCAAATGTGTGAAATTGCCCCTAAGTGTGAGTTCAAGAATTAGACCCCAAGAGTGCTTCGAAAGGGTAGCTGAGCCTTAGGAAACACCTTGGTCTTCTTCACCAATGAAACTAACAATTGCTTACAGATAAATTCTTGGCTTGGCTTGAGAAGCTTATGGCATGGAAGCTAAGGATTCATGAGTTTAGCATGGGAAAGAGAAATACCAGGTTTTCTACGAGAAACAGAGGTTAAAGGAAAGGATTTTGTGAGGATTTGCTGAGGAGAGAGAGAGACAGAGACAGAGACAGAGATTAGGGTGGAAGAATGGGTGCTTTGGGTAATTTTCCAGCAGCTTGATGAAGGGTTCGTCAAGCTCTTGAATGGCTTGCCAGAGGAGAAGATGGGAAGAGATGGAGGAATAGGGCTCAAAATTGAAGGGTTCCAAGGATGAGAGGTGAAGCTTGCTCTCTTTGGATGTGTGTTAGATGGGGGAGAGAGAGAGAGAGAGACGATGAGGGTGGAAGAATGAGTGGTTTGAGCAAGTTTCTGGTAGCTTGACGAAAGCTCTATCAAGCTCTAGAACGATTTACCAGAAGAGAAAATGGGAGAAGATAGAGGAATGGGGCTAGAAATTGCCGAGGTTTCAAGGATGAGAGATGAAACTTGCTATCTGGATGTGTGTTAGATGGGGGAGAGAGAGAGAGAGAGAGAGAGAGAGAGAGAGAGAGAGAGAGAGAGAGAGAGAGAGAGAGAGAGGAAGAAGATGAGGGTGGAAAAATGAGTGGTTTGAGCAAGTTTCCGGTAGCTTGACGAAAGCTCTATCAAGCTCTGGAACGATTTACCAGAAGAGAAAATGGGAGAAGATAGAGTAATGGGGTCGAAATTGTAGAGGTTTCAGGGATGAGAGATGAAGCTTGCTCTTTGGATGTGTGTGTTTTGATAGGTAGGGGATGACTCTTTTTATAGCCACTAGAAGCTCCTCATTTCCAAGAAACCCTAATGGTTTCTCCCAAATTTTGCCGAGTCTCCCCTTTCATTTCTCTTCTCTCCCTTTGAGTCATCCCATTTTGTGAAATCTTCCTCTGGCCAAACACACAAAGACAAGATTTTTGGGAGCTCTAAGGCTTTCCCACAGTTGCTTCAGTAATGCACTCTCATTTTTAGCTACCTCATCACCTTCTTTCCTTCCCCCTTTCATGGCAAGAGCTGGTGGGAGAAAGAAATGGGTAAGGGCGCTGGTTTGAAGGGTGGCTCTTCTCCTAGCAACCTACGTGCGCTAATATCCCCTGGTTCTTTGAGTGTTCTACCTTGATGTTTGTTTTGCCCATGTGCTAGAGCCTCCCAGCAGCTTACATACATGAATATTTTTTTAGCTTTTATCGTTGCCCTTGTTTCCAGCTAAGTGTTGGCAGCTGCAGATATTTTCCTTGGTTGTTTGGGCCTTTCTAAGGTGATGGGTTAACCCATTAAGGGAATGGGCTAATTTTCTAGAGTATTGGGCTATTTTTCCTAAAGTATTGGGATATTTTCTCTCCTTTATGCTTACCTACATATTTGGGCTCAAGAAATGTGCTTGAGTTTCAGGGGCTCCCAAGCAGCCCAAAACTTCCATATCTTGACTCATCAATGGGCCTCATGAAAACTCATAACCATCCATACCACAACCCACTCAGCAAGGCCCAGGCATTCGCGTGGCTTGGGCCCACTTAAGCTTATAGCGTGGCGTGTTGCTTATTTGCTTGGTGTGATATGTGTGCAAGCGTATATGACGAACTCTTGCATGCCTAAGTTGGGTGTCTTCCCAAGTTAGGTGTCGTACTAAGGTAGAAATATATTTGGGCCCAGCCTTGGATTTTTTAGGTCTCACCAGGAATCAAAGGGTGTTCCCTTGAAGTAAGAGATTGTAATTAAGAGACACCGCATCTCGAATAGGTCGAACCTAAAATAATAAAACCCCATTATTTAATTAGTGCTGGTGAAATTATGTTGGGAGGTTCACATTTTCCTTCAACAGGGTGTTAGTTGGATTGGCTCATGCCTTTGGTATGGTTCCAAGTGTTCCTGGGTTCAATACCCATGATACTTGCAAGTTTAGAGATAAAATCTCATGCAACGGGATAACACTTTTTGCTATCCCTGCCAATAACGTAATGATACATCGGATAACTTTTTCATGTATCATTATGTTTTTAGTTAGGGATAGCAAAACAGTGATATCCTCTTTACAAGTAAGTTTTTTGGTGTGTTTGAGTTTCCCCCTCCCCTAACTATAAGATTGTATTGTATATAGTTAGGGAGTTGTTGCCATCTATCTAAATCCCTAGCCCCCTCACCCCAAAAAAATAAAACTATAGAGCTGTTTTCACTTTGAGGGGGGAGGAAGCCACTGCTCTTCCTCCCATATCCCATCCTCTCTGAAGGAAACATATATATTTTCCTTGGACATAAATTTAGCCACAACATATAATACATAAACATTCATAAGGGCCCCGTTTGGGATTGCTTTGTTTTTTTTGTTTTTTTGTTTTTGCCAAAAACCTACTTCACTTTAAAGTTAAGCATTTTAAGGTGTTTGGTAAAAATAAAATATCTCAATTCTTTTAAAAGCAGTGGCCTTATGACAACAACTTTTAAAAGCAGGCTCTGAGTTGCTTTTCAAACCTGCTTTCAAAAGAAGCAGAGATGAGCCTTTAATGAATTTTTTTAATTCCCAAAATACCATCATTCATTTTAAAAAATGACACCACCTCCACTTCCACATCCAACTCCACTAGCTCCACCACCCCACATTCACCACCTCCACAACCACCGCCACCACCACCACCCCCACCACATCCTCATCCTCTGCCACCACCATCATAACCACCACCTCCACAACCAACACCACCACCACCACCAAGCTGCCACCACCACCTCCTCCTCCACAACTTCCATCCCCACCACCACCACTATCACAACCACCAACTCCACCTTCATCACCACCACCACATTCACCTTCATCTCTTTCACCCTAACCTCCACTCCACCACCACCACCACTACCACCACATGATTAGCATATAACACTTTCAAGATCATGTCTATTTTAGTCATTATTCACTCTTTACAACAGTTTTATGTTAAAATTTACCAAATGGTTTTGACACTACTTTTTGTACTAAGAGCACTTTAAAAATATTGTTTAGCAAACATGAAGCTGCTTTACTTTACAGGTAATTATTTTCAAAAGACAGTAGAAGTAATTTTTTTTAAAAAGTGACAGCAATCTCAAACTGGGCCCTAGTCTCGTTGTGCACATAAAAGAAAAAGATAGAGAGGTTAAGCTTTTACCCTTGATGACTATTTCTTGGAGAAGCCAAGAATGAACACCTTTGTGAAAAGGCCTTCTTTTCTTCCTCTTCTTACAAGCCCCTCAACCCAAGACTCCAAGAGTGAAGTCCACTACCTCACCACACCAAAATGGACTAGAGATGAAAAGAAATCAGCCTAGAGAACTTAGGTGCTAGTCTTTTTCTAGGTTGCACCAATTTTTGGCTAAGAAAGATGAGAGGGATGATGTCTCTCCTACACATCAAGAACTCCAAGTTGAAATGCCAAAAACCCTAACTAGGTTTTGAGTTATCTTTTAGCTTTTATAGGAAAAGCAAACAAAGAGGAGAGAGAGAGAGAGAGAGAGAGAGAGAGAGAGAGAGAGAGAGAGAGAGAAAAAGAGAGAGAGAGAGAGAGAGAGAGAGAGAGAGAGAGAGAGAGACGGCCAAAGTGGAGAGTGGGCTCTTATGCGTCTTGTGGATTTTGTGTTGTCATATAACACTTGTCCATGGGCCCAACAGGCTTTTGGGTATTTTATATTTTCCTTTAAATCATATTTAAAACCCAATCCAATTTCTTATGTCAAAGTTAATTCCATAATCAACTTTTAATTATGAATTATGAGTTAACTCTTAAACCACTATTATGGTCTCACTAATTTGACTTTGTCAATTGCTCCAGTCAAACATGTTGACTTTGACTTTCAGCTTTGACTTTTGACTCTTAGTTTCTTTTCTCTTTATTTGTACAACTAATCTTATTTCTCGGTGTACGATCCGTAGGTTCCGTTTAGCAAGGTAGTGGGTAGACCCAACTTCTATGAGTTGACTTGTGAATTAAATCTCATTCTTTAATTCTTCCTATTAGTGAAGGTCAATTATGATTGAGCCTTTCATGACTTCCACAACCATGGTTGACGCCTAGCAGCACGTCATGGTTATCCGAGCTGAATAGGTGTAAGGAAGAACATATTCAAATTCGTAGGACCATGCAATTGAATCCTTCTCTTGTGCAATACTCCTTATTCACATTATTAGATATTGGAATCTCGTGTCAAATACCCTAACGTGAATTATTTCTTTGTATGATTATCTTGGTAAGATTTGAAGACTTCTTCTTTCAAATGTTATCCACTACTCTACGCAGAGATTTGATCAATTATATCCTTGGAGTATTATCTCTCCTTAGTGAGAGTAGAGATTCCTTGTTATACGTTCATTTGCCTCAAAGACAAACAACATAGGCACAAGACATCTATGATGTTTGAGGTCTAAGGATTATTTGCACCATTGCAATCTACGAGTTCTAGTTTGACATGTGAATAAAGACTTCTATTCTAGAACTCATGTATTTGATAGCCCTCACTGTACTTGTTCTCCTGCAAATACCTACATGCATATCTAGGTGTTATTACACTCAATAACTTGAGACCTCGTCATTCTCTACATATGTAGAAGATATTGTGTGTACTTGTTGTAAACACGAAAATCTTGCGACAAAGTAATATTTGTATTAATGAAATTTAGGGTTACAATCTCTGTGTGAAATCCTTTGATTCGATCTCCAAAGTGTTTAAAGAAAATTTGTGTTTGATACAAGGGTCGTAGAGACTTGATCTTGACCAAATGGGTAGCACAAGGCTTGTTTAGTGATTAGATTCTTGACCTAAATGGCTTTTCTTCTTTAGGACCTTACTTTGTGGGATTTTGATTTGATTTCAAATCAATTCCGATAATTTGGCAATTTAACCAAATTATCTTAAATTGATTGACTTGATTAATATTTGATTTAAATCAAAGTCAATCACAAAAGATCCTTCTCTTTAATTTTATCTTCAATTTGAACCGTTTGATGCACTCCGTCGGATGTTGACATGTGTCACCTTTGACAACTAATCCAATTTTGATGAGTCGTATTCCACGTGGGTGAATCATGAGGTTTGCAATTTAATCCACCAAACATTAATTATTTTCTTATTTAGCGGAATTTAATTCGCCAAAATTTATTTGTCTACATATTGCACCCACTTCATGATGCATTGCAGATAAGTGCTTGTCACGTGTAAGAGGTGCAACTTGAAGTGTTACTCCTTTATTTATTTCTTTATTTCTAATAATTTGGATTGCTTCCAACGTGGGCTTTGAAAATTACCCTATCTTTTTTTGGCAATCATGGTGGGACAAATGAAGGAGTCCACGTTACATTCAAGATAGCATTCATCCTTGTATCATACCAAGATAGTATCCATCTTTTGGTTATGTAGATGCCCCAATCATGATGTGTAGCAATAACTGATAGGCTGATGGCTTTTTTTTTTTTTTTTTTTTTTTTTTTTTTTTGTTTGTGGAACTGTTGCCACAGGGAGATGTATCAACCATATATCAGTGCAATGAACTTTTATTTTAAATGGTATTTTTACTTGCGATCTTGTGTGGCCCCGTATATTCTCGCCTTCATACTTAAGCAATTTCATAATTGTGTGGCCCCGTATAAGCAAGTAACTTGGTATTGCCTTGAATTAAATACGCTATAGCCAATCATATTAGGTAAGGAGATTGGCTTCATCATTGTTTGGGTAACAAATCTACAGGATTTGGAAGTTTGATATCTACCAATATTATAGGAAATTTATCCGACTTGTATGGGTAAGTAGATTCCACATAAGATAAGCCTTCGGGTTAGTGTGCACACCAAGATTTCTTCGGATAGGGTAGGGTTTGCTTTGTTGTTCAATTGGTGGAGTATGAACCTCAATGCAAATATACATGTAAGCTCTGGGTCAAATTAATGTAGTTCAAGCATAGCATAATGCACAGATACAATAGAGCACCCAGAATCAGCAAGCCATCCAGGGGCCCATGAAAGCCTAAGTAGCGTGGACAAGTTCTTTAATGGAAAGAACTATCCCAGGTGTGCAAAGGTGAGACGCTATATATATATATATTACCTAAACTTATATATTCTGTGTATGAAAGAAAGAACATTGACGTTGAGTTTAAACCAGGACACTACAAAGCCAGAATTGTGTCTAGTCAGAAACCATTTACGGTACCGAGGTTCACTGCACTTCTTCTTCTTTATCGAGGCTCACCGATCAAAGAGTACAACCAACAACTTATTTGATCAAGACACCAGCAAAGTTAGTCTTCTATTCCAAGCCATGGATGGGTTTTGAGCAAACAATGTATGTGATTACTTTAAAGTCACGAAGGAAGCTATTGCATTACCTTGCTGTGTTCTTTGCCTGTAAATTTGATCAAGAATGCGCTACTTCTTTTTCTTCCTCTCTAGGTAGCGTCTATTTCTGTGTGTCTCTGTCTTCTTTCTTGCATCTATTTCTTTTTTTTTTTGGGTCGGTGTAGCCTTGGCTACCCAGACAGAGGCTTCAGAATAAGCCTTTGCAAAAGACAAGAGAATAATAGAAACAAGAAATGAGCACATGAGAAAGCACAGTCCAATCCAATGGCAACATGGCAAGGGCTAACTTAGCCATCAAGTGCACAATTTATCAAAAACTCTATATCCCAAGACATCCTTAAGCCTTTCCATGAGAAGCCAAACTTCCTTTCCTTTTTTAATTTTCTTTTTTAGGCAATCTGAAAGCAAACAAAGAACATAGACGTCCTATACCGCTTGGGTTTGATCCATCTCTCCAACTTGGTGACAACCCGCTCAAGCACTTAGGCTTTACATAGGAAAAGACAAGCGAAGAATGTGCATGTCTTATACCACTTGGGTTTGATCCTTCTCTCCGACTTGGTGATACTCGCTCAAGTGTTTAGGCTTTACGTAGGGGAAGACGAGCGAAGAATGTAGACGTCCTATACCATTTGGGTTTGATCCATCTCTCCGACTTGGTGATAATCCGCTCAAGTGCTTAGGCTTTACGTAGGGGAAGACGAGCAAAGAACGTAGACATCCTATACTGCTTGGGTTTGATCCATCTCTCCAACTTTGTGATAACCCGCTCAAGCGCTTAGGCTTTACATAAGGGAAGATGAGCGAAGAATGTAGACGTCCTTTATTGTTTGGGTTTGATCCATCTTTTCGACTTGGTGATAACCCGCTCAAACGCTTAGGCTTTACGTAGTGGATGACAAGTGAAGATTGCTTATTGTGGCATTCCATATTTATCAAGATATCCAAGTTTGTACAAGTAAGCGCTTCCCATATTTATCAAGATATCCAAGTATGATACAACCTTGAAACTAAGTGCAACCAAAACGGTTACATCCAATATAATTTTTCATGAATTGGTTAGTTTACAAGTTGAGATTGAACTCAAAATGAATGATCCTAGAGATCCGGTCTTGCAAAGGGTGGCTTCATCAATGAAGAAGAAGTTTGACAAGTATTGGGCGAGTTTTGAAAGTGTGAACAAGATAATTTTTGTAGCATTAGTGCTAGACCCAAGATTTAAACTTCAAATGCTTAAGATAAGCTCCCAAAATCTCAAGGCCGAAGAAAATAAGATAGATGAGGTTGTGCGTGAAGTGAGAACATGCTTGTTCAATTTGTATAATGAGTATAGAGGGGTGGATAGCTTTGTGAGCCAACCAATGAATGAAGGCGAAGATGAAAATGTTGGAAATGATCTTGAAGGCTATGATAATGTTCAAACCAAAATATTTCATCAGCTTGTGCAATAAAGGAAGGAGGAACAACTTGTGGAAATATCTAATGAAGTGGATAAATACTTGATTGACCCTTTTGAAAGCCTTTTTATGAAAGGATTCAAACTCTTGAATTGGTGGAAAGGCAATGAGGGTAGATATCCAATCCTTTCAAAGATTGTCAAGGATATCTTTGCAATCCCAAGTTCAACTGTTGATAGTAAGAATGCCTTTAGCCTAGGCAAGAGGATTGTGGATCCTTTTAGAAGTTCATTGACACCTAAAATGGTAGAGGCTTTAGTGTGTACTAGTGATTGGCTTAGGGCGGATAAATTTTTCTTTCTACAAGGAACCAACAAATGAAGAGCTTGTATTCTATAAAGAACTTGAAGCACTTGAAGCAAGTAAGACATAATCTACTATTTTGTTTTAAATAAATTTTGTTTCTATCTTCTTTTTTTAACATTCATGTTTGTTTTTTAACATAATTTACTGTTTTGTTTAACTTGCTTTTTTACTAGATGTGGCCAGTACTCAAACTTCTACAACAACACTACCTCCTCGATTTGCATCCACAACATCATTACCTACTTTTTGAGTTGTGAGAGACACCATGGTTTGTTCAACAAACTTTGTTGTAACAATTTAAGTTTTTCATTGCACATTTCATATTCGGTTTGCAATTTTAAATGTTCTCATTGCACTTCATTTCATATTGGGGTTGTAATTTAATTTTAAATAAGTTTTCATTGCACTTCGTTTTTTATTTGGGGTGTAACTTTTTATTAAGTTTTCATTGCACTTCATTTTGTATTTGGGTTGTAACTTTTTTATTAAGTTTTACTTGTTATGTATCATAATTTGATGATATGATGATGCATGATAATCAAAAGTTTTGAATGACGAAAGTTAGGTGGCCTAAAACTTATATAAACAAAATCTTGAAACAAATGGCCTCAAAAGGCTTCTAAAAATTCGGCAAACTCTTCAAAACATGGCTTGAAAATTGGGAGTAAACTCAAAAAAAAAAAAAAAAAAAAAAAAAAACACTTTTTTCACGATAAGATACCCACCCCACCCAATTGAACCGGCCCAGCCGAATAAGTGGTTCAATTGCAGTGCAGTAAACCTCAACTTGCTGAATCGGTCATGGTAGTCATTTAGGCCATTCCAATGGGTGTCGATCAGTAGCCGGTTGCCATAGATCGGTGTGATAACTGAACTGAAAACAACACTAGGTTTTGGGTCTTCATTTGTGCCCAAGTTGAGTTCTCTTAATTAATCTACAGCCGCTTGACCCCAATCTTCTAGTGTGAGAGGGGCTCCTTGAACCTAATCCTCGAAAGGTTCTTCCTCATCGAGCTTTTTAATCGTAGCGTGATGAACAACTAGGACCTTTGCTTCTTCATCATCACATTTCTTTTGCTGACTCAAAGTTTTCTGAGTATGTATGATTGTTCGTCGTTTCACTTTGAGTTGATCACCTGAAGTTATGTTTAATGTTGAGTGACGTTTTATACATGATTGGATTAGGCTCCAAATTTCATTATCTTCTGTCGAATCAACATGAACTCTACCTTTCAACTCTACTGGTATTTCTCTTCAGACAGCTTACCTTGACCTCCGAGTCTTTCTAGCGCTAATCGAATTCCCCTTTGGCTATTATGTCCAGCTATCCTTTTGAACACAGAGGGTTGTGATGTTGATTTTGTGATGCGGCTAGAAATTGAGGTCCATTTAGTAGGCTTGGCTAGACGGTTAAATACTGAGGCCCGCTTAATAGACTTTCATCCTCCTTCCTCCTCGACCACTTTGACACTAATGTGTTGAACATCTACCTTCTTTTCTTTCCTCATAGTAGAGATGTTAATTGGTGTGATAGGAGTAAAACCAAGGCTTGCTCTAGCTGAGTCGATTGTGTAACCCTTGTCTTTCAACTTCTTTTGGGTTTCATTAAGGTCATGTGTCCTTTCTCTAGTGATATATGGATTAAGCTCTCCTAGCAAAGGAGATAAGCCGAAGTTATAACCTGCCTTCGACATGAGCTTATAAGTGTTAGGATCAAAACCTTCTTTAGTTCTTTTGACTGGAAGAGATTCGTGTCTTGTTGCATCTTGTGATGGTTTGATAAACCTTGGTACTGAAGATTTCGAAATGTCTAAATTGCTTAACTTGGGAAAATGCATGGTTGTCAACTCCTTCAAGAAATTCATATCACTTTCCCCTAACTTTCTTGGTTTTACTTCTTTTGTAAATGGGAATTGTCCTTCCTTCCATCAGGATAATAAGACATAACGAATAACAGGGACGAACATCTTTCGTGACTCTATTGGTGATGATCCCATTTATCCAAATGAAGTGCCTTCTGACTGCTTATTGCCATTCTCTTTAGTAGGAAGGCACTTTAAATGCTTATCTCTTCTCGATATGGCCTTACTTCTTGAGTGAACCTCAACAGGAATAACTTTAGATACCATGTCTTCATTGATGTAGAACTTGGCATCCGCGAAATAAGACTCTGCTTTAGTAAATAGTTTGACATTATCCAAGATTTTCTCTACTCCACCTTTGTAAAATTTGAAACACTGATGTGAAGTTGAAAGCACTATTTCATTTTCATGTACCCACAACCTTCCTAAGAGAAGATTGTAGGAAGTCTTGGCAATCATCAATCAATGGTGAAATAGGTTTTGTTTTTTTTTTTTTTTTTGTTTGTAACAAAGAGGGCTAAGGCCAGACAACAACTAAACATAAATCAGTCTAGACCTTAAAAGGCCATCCCTGTCTTCTTGGAGAACACTGGTAATACCACCAGGAAGCAAAACAAAGCAATGAATACCCATTTCCATCTCATGCCCCATCTTTGCCAGAGAGTCAGCAACAAAGTTAACCTCCCTGAAAACATGAAAGATTCTGCAGTCCCAGGAACTCTTCCAACAGACTCTGCACATGTTCAACAAAGGAGGGGGTGATTCGGCTCCAACTTAGCATTCAAAAGGTGCAAGACAATAGTGGAGTTAGTTTCAACAATAAGCTTTGTCACTTGCAACCTTGAACTAGTTTTAGACCATGATACAGGGCCCATAGTTCAGCCACCAAAATCTCCCCATGACCTAAATTAGTTGAAAAACCTGCTACCCATTCACCAGTAGAATTAAGAATAAGTCCCCTAGCAGCAATAGCACCACTAGAAACAATTATAGACCCATCAATATTCAGTTTCATGATAGAAACAGGGGGAGGCTTCCACGCAAGCAAAGTTTGCATCCTGAGTCTATGGACCCCACCCTTTTTATTAGCAATGTCCCATTCCACAAGAAACCTCAAAATCCATTCATTGGGCAGATCAGGATAGTGGAAGGAAGAATCAAAGAGAGAGCAGCATCTCCATTTCCATATAAACCAGCACCAGTAGCAAAAATATTGCACCATCGCAAGTTGAAAGCATTAACAACAATTGTTTTCAAGTTTAAACGCAACCAACAATTAAAGTCAGTAGATAGGGATACCTTAACAGAATCCAGTAAGGAGAAGAGTTCCATATTGCTTGAGTTCGAGGACAACGGATGAACACATGCTGAAGCGATTCCATATGGCAATGACAAAATGGACAGGCTGAATTATTTGTCATTTTCCTTCTTGTTCTCTGCACATTGGTCAGAATTTTTGACAGGACCCGACCCAAATTCCACTTTGGAATCCGAGCCGAACCCTGTTCGTGATCGACACCTGGCGGGTGCTGAGCACAATTGACTTGGTTGCCCTTTTTTTGATTAGAAACTTAATTCCCTTAAATCCTGACTTCTACCTAAAATTCGGTAGAGTCTCCCCTGTAAATCAAACGTTCCCAAAATTTACACCTGTCAACAAGCACTTAAATATATACACCAACTGCCAGTATACAAAAATAAGTAAGTTCCAACAGTTAATATGTTTCAGGGCAATGTCAGAGCAACTATACAGATTTATTTACAAAGGAGGTAACCACTTGTGAACCAAGGAACCCTACATCAAAACGGGGAAGAGCGGGAAGCGGGAAATGCCCTGTGGTGGCCCTCGGATGCACGTCTACAGCCTGGGGGCGCAAAACATTAAAAAGGTGAGTGGACCCAAAAAAGAGTTTAGAAAATACATATGAACATACTAACCCCACTGTAAAAGCTGTTATAAAAACTAAATCATTTTCTTCTGTATATACGTACTGAAACCAATGCACTCATATATACATATATAAATATGCCAATCATGCTCATGGTCAACATCAATCTCTTAAAAGCATTGAAATCAGTTTAAAACTACCACCTAGGTGTACCCCTTTGTTTCAGTCAATTCTTGATATCCGTCAATTCCCCTCGCATCACCATTGGTGACACGTCCTCGCAGGTCTCGGTGACACAAAGTCAATCCGAACTGCAACCTCGCAGGATTCAGGGGACCTTGGTCAACCTGATCCGCGTCCTCGCTCCACACGAGTCCGGGTACCATAGAACTCGTGGGGCAGCTGTCAAGCATGCTGACTAAACCGAAGGCAACTGATAAAATCCGAAGGCAACCTGGATGTCCGTGGACATCATCATATTCGAAGGCAACATTTGTATATCTGGGTACCTAAGGTGGCTTAGAAAATAACAATAACAATAATAATAAGCAAAGTTTTTGAAAGATCTGATAAATAACTGAATTTCCGTTAAGACTGGACTCTGCTGCCATTTATCTAATGTTTAACTAAAATTCTCTTTCTCTATGTCCCTAAAGGATATTCCACTCGGCAGCATGCAAATTATAATTTTAAAAACATGTCTCACTTATAAAACATTATTCTTTGAATAAACTTATTCAAGATCAAATACTGAAACTAAATTGCATAAATTCATTTATGAAAACAAAGAGTCCACTCACGGTTGGTCCGAGCTCGCTGGACCTTTGGAAGGTCCCTCCTGCGGGTCAACTGGTGCCCGAGTGCCTGATTCAAATACCATAATAAAATATATTAATAAAACTGCTCGATATAAATATTTAAATAAAACCCTGACCCCCGGCTTCTAGAAGTGCGCACATCAATTTAAAGTTATTCATATGCCCACATTATGTTCCTTTAATCCTAGGACATTCGTCCCGTGAATCTGGTTTCGATCGGACGGTTAGATTCGTCACGATCACACGATCGACGATTCTAAACCCTTAACCCTAGGGTTTGCGATTTCGGAGTATCCGGGACTCCAATTCACGATTTGTCGAATCCTACACAATCCTGGCAAGGTCTAGATTAACATATCTGAAAGTGATCACGACCCAACGATTCGAACTATTGAACCCGGATAATGCACACTATGTAAAAGTCCGCTTAACACTCAAACGATGTCCGAATTGAGATCTGCAAATTTCTATACACTCGTAAGAATACTAGGATCATTTTGAAACTGAGAGTGGTCCCCTCCAGACTGCCCACGCGCCGCCACACACGCTGGCAGCTTGGGTGGCTTGAGAAATTTCCGGTGGCCGGAAAAACTCCAAACCGCCGGCCCAAACTCCTAACTTAGGTAAACACCCAATTTGGAACCACTTTTGTTCTTGGACCTACCCCAAAAAGTGGCCGGAAGTGGCCGGAATCCTACCCTCAAAACCGGCTGAAACTTAAGTTGAGAATCGAACGATCTACACTTGAAATTTCTAAAATCCTACCCAACCAGCAGCTACGTCACGAAAAATAGGTAGGAATCCATACCTTGATCGTCCGATTTGGTAGCGGACGACGGAGATTGAAGGTTGTGAAATTGATTGAAACCGGCGGATTTTCTCCAGTTTTCCGATGAACTCCGAGGTCGGCGATGACTGAGGCTGGTCGGGAAGTGATGGGGGAAGGCTGACGGTTCGAACGAATCCGGTCTCGTGGCCGGTGGTTCACTGTGGCGGTAGTTATGGAGGAGAGAAGGTGGCGGGTTGAAACAGGGGGGGCTGTGTCGCGAGGAAGAAGAGTGAGGCAGGAGAGAGAAATTCGGTGGTAAAAAAAAATCCTGGTCTCCAAAATTACCATTTTGCCCTTGGAAGTATTTTGACCGTATTTTCTTCGTTATAACTCCAAATCGAGCCCACTACGTGTCTACGGACTCGTTTCGTCGCGCTCTACACAACGGTGCAAACAAAATTTCCAAATTCATCTCCGGTCAAAAGTCAACTTCTCATTTACTAAAATAGTCTAAGGGCAAAAGTGTCATTTTATCTTAATAAACTAATATTTAAATATTAATTAAGGTTTGGGTTATTACAATTTTATTTTGGGATAACAGCCACAGAAACACCTTTAATTTGGGAGGAATCTTAAGCTTCCAAATAAAATACCAACTATCATCACTCCCTTGAGACAAGCTGGAGCAAATATTATAAGCAGATTTAACTGTGAACTCCCTATTGGAACTAGGACCCCAAACAAGTGTGTCCGAGAAGAACCATCAAAGTCAGCAAGAGTGCTAATAATTTTCTGGACCACATCAACATGTAAAACTTCAAGGAGTTTGGGAATATTCCAACCAAATTGGGTAAAATAATTGGCAACCACTTCATGAACATCAATCTCTTCATTACTGATAGGCGAAGAGTCAATTAGGCTGCCCTCCAGATAGGGTATTTAACTTTAAGTCACATATAATGAGCTCAATTCTGATCATGATCATGGCTCTCTACCCCCTTGGTTGAAGCATGGAATTATGGGACAACTTTGAGACAATTCATTCATGTTGATGCCTAACTTCATCATTGTTGACTTAGGCATGATGTTTATTGCCAAACCTCCGTCCACAAGCATGCGACTAAGTTTCTGTTCCCGCATGTACCCTGACACAAAGAGCAAACAGTTATGTGGTTTGGATCCTAACAAGAGATCTTCGTCGATGAATGTCATGGAAGCTCATGTCGCACAACAAATGGCATGGTCTTGAGATTCAAGCTCCAATCTTTCAGTCCTTATTTTATATGGATGAATGTTGAGATTCCTTAGCGCTTTTACCAATGCTATACATATTACTTCAGAAAGTTGCATCGCTTCCTCATTATTGAAGTGCAATGGTGAATCTTCTGCTTGTAATGAGACCTTTTTCTTCTTCATTAGTCTCAAATTTTTCTTCTGAGGCATCCGAGGTATCCACTTGGTAGCAAGTTGTCATATGAACTATCTTCATCAACCCTCTTACGAAGAACACTTTGGGAAAGTATTTTTCTAGCATAACTGTTATTCGTGGCTTTTGGATTAGTGGTCCACTTTTTTGATTAGGGTTTCTCCTCACCATTGTTTTGGTTTTTTCTCTTAAAGTGTTGGCAAAAGCTTCTCCTTCTCCGTGCCTTCTTTGATTGGGCATTTTGTTGTTAAGAAGTGCTCTTCGTACAAGACTTCTTTCGAGTAACGACCGTCCATCCTTTATAGTCTTCGATAGGTGAGTCACCAACGAAGCCATCACCACCTCGATAGTTCGGTTCGCCCACCACTTCTTTTGCACATAGATTAGTCACTTAGTGTATGCCCCTCGTTGATTGAAACTCCAACCTTGGCAACAATGTAGGCAACGACACTAGATCAAAGGATCCAATCACAATTGTGGCAACGTTCGCATCTGCGATTTTGTCAACGTCCAACTTAGTCCTTCCTTGCATAGCCAAATTCATAATCAGCTCCTTTAGCACAAAAGCACTTCTCTGCTAGATGACTGACAATTCGGTGGTACTTGCAAAACTTAGGGTAATTAACCCAGTTCATCTCCTCAGGTCGCTTACATTCTGGCAATTTGATGACCTGTTTTTCAAAGTCCTCAAGCATACCTACGACATCGGATTCAAGGAAAAGGTACATTTTTCCTCCAACTCCTTCAAGGTGCGTCGATGTCTATCTACCTCTCGAGATGGCTCCATCCTTTTGACTTCTTTATTCTTATCTTGGGTGGAGATTTTGACAGGGACAGTGTCGATTGTCATTGCTTCCTTGGTAGGCTTATTAATAGGCTTATCAGTCTTTTGCCCAAAAAATTTCTCTTTTTTATGCTCCATGAAAGGTTCATTCTTTCCTCCATGGCTAGCGATACTTAACTCCATATCATGGGCACAAGTGGCTAGCTCCTCAAACGTTCGGCCCTTGTAGAATGTAGAGTATCCCCCATGCACATCTCAACTGCCAATATCTTCGAAAGCCTATCCTTGCAATCCGGGCTTAATGAGCACCATCGATTGATGTAATTGACGATGGGTTCATATTTCCATTACTTGGTATTTGTGAGTTCCATAATACTCATGGTGCGACAAATGCTATAGAATAGGTTTAAAAATTCTCGCTCCATCTGATCCCAATTGTCGAGGGACTCGAGCTATAAGTCTATATACAAATCAAATACATTTCCTTTTAAGGAATGAACAAATTGTTTCACCAAGTAGTCACCCTTCGTCCCAACATTGTTGCACTTTTCAACAAAGTGTGCAACGTGTTGTTTTTGGTTGCCCTTTCTGTCGAATTGTTGGAATTTGGGAGGTTGATATATGAGCGTGCCTCGGGAAGGAGCTCTGTATTGAACCCTGATGGTGTTCGCGATCATGTCCTAAAATTGTTGGACTGATAAAGAACCTACTGAGGCGACGTCACCTTTTCCCTGCAACTTCTCACCCAACTATGTTTCATGACCCAATTCTTTCTCGTTGGATTCAGCTTCATGATGTGGTCCTTTCTTGTGCATGTCTTGACTAGGCTCCTTATCTTGATGTGCCTCCCACTTGTTAATGAGAGAAGCAATCTGCGCATTGTCACCATAGCCTGCATGGCTCTAGAATAAGACTCACCTATGGACACCAAGGGTTTCATGGTAATCTTCTTCATGGTCGTCAGATGGGGATCCAAGATATGAGCCTGTGCTCGAGTCAGCATCTGAAATAGGTGAGAGTGAGTGTTCTCTTGAATTCTTCGAGCCCGAAAAATTCTTTTCTTTGTTTCGAGATTTTCTGTCCTCCGCTCAGGAGGTATGCTTCTTTGCCCCCAAGGAGGCCAGGTTGATGACCAATTCACGCATTCGATTCACATTTTTCGCCTTGGCTTGAGTTGATATGGAAGTGACATGTTGAGTTGTGGATATCGCCTTGGTCTTACTACAAGTGATGACCCCAGCAGAGTCTCCGCTTGAGAAGGAGGCACTCATGCTCTTGCCTCTTGTTGCAGAAATGGTTTGAATCTTCTTCTTGGAAGCCTTGTTTTTAGTGTATTGATTGAGCTTGGAACTGGAGAAAGAGATGAGAGGCAGAGACAGTCCCATTGGGCATGCCAAATTTGTAAACACGAAAATCCTGCAACAAGTGAGACAAGAACATGTGTACAAAGTAATATTTGTATTAATGAAATTTAGGGTTACAATCTCTGTATGAAATCCTTTGATTCGATCTCCAAAGTGTTTAAAGAAAATTTTGTTTGATACAAGGGTCCTATGATCCTGACCAAACGGGTAGCACAAGACTTGTTTAGTGATTGGATTTTTTCGAGCGTGTAGGAACTAGCACCTTGTTGTTGTGCTTGGTGGCTCTTCCAAAGTGGGGTGAAGAATGCAGAGAGTTTTCTGATTTTTTGAGTCCTTCGTCTGTCTAAGTGTCCTTTCCTTTGTCTTGAGGCCTCCTATTTATAGGCTCCTGTAGGATTCTTGAGCTAAATGGCTTTCCTACGTTAGCGTTTTGCTTTGTGGGATTTTGATTTGATTTGAAATCAATTCCAATAATTTGGCAATTTAAATCAAAGTCAATCACAGAAGATCCTTCCCTTTAATTTTATCTTCAATTTGAGTCGTTTGATGCACTTTGTCGGATGTCGACACGTGTCACCTTTGACAACTAATCCAATTTTGATGAGTCGTATGCCATGTGGGTGAATCATGAGGTCCGCAATTTAATCCACCAAACCTTAATTATTTTCTTATTTAGTGGAATTTAATTTGCCAAAATTTTTTTGTCTACATTGGTCTTGGCGGAATATTAACGCCCAATTGATACTCATATGATGAGGAACATATTTAGGATTATGGTATCATGATAAGTCTCGATGTATGCAATCTCATTACATAATTCTCATGTCCATTTATATATTCCTAGGACTATAGTTGCTTTACTACTGTAATAATATACCAAATATCATGATTGAAAACAACTGGTCTTCCCCATGAATAACTTAATAAGTCATTACATAAGATGTCTTTAACATTAATTATTGTATAATTAGTTGGCTTTAAGGGGATACTACTAACACTCTTTTCCTCACTTTTCCCTTTCTCCCTTCTCCTCTCTTCCCCCATTTTCAGAGATAGAAGGTTTCTCCTATTTGTCTTCGTTATGTTATGATTTTACTTCCACTCATCACATGCAAATGCATCTCCGTGTTGGATCTCTACTTGTAATTCGGTGTCAGATCAATACCACCATCTTTTTTGTGATTTCTCCATGTTTGGAATAAGTAACAGAGACTCTTTGAGTTTTCACCTATACTTTTGTGAAAGTTTTTCTTCTCTACTTTGTGAGAGCTTTTCACCTCTCCTTTGTGAGAGCTTTTCAACTCTCATTTGTGAGAGCTTTTCACCTCTCATTTGTGAGAGCTTTTCACCTCTCTTTTGTGAGAGCTATTTTATTTGTATTGTTATGGCTTGGTTTTTTCAAGCTTTATCTCTTTTTTATTGTTCTAAGTTTGCACTCTTAGTTGGGATGCCTATGCCAGAGTTTCTTCAATCCTGTGTGATCGTTAGTGGAGGAGCCCCAGATTGTCTTAATTTTTATGTTAGATCGCTTCGTTGTTGTAGTGGCCATTTGTGGCTAGTGACTTTTTTAGCTGAATTATGAATGTAATCTCATAATTTATATATAAAAAAACTTTGGAAATATATATATATATATATATTCAAAGAGTGCTGTTATTTCCACCCCTCTGTCATATTTCTCCACTCCCCCTAATCTTCAAAATTTTAAACACAATTTTACTACTTTGTAAAATGACTTTTAAGGACTTAAGTTAGTGTTGAGGCCCAAAAAATCCAGGGTTGGGCCCAAATAAATTCTCAGCCCAGTGCGACACCTTATTAAGAAAAGACCCGGTTTGGAGCATGCGAAATTCGCTATGCACGCTTGCACGAGCCATGACCACGTGCCATGCCAAATGAATATGCAATCCATCACGCTAAGAATTAAAATGAGCCTATAAAAGGCATTGGCACTACAAGCACATGTTAATTATTCCGTCAAGCATCATGTCTCTTTTCAAAGACAATAAAATTCAAGCATGCCAATCGACATGCCATGCCAAGCAAGAAATCATTATTTCACACTTAACCACGCTACAAGCTTAAGTGGGCCCAAGCCACACAAATGCCCGGGGCTTGCTGAGTGGGTTGTGGTATGGATGGTAACGAGCTTTTTCTACCTTGCTTTGACACCATGTAGAGGTTCTGTGGACAAATTATCACTTGGAAAGTGCTTAAAATCCCTAAGCTTGGGTATAAAAATTAAACGAACATGCAACAAAAGAACTGAGGAAAAAACACTCTTTTCATGAAGGATTCTCAAAATTTATATGTGTGAATGCCCTTATGCGTACATCTATACATGTGTATGTGTGTGCATATGCATAAATGTGTATGTATGCACTAACAAGGTGAAGAAACAAGAGAAGAAATAAAGGAATGATGCTTACCACTACCCTCGATCGTGTTTTTTCCTACAACTTGCCAAAATTGAGAGAAAAGGGAATTGCCTTGCAAATTTTCTCTCCGAGTTGCTCCACGCTCTATGAAGTGACCTTGATAAGCTTGGCCTTTGAAGAATTGAAGGAGAAGTTCAAGAAATTTGGGGTTTTTAAAGGGAGAACGGTAGCCCCTCCCAATGGTTGAGAACAGTTTCTCTTTGCTTAACCAACTAGCGGTTATGGATGGTGCCTCGCAGCGATTTCTTGTTTCAAAGGTCCTCTAAGCTTGGGCATGATGAAGAACTAGCAAAATCAAGAGAAGAAAGCAAGAAGTCTTGGTTGCTCAAGCACGGAAGGGAGAAATCAAGGACGAAGAGGGGAAAGAAAGAAAAAGAAATAAAAGATGAATAAAATAAAACAAACTTTGATAGAAGTGCTTACCTGGGGAACGTAAAAGACTGCTGGAAGATAATCATGGCAGCACACACGAGGGAAACGAGAAGGTCATGTGACCAAAAGAAGGTCTGCTCATGGCCCCAATAATCAAAGGGCCAATGTTGAGGCCCAAAAATCCAAGGGCTAGGCCCAGGATTATTCTTAGCCCAACACAAATAATTAATCGCAAAAGAGGCCCGATCGAGACATAAGAGAAATTGTAGGACACACCTACATAGGCCATGGGCCATGTATCATGCCAAGCAAGCATGCGCAAAAGGGCCAAAAAATGCACCGGCTTTATAAATTCACGCTCACCAACCTATCTGATGCTACTTGGCCCGATCATGGCTTATTGTGGCACAATAAAACTCAAGCACAAGCATGATAAAAAAATACATGATGCCATGTAAAGGACCGCTATTCTAATACCAAGCCGTGCTACAAGCTTAAGTGGGCCCAAGCCACGTAATTACCTGGGTCTTGTTGAGAAGGTTGTGGTATGGACGAGAACAAGCAATCATAGGGCCCATTGAGGGTTTGAGGAATGAAAGTTTTAAGCCACTTGGGAGCATTAAAACTCAAGCCCGTTCCTCGGGCCCAAACACATGGGTTAGCATGAGAGAGGGAGAAAATTAATCCAATGCCTTAGGAGAATATCTAGTATGCTGCAACACTTAGACAAACCCACATTAGTAAAATGCCCAAAATAAAACAAATAGGCTATTTCCAGTAGCTTGACGAAAACCCATCGAATGCAGGAAATAGCATGTCAATAACCCAATACTGTACACGAAGCCCAGCCCAACGTTTTGTAAAAATCTAGCATCGTGTTCCACCCTTGTCAGAACTCCAAGATGGTCAACGAGGAGCCATGGCAGGGACCAAAGGAAATCCATTGAAGGAGGGGGTACCCATTGGACAAACGACTACCCATTCTCTTTTCCTCTGTAAAGCTCCATTTTGAAAACCAAGAAGGAAAGCATGTGGCGCCTCACCCCCATGGGGAGGTCCAAGCCACACAAAAAACCTTGGAACCCTAAAGAGCCTGCAACCCAGGATCTCTGGTTAAGGAAATTTTACCAAAAAGGGTGAATGAAGAGAAGCAAAGAAAAAGTGGGAATGGATGATCGATGGAATTAGGGTTCTTTGTGCCTATAAAAGGGAGCTTCCTCTACCCAACAAAAGTCATCATCCAGAGCATGACCAAGCTTTGTCAAGCAATTGGGAATTTACTCAAGACACCCCATCTTCTTCCTCCGTTGTTCTTTTCTCTGCCTAAGATAGAAATCTCCCTAATTTTCCTTTTCCCCATTTTAGACCTTTACTCTCTGTGAGAAATTCATGCTTCTCGCTCTCTCTCTCAAATTGCTAAACTTGTGCAAGCTTAGCTCCCATGCCACAAGCTCCTCAAGCCAAGTCACTCATCAATTTGTTATGTTTGTTTGGCTATTGGTGAAAAGAACCTAGAAGCGTTTTTTTCTAAAGTTTCATCAAACCCTTTAAAAACTCTTTTGGGAGCTTGGTTCTTGAACTCAAGCATTGGGGAAATTTTGTTTGTCATCCTCTTACAGCAGCCCAAGCCCATTCGTCAGACTGTTGGAACAAAAAAAAACCCTACATAAATTGGCGACTCTGGTGGGGACCAGGCTGCTATTTTCACTAATGCCTCCAAAGAAGAAGACAAAGAGCAATATCATGGCTTCCCAAGATGGGCCCGACCATGGTGATTCGGAATCAAGGCAAAATGCCTCCTCTATAGAACAAGAACGTGCAAGTGAGAGAGCTTTCACCCTCACAGATATTATTACAGCTATACAGCTATGGGGGAAACCCAGTGGGAGATGATGGACACCATCAAAGAACTAAAAAGTTCTGTCTCTAAGCCAAGCGAAGAAAATGACAGACACCCACAAGAGGAGTCTGCTGCTGCTAGAAAAGGGTTTGAACAAAAAGGACCATCTTTTGTTACCCAGGAGGATGTCATTGTCATGCTGGAAAAGGAGCTTAGCTGAAGCCAAGAAGTATATTCCTCAGTCACCATATCCATCGAGCTTACTTCAGTAGCCATATCCTAAAGGCTATGAGGCACCAAACTTTGTCCTCTTTGACGGAAGGAAGGGAAGCCCGAAGGAGCATGTCAACCGTTTCATTGATGCTTTGGGATCACATGCTGGTGATTATAATCTCCAACTTTGAGAGTTTTCCAAAAGCCTTACCGATCGGGCTTATACGTGGTATACAACATTGGCACCATGCTCTGTTTGCTCCTGGGAAGATTTTGGCAAGAAAGTTCTGTAAGAAATACTTCCAGCATGAGGAAAGAGTCACTACGACTCAACTCAACAACACCCGCCAAAAGCATGGGGAAGACCCCGTGAACTTCGTGTGCTGATTCCAGGACTTGGCTTTGGACTGCTATGGTGAGAAGGATGAAGAAGCATTGGTTTAAATTTGCATAAGTAATATCGTGGCAGATTATAGAGTCTACCTGGAAGATATTGATATCAGCCAATTTTCTCAGTTGCTGGAAGTAGTAAGGAAAACAAGCATGTCAGTTAAACTAACTGGGCAGGAAGCTTGGAGGACTTAAGAGACAAAAGCACACCAGACATTATCCAGTGATTACAATTCATGCAAAAGGAAAGACAAGGAGATGTACCTGCCACTACCGTGCAAAGATGAAGAATTCCATGCCATTCTTAATACAATGTTTGACGACGACACAATCAAATCCCTCAGGCCCTACAAAGTCCCTACCAAAGAGGAAAAAAGTGATCCTAGGTACTGCCATTATCATCAGTTTGTGGGGCATCCAACCACTGCTTGTCAAACTTTGAGGAATATCTTGCATGCTGAGATACATGATGGAACTCTTGAGCTACCCTTTAAGAGGTAAGCTATTGACGAAGACCCCTTGTCGAAACAAAGGGGGAAGGAGATGGCTGATGTCATTACATGCTTTGATGACTTGCTCAATGACGACACATTATGCCACCCATGGAAGAATGACCCAAAGCCATAGGAGGCTATTTGGGGGGCCTTGTGGAAACATGGAGAAATCTTACTAGTGTAAGTATTCAAAACCTTCGAGCTATAACACCCCATGGCTGCTTGCTAATGGATGGGAGAATGGTTTCTAGCGGCGAAGTATTCACATTGGACATGGTGGAAGAATGCCACTCTTGGGCTTCATTTGGTCAGCAAGATTATCAAGAGACAGCTGCCATAACTTCTCATAACCTCACAGCAGTTGAAGAAAGTGTGATGGGTTGTGAGCTACAAATCACTCTCTGATTAGTTGGGTTATGAGCTGCATGCAAGTAAAGTAGCAACTGTGGCTTTGTTAAAATGTCTCTGCAGAGCATGGCAGCCTTGTACAACACATGCCAAATACATGCCAACCTAAGCCACAAGCTTTCATGCTATTACAAATCATGCACACCCCTTGACCCTTTCATACTTGGGGGCTTGATTTGATTGGAGTATTCATCAATGCAAAGTGGCTCAAAGCCTTACTACTGCTAAGTTGCTTTTGCACATATCCCTTTGTTTTTGGCTTTTCGAATTTATTTCAAAGATGAACTCCTTTTGTGTTTTCACCATTTACTTTCACAACTTTTGTAGAATGCACCACCATTATGGCATGCCAAGGTGTAAGATGATATTTGCAATGAGAATGAAGTATTTTGGAAATAGAAAAAAGCCTCTAGAATTCTTTCCTTGCTTTTACTTTCTTTTGTTTTGCAAAACATGTTTGTTTGTTTTTTATTTATTTATTTATTTATAATTATTGTTTTTTTAATAGAGGCAATGGGGCAAACATTATTGTGATTGTTTGAAAAAAATAAGCAGCATGTACCTTGTACCTACCACAACCCAATCTTTTAAAATCTCAAGCAACTCATGCATTTCATTATTTCCAACCAAGCGAAATGTACAAAACAAGCTGGAAATAATCATTATCTCAATGCATTCCAAACCTTAACAATTCATGCATTTCATTATTTCCAACCAAGCAAAGCGTACAAAACTTAATATCTCAAGCATTCTAAATCAAAAGTTATGGCAGAAAGTATGTAACAATGTTGTGTTTCAAGGTTCCAACAACATGAGCTTTAGGCCAAGGTGAAATAAGGATATGTGTTAGACAAAAATGTTGTTGGACAGCCTTGCTGAAAAGAAATTTTAGATATATCATGGTGTAAACAAGGAGAATTAGGTACCTCAACTCGATCACGATGCATGATTAAAACGAAACAGAAGGAGAAGGTCTCGTAGCTTACGGTACTGGCTCTCCAATTTGTGATCCTTAAGGCTTAACACTAGAATGGCTGTGGGAGGAAAGGAGGAGAGATGATAACCACTGGAATGGCTGTGGGAAAATTTCTGAATTCCCAAAAATCTGGTCTCTATGTATTGGGCAGAAGAGGATTTCACAAAATGAGATGGATCGAAGGGAGAGAAATGAAATGAAAGGGGAGATTTGGCAAAATTGGAGAGAACCCCTTAGAGTTTCTTAGGAAGGAGGAGCTTCCAGCGGCTATAAAAGGAGGTACCTCCTACCCATCAAACTCAACCAGAGTAGTCAAGCGAGCTTATTCTCTAACTGCTGGAAACATCAAGCCCAAGTGCCTCACCTTCTATCTCTTCTTCTTTATCCTAAGCAACCTACATCCAGAGAGCAAGTTTCATCTCTCATCCCAGAAACCTCTGCAATTTCGAGCCCCAATTCCTCCATCTCTTCCATTTTCTCTTATGGGAAATCATTCCAAAGCTTGACGAGCCACCGTCAAGCTGCCGGAAACTACTCAACACACCCATTATTCCCCCATCTCTCTCTCTCTCTCTCTCTCTCTCTCTCTTTCTCTCTCTCTCTCTCTCTCTTCAACAAACCCTCTTAGAATCCCTTCCCTCTTTCCTTAGAACCCCTATTTCTCATAGGAACTCACAGCTCTCTCTTCCTTTAATGCTAAACTCATGACTGCTTTGCTTCCATGCCACAAGCTTCTCATGCCAAGCTAAGAATCTATTTGTAAGCAACTGTTAGTTTTGCTGGTGAAGGTAACCAAGGTGCTTCCTAAGGCTCAGCTACCCTTTCGAAGCATTCTTGGGGTATGATTCTTGAACTCAGACCCAGGGGCAATTTTCACACATTTGGCTCTTTACAGTAGCCCAAACCCGCAGTAGCTGCCAAAAAAGAAAAAAGCCCCCACAGTTAGCAATAGACGTGAGTATCCCAATCCAATCATATGATGCCAGTTGTAAATTATTTTGACTTCCCTTTTCCTCATTTCTCTCTCTTTCTTTATCTTTTTGCTTCTCTTCTTTCTCGCCTACAAAACACTTTTTTTTTTTTTTTTTTTTTTTTTTTTTTTCTTTTTTTTTTTTTTCTTTATCTGATTTCTTTTCTCTTTTCTCCCTCTGTTGCCCCTCTTGCCTGCAATCCTTGTTTCATTTTTTTTCTTTTTCTAGTCTGAACTCAATCCCCCCCCCCTTTAAGTCTCTCCCATCTTTCTCCTCAAATTCAAATCAAACTTTTCTCCTTGCTCAGATCATCTCCAATCCATAAGGCCAAACTAAAAATATCCTCAATTATAGCCCAATTCATCTCCTTACCCAAGAAAAAACCTAAGGGGCCGCCAAAATTTGGGAAAGCCCAAACTTAGGGCCAAATACTAATCCACCTATTTTCTGGGCTGAAAAACTTTTTGGTGGAGCCCATTCAAGGCTGACGCAACCCATATGCAAGGAATAACGATTGGGGCCTGCATTGCTGGTCCTGCAGATTGTGTCGCGTCACTTGTCAAAGGCTGGGGATGTAGCTGTTGGAATCCAACGGTACAATTCAAAACAACCTTCTTTTTTTTTGTCTTTTTTTCTAAAAATTCCAATAGTAACCCAAATCAACGATCTAGATTAAATCTAAGCTATTTTAAAGAAAAAAAAATTCCAACTACTAAAATTTAAATCCAACGGTCAAAATAATATTTTAAATTAATCTAAATCATATCCAACCCCAAAACTCACTTCAAACTCTATAAATAACAACCAATTTCTCAAATAATCTACCAGAAATGATATTTATGGAATTTTAATTTTTTTAGGTTCAATTGTTCCAAAAAATTTAAATTATGAAGTTATTTAAAAAGATGAAATGAAGAAAAGTTATCCATTTCAAAAAAAAAAGAAGATTTTTTAAACCATTCTTAAACAATTTAATAAAGTTGCAGACTTAAAATTTGAGTTTGAAGGGTTGGGGGAAAAACGGTTTGAATTTGGGCAAAACCCAAATAGTTACTTTTTGAAGGGGAAAATTTGGGTTTAGAACCAAATAGGTTGGAGTAGGCCTCAGCAACAACTCTCCGTCTCTCCTCTTCCAAATGCTCTCTCACAAATTTTTATCTAAGATTTATGAAATTGTTATGGAAGATAAATTTAGATTGTAAAAACCCAAGTTTTTTGTAACCCCCTAAAAAAACCATTAATAAATAAGTAAAAACTTTATTCCCTGTAAAACCGTGTAATTCATGTATCTCTTCACCCTAAATCAAAGTTATCATCCTCAGATTTCTAACTCTTTTTTCTTGTGCACTTTGAGCTTCGTTTCATTTTCGTGCCCTTGTACCCAATTTCAATTACTTGAAAATTTACCAGCCACTCAAATTAGATAATCGTTCAACTCTGTGATTTGGAAGAGTAACATTGAGATATTTTTTTGGTTGAGTGGTAGAAGAACTGAAGGTTAAGACAAGAAAATAATAATTTTAAAAAGAGGGTTACAACAAGCTACAGATGATAGAAGGAAGAGGGAAGTCAAAATAATAGACTGTTGGCATCATATGATTGGGTTAGTAAAGAGAATTTACTTGAATTAATAATTAAATTGTATTTTAGGAATAACGGTGGGTGGAAAGATAAGATTGTGTTTTTTCAAATATTAAGTAGCAGAAGATAAGGTTGGTGGGAAAATAGGAAAGAGAATTTAAGTGAATTAATAATTAAATGGTATTTTAAGAATAATAGTGGGTGGAAAGATAAGATTATGTTTTTTTAAATTTAAATAATAGGTGAGAAGATAAAGTGGGTAGAGAAATAGGAAAGAGAATTTACGTAAATTAATAATTAAAGGGTATTTTAAGAATAATGATGAGTGGAAAGATAGAATTATGTTTTTTTAAATTTAAATAATATGTAAGAATATAAAGTGAGTGGAGAAATAAGACGACGGGGAAATAGCAGCAATATAGAAATTAATAAAAACACAAATTCCAAATATTTTTTTGGGTCTGAAACACAAATTCCAAATATACCGACACAATGTAAAGTGAAATGTGAAGAGACAGGGGAGAGAGAATGTGATGGCAAACCCTCGAAGGAACAGCCAGAGCTCAGAGAACCCATTCCACAGCCAAAGCATCCAATTCTCCTCATCACTTGTCCACTTTCTGAAGAAGCCGCATGCCTTCCCTTTTCTGCTCTCCATCTTCCTTTTACTCACATGGGTCTCTCTCAGACTCCAACACTCCTCCTACCTCTCCTCTGCTCCTTCCCATATTTCTAAAGACAAAGACAAGCCCCTCACCCATAAAAAATGGAGCCAATTGAGTGATTCCAGCGCCAATCTCATTAGGTTCAGCTCTGGGTTTCCTTCTCGGATTGCAAAAGACAAGAGGGGATGGCTGCTCGACCCCATCTCCCTTGCCCTTGCTTCTGGCATTTCAGGCACACCCCCTTTCTCTTTCTTGTTTTCCTTTTTTGTTGCTTTTCTTTTTTGGTAATTTGAAAGGTAATTGATGGGATTTTCTTTGAATAGTGAGAGAGAGAGTTGATGGGTGAAATAATTTTTTATTTTTTGTATTATTTGTTTGCATCAAAATGCATCCGTTTCCATTGCACTGTCATGAAAGAGTATTTTGATTTCAACTCATTTGGCTGCTTTTTCTTGCACTGTATGACATTGATTATATAGCCTGTTGGTTGTATAAATATTGAATTTAAATTCTTGTGAAATTGTAGGAAAATGAATTTTATTGGGTTTCCTTTGGATTTGGATTTCCAACTCAAATCTGATCCCTGAAACAAAATGCATTTGCTGATAGTTGAGGAAATGATTGTGTTTGTTTACAGGTGGAGCTGTGAGCTGTGTCTCAATTCATCTTGGAGAAATCCAACCTGGTGGTTTGAGGGGAAATCACAGGCACCATACTTGTAATGAAACATTTGTCATATGGGGTGCTGAAACCAAGTTTAGGGTAAGCTCTCAGTTCCATAGAAGCATAAATGTTATAAAATTTTACTTTTTTTTGCAGTATACTAAATGACTAGATCATCTATTCTGGATATATTCATTGTGGCAATCAATATAATTTTTCTACAAGATTGTTCATTGAGTTGAAATGTTCCAAATTGATAGAGGAGAATTGCATGCATGAAACAATGAAAATATGAAAACTTTGATATAACTTCCGTTCTGTTTGTAGATGTTTGAGCTGTTTGCCTTATTTTATATCTGATGTCAGTTCAAAACTTATGTATGTTGGAAATTAAATTTAGGTTCTGAGTAATTTAGATGTTTATGATTAAAAAAACTGAAGGGAACTCACTCCAGTTTTAAACCCAAATGCATAGTTTGATTACATGAATACTTTTGCCCTTCTCTGCCTGAAAGTTTGTAGGACCTTATGTTCATTTTCTGCCAAGGGTTTTTATGTATGTGACCACGTCATGGAACTCTGCTGTTTGGACATCAAACTGGCTATTTAGCAAGACTTTAAAAACATATAGCAGCGCATAGGCACAAATCACAACTGGCCAACAAGGGCAAACAAGGATGCCACATAATGTTGAAAAGTTTTATATTTCAACTTATTTCATTTATGAAATTGCATAGATGATTTTGTTTATGAAATAAAATAAAATAATCATGTAGTTGGATTTGAACTCAAGGGTTGAGAAATGTAGATCCTTACTCTTAAGTTTTTTGGGAAAGAAAGCCTTTAGGTTCATCTAAATTTATGCTAAAATAACACACTTTTATCTTATTTTAGTAAAAACGCATTAGCATGCCTATAAACAAAGGATTCACTAAAAATGCACAAGAATGAACTTTCTATGTAAGTTCATTAATTTATCTTTTTGTATAGAAGATAACTTAGTTTAGAATGACCTAAATATCCTGACCATTCTACTACCAACTTGTTTATAGGGCTATACTTTCCTTTCTCAAAACCAATTCATTTAGTTAATTAAACCGATGTGAAATAATCTTCACCACAAGGATTTTATTTTCACACGTCATCTCCACTGGCTAGTCACAGCCATGGCTAAGTTCTGAAAAATTCTGGGACGTAACTAGATAGGAAGTTCTGGATAGGGCACCATTCTGCTGTCAAAATGTCATAAATCTTGTCCTTTGTACAATATCAGTGAGATCCAGTGGAAATGCCTTGGATATTTTCACAGATATCAAAGATATTTCTACCAATTTCCAATTCCTGCTCTCTTTCAGCCCAATATGGAGAATTTCATTGAAATGTTGCAGGAAGAAACCTTCTGCTCCCAATGTGTTGGCAACTTAAAATTTTGACATATCCGCATAATATCGGACTGGATATGTCAATATTTTCATCACTGAGTGCAAGTTCTCATCACCAGATTTTATTTCCTTCGTTTCCGAGGTTGCTTGTATTTTTATGGCACACACAAATTGAAATTGCCTGATGTTATGGCCCTTTCTGCTGTCAACAAATAAGTTGTGTCAATGGTCCTACAGTAGTTATTAAAGCGACTGAATTCTAATGTGCATCCATTAGGAAATTGCCTGATAGTATCTGTTGTTACAATTAGGATGAATAAGTAATTCGGATGAATACGATATAGGTATAATGACATAAATTTAAATGTCTCATTGTAGTGTTTCATTCATAATCTTGCTATTTTTTACTTACTCTTTTAGTTGTGAACTATTTGAAGCTGGAGAACCACCAGGTGGATGGTAATGGTTATGCTGAAGTGACCATTGGTGCAGATGAGGTTGCTGTTGCAAGTAGCCCTAGCGGAACTGCCCATGCTTTAATAAATATAGATCCAGTACGGAGTTCATACTTTATAGGATGCCAAGACAGCATCATAAATTATAACAGCTCAAGTACAGATTTTAATGTCTGGAAAAATCTTTAAGTACTTTATTTATTTATATATATAGTCCATCCAAGGAACTTATTCAGTAACTTGGAGTCAAACATGAAAAATCGTTGTCTTTCTCTCTCTCCTAGCTTGCAATTTACAAGACTATCTAACAAGAGTTTCTTAGCTTCTATGTATATATGTGTTTTCTTTTTTAGCATGTGATTGGCAGTGCTGGGGCATTGCAAGATTACAAATAGACTATGGAACATATTTTCTTAGGCATTTTTGTATACGTGTACTGTTTCGTCCATATTTTTGTATTCTCAACAAGCATTCTTTGTTTCCTGCAAAAGCAAGAATTCTGTTTTCTGTATTTTGCTTTCGCAAACCTTCTTCGCCTCTTATTGGATGCATGTGCTGGATGTTAATAAATTTTGTTCTCCATATGCTACTTCATTAAAATTTAATATGAGGGAATTGAAATCACTTCACACATCAACCAAAAAACAAAATTTACTCCTAATTAAAAAAAAAAAAAAAAAAAAAAAAAAAAAAAAAAAAAAAAAAAAAAAAAAACCCTAACCTAACGGCAAAGTTAACATGCCGTCCTTTTTTTTTCTTTTCGTCTTCCTGTCTCATGTTTCTTTTGTGGTCAATTTCTGTCTCACGTCCTGTCCTTAACTTTTTCCTTCTTCATGTCTCTGCCCTAAAAGCTTATCTCTCACACCACGCTTTCATCTCTCCCAAACCTCTGCAACAACAATCCTTTCTTTTTCGACTTAAATGTTAAAATGGTCCCTGTGTTTTATTAATTTTGACCAATTTAGTCCCCGTGTTTTAATTTGGTCGATTTAGTCCTTATGTTTTATTCCATTAGTCAATACTTAAATTGTTGTTTAAAAAAATCATAAATGTTATGTGAACTAATTAAAAATCTCTAATTATTTAATAAAAAATTAAATTTCAATTTAAAAATAAAAGACCAGCCACCACATTCCAAGGGGGAAGTGGCTGGGTGGGATTACAAGAGCCAACAATCCATTTGTTCATGTTCATCCTTCTTTTCATGGCTGTAGGGGCCCTTTTACTCTTGCTAATGTTTTTATCCACCCCATGGATTGTATTATGGGCATGTAGAAAAGACTGGCGGCGGAGAACTTTTTATTAGAGGGTTGAATCGGTGGTGATCAATCGGAGAATTTGAGGCTTGCAGGCCTTCATTATTTTGTTAATCATTAAAGTGAATTTTTAATCTATATATATAAAGCAAAAGGCAAAGAATGGTGAAACATTCAAAATACTAGAAAATGTCATTGGTTAATGCAAATATTAATAATTGAAATTATTAATTAAACTAGGATAATATGGTAAATTCACAATTTTTCGTATTTAAAAAATTAAAATTAAAAGGAAATTCAGATAATGAATCCTATTTTTATGGAACACAACTATCTATTATCTTTTTCCGTATCAAAAGAAAAGTCATGTTTCAAGAGTGTTTTTGTATTATTGTAGGTGGTGGGATTTTTGCGTTTCTGAACTTTATGGTTTCATTGAGTAATTTAAATCATAAATAACGCATTAAATTTATTTGTCAAGTTATTCCTTTTCTGACCATAAAAATCCAATCTGTTTAGAAAGCTTTCTGAGAAACAAAGAAGAATAAATTCTTGTTTTCCATTTATGGGAAGAGCCAAGACGCTCAGTATTTGATAATTGTTACCAAGGTTTGTGACCTTGGTAAGAGATCAAGATTTTGGGTATGAGACAAGGAGGACGAAAAAAAAAGACAGGATGTGTGAGACAGGAAGAATTTAAGAAGGAAAAAAAAAGGATCTACATCATCCCAATCTATACCCCTTGGAGCTTCTACTTTTGCGTATGCCCAGAATAATTCAAATCTTTCTTTGAAGCCATTGCCATAATTGTCTTCAATTTTTACTTTTACTTTTACTTCATTGAATTCCTCTATCCTCATTCAATAATGTTCTGAACTTTTGCCCACCTCCACTTGTGTTCAATTATTTTCTGAACTCTTTCCCATTTCCTATTGTCTTGTTTCAATCATGTTCTGAACTATTGCTCAACTTTGTCTATCTTACTTTATTGGATTCCCTTATCTTTCCCTATCTTTTCCTATCTTCATTCAATTATTTTCTAAGCTATTTCTCATCTCTTATTGTCTTGTTTCAATTATGTTTTGAACCATTGTTCATCTTTGTTCATCTCACTTTATTGGATTCCCTTATCTTTCCCTATTTTTTCCTATCTTCATTCAATTATTTTCAAACATGTAGGTCATCTTATCCTCTTGTCTATTTAAGAAATGTTATTTTACCCAATTGACCACACAGTCTCCTTCAATTTCATTCTCCTTTTTATAATGAATTCACGTGGAAAGGCTATACAAAATTTCTTCAATGATGATTCTAATGATGATGACCTTCATCAACATAGGGTTGCAATAGCCGTTCAACACCATAAATTTTTGTTGGAGCAATATGCTCAACAATCCAAACATGGTGGTTTCGTTGTACGCCGTGAATACAAGAATCAGAAGAGAGAAAAATATCATAAGAATCTCATGGAGGACTACTTTTGTGAAAGACCACTTTATCCCCTAGTGGACTTTGGCAGGCAGTTCCGCATGAAAAGAGAGCTTTTCTATTGCATCTTGAATGATATTGTTGCACATAAGCCATACTTTACCCAGAAGATAGACGCTTATGGACAACAAAGTCTATCCCCATAGCAGAAGCTAACGACCGTTTTTTGAATGCTCTCATATGGATGCTCGGCAGACTCCACCGACGAGTACTGTAGATTGGGTGAATCTATAGCCCTTGAATGTTTGCAAAAGTTTTGTTCCTTTATTGAAGTCATGTATGGCTAGTGGTAACTCCGATCCCCAAATCTAGCCAACCTTTAGAGCCTCTTGCACAAGGCCAGTCGCGGAGGATTCCCAGGCATGTTAGGCAGTCTTGACTGCATGCATTGGGAATGGAAGAACTAACCCACGCTTGGCCAGGCTAGTTTACCGGTTACAAGCATAAGACAACTGTCATTCTAGAGGTAGTGGCCTCGTATGACACTTGGATGTGGCATGCCTTTTTTGGAACGGCCGGATCAAACAACGATATCAACATCCTAGCTCGTTCCCATTGTTCAATGATGTAGTCAATGGAGTGTCTCCCCATATCCAATATGTTGTCAATGGAAATGAATACAATCTGGACTATTACTTGGCTGATGGTATCTACTCTCGTTGGGCCACATTGGTCAAGACAATTTCCCAACCGAATACTCCAAAAAAAAGACTATTTGCCCAAAAACAAGAGGCTTATACGAAGGATGTCAAAGAGCCTTTGGAATACTTCAGGCTCAATGGGCAATTGTTAGGGACCTTGCACGTATGTAGTGTAAAGAACAACTTCATTCAATCATGATGACGTGCATAATATTGCACAACATGATTGTTGAGGATGAGTATGAGGATCTAGATGCAAAATCTGATGATGATGATGATGATAATAATAATAATAATTGTCCATGAACATCTAGAAGAGCAAGAGCAAGAATTGCTTATGAGCTTGAGCCAACTATCACGTACGATATATACCAAGACAGACAAACTATATCAGACTAAATGGTCCATCATAATAGGGGTTCGTGCTTCGCAAGTGCATCACAATCTAAGAAATGATTTGATCAACCACATTGGGAGATGCGAAGGAGAGGGGCAATGAGTTACGTTGTGTGTTTGAATTATATTGTGTGTTTAAATTATGTTATGTGTTTAAATTATAAAAGTGGTTGTGTGATTTTAATGAATTATGTGGTTTATCATTGAAATTAAAAATAAACTAATTATTGAAAAATAAACGAAAATTACAAATAATGATAAATAATAATTATAAATAAAGATAAACAACAATTACAGATAAAGATAAAAGACAATTATAAATAAAGATAAACAACAATTACAATAACAATGACAAATAAAGATAAACGACAATTATAAATAAAGATAAACGACAATTACAAATAAACATAAATTAATAACCACCACGTGGAGGGCTTGAATGATAGTCTTCAGAGTTGTCTTCTGGATTGTAGGGAGAACTTGTATTCATCTAGGCCTCAATAATTTCGTTTTGCTTATTCCCCCAATACTTCTTCTTTCTTGGAGTAAATTTGGATAGGTCCATGGACATTATCCTCTATTCATTGGCCTCCTTATCTTGTTAGATTTAATAGGCATGTTGCTCTTGTAGGAGCTCTAACTTTTGCCTCCTATTCTCCTTTGCCTTATTTCCTTGTTGAACCAATTCAGACAAAAAACTTTCCACTTTGGTTGAGATAACCTTCAACACCTTTCCCTTTCTTTTTTCATCCTTCTATTTATCTCGTCCCAACGGCTTGGAGTGGGCATGAACACGTCATCCTCATCTTCCTCCAAATTGACTGTATTGCCACTATGAGAAGAATTTTTGAATGTTTGTGTGGGAGATTCACATAGGTCGTTCCATTTTGGGCAATCTTTTAATATTTTCCAAGCATGATACAACTTGAAAGGCCTATTCGGAGGTTTATTATCATTTAAGAAAAGTGTTTTGCATTCATATCCCACCCATGAAATAAATAAAAATCAAGTTAAAATGAAAAGGATTAGAGTTATAAATTTAAGCATTGAATAAAATGGGTACTCACCACATCTTCAAGATGTTGGAAAAACAACAATCAGTGATTATTTATAATATACATACATATATATATATATATGAATCAACGAAATAGAATTTATAACAAATTGTAATACAGAATACAGTAAATAAACAACAAATGAAATTAACTTGGATTCGAGATAGAGACTTGCAGATTTGATGCTGGAATTAAGTGTAGGATGACTAAAAATGCCTAGAGGGGGGTGAATAAGCCAATTTAAAATTATAATCAATAAAATTCGGTAGCAGGATTGATATGGCTTATCAATCCTGAAACATGCTGAGCATAAAATAAGGGAACATGCAGAGAATTATTTTACGTGGTAAAACCCCACCTCTCCGGGGAAAATCCATTGAACTCCTCAGTCCAACAGAAATCCACTATAGAACGATGATTACAAGAAGTACTCATGCACTTATCCTAGACACATTCTAGATAATGTTTACTGACTTCTTCGTAACTCAACTTATATCATGGGATGATATTCGACACTCCTTATGTTGAACGCCATACTGGTCATGATTGCTTCAAGCTTGCTGGAGGAAAACCGCCACCACGGTCTTGGTGCTCTCAATCGTATGAGTCACCGAACAATGCAAATGAATGATTAAAATGTTTGATAAATGACCAAGTCAACATGGAACACTTGATGATTTATCTCAATATATGCACATAAGATTTTCTTAGAATTCTATATGCTCAAAACAAATATCTCAAAGCTGTGAATAAACAAAGCAGCACGTCATGTTTTTATACAGATCTATTCTCCTTGTTACAAGAGGAGTGCCTAAAGCAAAAAGATCATTGGCTAATCATATTGATTCATCATTCAATTCGTCAACTTATGCATGCATTGAATTACCTTCCATCCCATATCTTAATATAAGGAAACCAAATATAGCACGATGCAAACAATGAAACATATAGGATGTGCTTTTCAAGTTAGAGATAAAAATGAATATTTTAACTTAAATCAAAATAGAGTCCAACTAGGAAAGTAATATCAAGAGATAAAATCTAATCCTATTAAAATAGGACTAACATAAAAGTACTTGATTGAAAATAACTCCAACTAGGAATCCTATAATGAATACATGATTATGTCATGATTTACCTGAAATCAAGTTCCTCATATCGATCAAGTCATTCTTCGAAAATCTGGGATTGAATGTGTGCACCAAAACTTCCAGCAAAAGATATTCACACCCTAATTCCCGACCTATGCTAGAGTCTAGGAAATAACAATACAATTTTCATACTAATAGATGCAATGTCCTATAGATAGTAATTTTACCCCTTCTCGGTGCTTGAAGTACTGCGACTGACTGTCTCCCAGGATTTAACTATCTATATTCTAAGCCCTAGCACTCGGACTTAAAATCTAGCAAACTTTGTTTGTTTTCCTTTCAGACAAGATGAAATGTGCTTGTACAATGCTTCTTTTTTTTTGTATATCACGAATGAGGCTTTGTTTGATTTAAATAAACCTTTGAAACCTTATCAGAAGAGTCGCAACTGTTAGAAATCAGTTAATTAAACTAATCCAAATTAATAAAAAACTATTAATTCGAAACTAAAAAATTAATTTAAATATGAAAGTGCCCAAGTGCCCCAACGCCAAGGCCCATCTTTTTTATAATTAAATATTAAATATTAATTATATAATATTCAATGCCCAAATTGATTTTGAAACCCAATTGGCTTCCACTTGGCCCAACTTTCATTTACTAAGTGTGGGACTTCCACACTTATAAAGACCTCACTCTTTCTTCTTTCTACCAATGTGGGACAAATGTCCTTGAGTTTCATTCAAACTTCCAACAATACCCCACATTTGAATCGAATTCTAGACCCCACATTTGAAATGTTATACTTATAGTGCTAAATGAATGTAATGCATTTGAGAGGAAGCATATGTTGTATACATTAGGAAAAGTGTCTTTTGAACTTGAACTTACCCTAGTGAAAACATATTAGATTTACTTGGTGATGCAGTGGATATAATTGACCTTGAACTGTTCACCGCTATAGTAAACCTAGACAATATGTTTCACACATATAACACCTTAACAAACGTTAGTTCATACATTTTTGTTCATTTTGGTCCTGAACATGTCCCAGGTTTCATGAGAGCTTTAGAGAACTTAGCCTTTTTTCGTTCTCGTAAATGCTACCCCACATTTACTCCCATACAGGTGACACCAATTACGAGTTTTCTGTCTAAACTCCTCTTAATAAGATATTAGTGTCATTAAATGCAAAGCATAACCTTCACATCAACAGACAACACACTAACCATCGTATTATGCCTACGCTTGATATGTCTTGACTTTCCATTGTATACACCACTTTAGGCTCTTGCTTGTGCTGCCCTCACAGTGTATACAAATTGCTATCACAGGCTTAGGCCACATTGGAATGTCTTCTAGGAAGTTTCTCAGCCATTCTGCTTCTTCAGCAACTTTATCCAAGGGTACAAACTCTGATTCCATTGTACAGCGTGCTATACACGTATGTTTAGATGATTTCCAAGATACTACAGCTCCACCTAATATAAATACATATCCACTAGTTGATTTGGTTTCTGTACTGTCAGAATTCCAATTTGCATCACTATAGCCTTCCAGAACTGGTGGATATTTTGTATAATGCAATCCATAATCTTGGGTGTATTTCAAATATCTTAACACCTTGATTAATGCCTCCCAATGATCATGTCCAAGATTGCTTGTGTATCTACTAAGCTTGCTTACTGAATAAGCTAAGTTTGGCCTAGTATAGTTCATTAAATACATTAGGCTCCCAATTACTTAGGAATACTCCAATTGGGAAATTGCACTTCCATTATTCTTCTTTAACTTGCAATTTACATAAAAAAGAGTCACAGCAGGTTTGTAGTCAAATTGACCAAACTTTCTTAAAAAAAATTCTGCTTAATGGGATTGAGTAAGAATATACCCATCACTATTTATTTTGATTTGAATTCCTAGAATGACATCAGCTTGACCTAAGTCTTTCATGTCAAAATTTGAATTCAACATTTTCTTTGTAGAATTTATTATGTCCTTACATGTTCCCATTATGAGCATGTCATCAATATATAAACATATAATAACACAAGAATTCTTGTTGTTCTTTATGTAAACACACTTGTCACACTCATTGATCTTAAATCCGTGTGACATCATTGTATGATCAAACTTTTGATGCCATTGTTTTGGAGCTTGTTTAAGTCCATATAAAGACTTAATAAATTTACAAACTTTAGTTTCTTGACCTTCTACCACAAAACCTTCTGGTTGTTCCATGTATATTTCTTCATCTAATTCTCCATTTAAGAAAGTTGTTTTTACATCTATTTGATGTATGTCCATATTGTGTATACCAGCTATAACAATTAACATCCTTATAGATGTAATTCTTGATACTGGAGAATAAGTGTCGAAATAATCCAACCCTTCCTTTCCTTTAGCAACTAAATGTGCCTTGTATTTATCAATAGTACCATCGGCTTTTAGCTTTGTTTTAAAAATCCATTTAAATCTAATTGGTTTGTTATCATGTGGTAAATAAACCAATTCCCACATATGGTTCTGCATAATGGATTCTATTTCGTTATTAACAGCTTCCTTCTATTAAGGAGCCTCAGGTGAAGCCATAGCTTCCTTATAAGTTTGTGGTTCTTCTTCAGTCAGGAACCTTACAAAATCTTGTCCAAAACTTTTTGGTGTTTTAGTCCTCTTTCCTCTTTTAGGTTCCAAGTCTTTTTCTTGGACACCTGAAGAGGATGGTTCATCAGGATTTCCATCATGTACTTTCCTCTTGTTTGAACCAAACTTCTTTTATTTGTAAGGAAAAATTTCCCCCAAAGAAATCAGCATCAATAGATTCTATAATTGTGTTAACATGTATATCAGAAATATCATACTTAATAACTAAAAGTCTATATGCAGCACTTGTGTTAGCGAAACCTATGAAAACACAACCAATAGTTTTAGGTCCAAGTTTTAACCTCTTTGGTAAGGGTACTTGTACTTAGCTAGGCAACCCCACACTTTCAGTGTATTGTATGTAGGAATCCGTCCTTTCCACACTTCATAAGGAGATTGTTTAGTCTACTTATGTGGAATTCTATTCAAAATGTTATTTGCAGTAAGTAGGCTTCACTGCACAGATTGTGTGGAAGCCTAGAGTTATTCAACATGAAATTTATCATATCCTTGAAAGTTCTGTTTTTCCTTTCTGCTACACCGTTTTTGTTGCAGTGTATATGTTTAAGTGGTTTGATGTATAATTCCATGAGTTGTACAAAAATCGGAAAATGTAGTAGACTCATATTCTCCGCCTCTATCTGATCTAATACTTTCACTTTTCTATGCCTTGTATGTCTTAAACATTTGCAAGGCTTCATCCTTGCTTTGTATTAAGTATACATAACAATGCTTACTGCAATAATCTATAAATGTTGTATAATAATTTTTTCCACCATGAGTTGGTGTGGATTTAAAGTCACAAAGGTCACTATGAATTAATCCAAGTAATTCATTTGACCTTCCTTAAACAGATTTAAAGGTTTGCCCTAAAAACTTGGATTATGTACAAGTTTCACACTTATTATTAAAGTCAATATCAAATTTAGTTAAACCTAAATGTATCATTCTATGCATAGATCGATAATTTACATGACCTAACCCAGCATGCCAAATATTGAAGACTCAGAAAAGTAAATGGAAACCTTATTTATATTATTAAAAGCATCATTGCCAGTTACATTGAGTTTGAACAAGCCATCAACAAGGTATCCCATTCCTACAAACAGCCTTCCTTTGGTTAGGGCCAAACACTAAGTTCTTCCTAATTTCAGGAACATACAGCACATCCAAAAGGGTTAAAACCTTCCCAGAAGTGAACTTTAGCAGCACACTGCCTTTGCTTTCAATTGCAGATACAGAGGCACTTCCTATGTACAGATTTTAGTTACCACAAATGTGCCTAGTAGCTCCTATATCTACCCACCAATCCTTAGTATCAAAAACCATATTGGTTTCAAACACTACAGCCACAAAGTCCTCATTGACTTCAGTCACATTGGTTTGAGGATTGGTTGGATTTTGGTCTCTTCGGTGGCGACAATCTTGTGTTTTATGCCTTGATTTTCCACATACCTAGCAAGCGCCTTTGATTTTATTAAAATCCTTACCTTTTGGTGCATGAAGATTGGCATAATTCTTTGCTTGCCCTTGTTTTTTTGGAACTTTGGCTTTGATGTCTCAACGACAGTGGCTTTGGCTTCCATGACAGGCACTTCACCCTTGTCACCTTTCTTGTGATCCTCCTCAACTCGAAGCCTCAAAATTAGATCCTTCATAGACATCTCTTTGCGCTTATGCTTCAAGTAAATTTTGAAGTCTTTCCATGATGGAGGCAGTTTCTCTGTGATTGCTCCAACTTGGAAGTGTTCATTAATAGAACACCCCTTTGCAAGCAAATCATGGATCAGAATTTGAAGTTCCTCAACCTGTTTAATAACAGTCTTGGAATCAAGGCATACTTGAGAAATTTTCCAATCACGAACTTTTTGGCACCAGCATCTTCTGTTATGTATTTTTTCTCAAGTAATTCTGAAACTTCCTTTGCATAATTGTATGATGAATAAATGTCATAAAGAGTATCATTAAGCATGTTAAGGATGTAGTTTCTGCACAAGAAATCAGATTGTTTCCAAGCCTCAATGGTCATCATTGTCTCCTTAGACATTGGATTTTCTGCTGATTTGGGAGCCTCCTCTTCGACAACATGTGCCAGATTCATGGTTGTGAGATAGAAACATCTTCTGTTGCCATCTCTTGAAGTCAATTCCTTTGAACTTCTCAGGCTTCTCATCATGAGGATTCTTAGTCACCACAGTCATTAATGATTGTGAATCCATCGGTTTTACTGTCTTTAGGTTGTTGGAAAAACAACAATTAGTGACAATGAAATAGAATTTATAACAAACTGTAATACAGAATACGGGTAAACAAACAACAAATGAAACTGACTTGGATTCGAGATAGAGGGTTGCAGATTTGATGCAATGTCCTAAAGACAGTAATTTCACTCCTTCTGGGTGCTTGAAGTTCTATAGGTGACTGCCTCCCAGGATTCAACTATCCGTATTCTAAGCCCTAGCACTTGGACTTAGAATCTAGCGAACTTTGTTTGTTTTCCTCTCAGACAAGATGAAATGTGCTTGTAGAATGCCTTTTTTTATAATATATATTACCAATGATGCTTTGTTTGATTTAAATAAACCTTTGAAACCTTAACATAAAAAATTATTAATTCGAAACTAAAATATTAATTTAAATATGAAAGTGCCCAAGTGCCCAAGTGCCCTAAGGCCCATCTTTTTTACAATTAAATATGGGAGCTGATTTTCCCACTCCCCTATTCTCCACTTACACTCCTTTTTGCTTTTTAATCAATTTTTTATTTTTTGCTCTTTCTCTTTCCTATTCTACCCTTACCCTTAATTAATGTTTTGATAATTAAAATTAAGAAAAGTTAACAGAAAATAAAACCAAAAAATAAAAAAGAAGTCGGAGCGTCTTCTTTTGTTTCGATACCTAAAGCCTCTTCTTCTCCTTCATTGTGTCTTTCCCACTTCTCATACCCAGAGCTACTCTCAGAGCAAGTCATGAAATAGAACAATCCTTCTCCTACCCAAAGCAAATACTCTTAATTATTGGTGAAAGGTTAGCTATGGATGAACAAAAGTTGGAGTCTAAGTCGCAGAGGATTTTAGATATGGTGGGCAGCAGTGATTTGAGTGGAATGACAGAATTTAGTAATCCTTCAAATTCTCAAGATATTATGTATGGCACATTTCATTTCTTACTTAATCTAACTTTATTGATTATTAGCAGTGAATTAGCATATTGGTTTTATGTATGTGTGTGTATCTTTATGTTTAACCTTTTCATAAGGGATTTGTTAACCTTGTGGGGAGATGCTGAACATTGATGGTTTACATCTGTGTCCACAAGGAAGCTTTTTGAAATCTAGAAGATGTTTTTGTATTAAAAAGAAATTCACTTTGCTGAGCATTACTCGTTATCTTGTTCATAGGTTGAGTTTTACGAAATAATTGGTGCTCTGATGAATTGCAATTCAATTTTGAGGTTTTTTTCTTTTATGATCTGTCTTTCTTTTGCCCTCTTATCTTCTCATGTGCACACATAGACAAGTTTAAATTAGTGGCACTGCTATCTCTTTATTTTTTCCCTTGGATAGAGGTCTTGATGACCTACTAGTGCGACCCCTTGGAGGTGCATACAAGCTGCTCAACGAAATGTCTCATAGCAATACCTCTTCTATTATATATATTTATTCTTAACTCATATGTGATAGGCAATGAAGCATAAACATTCTTCATAGCTGTAGGAAATGTGTAGTTTATGTTTTATATAAGGCAAAAAGTCACTTTTGGTCCTTGTAGTTTACCACTTTTACCACTTAGGTCCCTGTAGTTTCAATGTCAAGCAATTTAAGGACAAACTTCATTTCTGTCAAATTACTTTAACTTCCGTTACTTATTAAACATGTGCCCCTCACATGGAAGGGCATTTCGGTCCAATCTCCCCAAACACTTCTAGAGCCACCTAGCAGCCCTTGTTGTAGCTTTTCTTCCTTTCAAGAATCCAAGTTCCTCCCTCCAGGCTCAAGCAATATTCTCTTTTTATTTCTTGGGATTTTTTTTATGAGATCTGTGACTTGGGTTTTGAAGTCCCCATAGCCTCTATGAAAAGCAAAGCTCTTCACTTTCAACTTCAATATTCTCCACAGAACTTAGCCCCTGCACTTTCCTTTCTAGGCTTTTATAAGATCTTCTTCATCACTCTTGCGCATGGACTACGATATCTCCCACAACAATGGTGAGAAAATTATGAACCTTTACCATTATCTCAAATTTGGGTCACATATCTCAAGAGATTTTGGCTTGTCTGATAGGGTTTTATTTGGATAATTACAATGATGAGTTTTGTTCTAGCTATGTAGAATGTTGATTGGGTTTTTCGAAAATTAAGTTGGGGGTTCTTAGAGAGAGGGGAAAACTTGGTTGTGTAGGGAGAGAAGCAGGTTCAATCATGAGGGGGAATAAGGAGGGGAGAAGGTGGGGGTGGTTGGGGAAGGGTTGCTGGGCTTTATTTTATTTTATTTTTATAATTCCATGTGATTTCAATTTGGTAAAAGTGGTTGGGGAGGAGCTGATGGGTGGGTGTTGGGTGGTTGGCGAAAGGCTGCAATATTGGACCGAAATGCCCCTCTGAGTAAGGGGCACAAGTTCAATAAGTAACGGAAGTTGGAATAATTTGACAGAAATTGGGAGTTGTCCTTGAATTGCTTGGAATTGAAACTACAAGGGTAAAATTAATCAGATTGAAACTACAGGGACCTAAGTGGTAAAAATAGTAAACTACAGGGACCAAAAATGACTTTTTGCCTTTATATAAATTGGATGGTTTGTGATATAGGAAGTGAAGCATCAATTGATAAAAGTGACAAAATGCTCTCTTTGACAAACAAATAAAAATTCAAAGTCAGGAAGACCTCATTGAAGCTGCTCATAAGATTGCCTTTGCGTAAGGGTATGCACTAGTTATTAGAAGATCTAAATATGAGAAATATGTTGTCCTTGGTTGTGATAGAGGCAGTAAATATGAAAGTAGAAAAGTTCCACTAGAGGAAAGAAAAAAGAAATCAGCATCTTGCGTCATAAACTGTCCATTTGAAATTTGGGGCAAATAGAAAAGGAAACTTCAAGGATTTTGGAAGTTGGAGATTAAAAGTTTGTTGCATAATCATGAACCTTCAACGGACATGTTTGGACATCCCTATTGTTGTCGATTTTCAAATGAGGAAATTATGCGGATTAAAGAAATGTGTATGGCTGGTATACCACGGCGCCAAATTCTCTCTTCACTTTGACAAAGCAACCCTCATCTTCGAGCAATTTCCCGAAACATTTACAATAAGAAGGCTAAAATTTTGGAGGAGAGCCTAACAGGATGTTCGGTTATTCAAGCATTATTGGATGAACTTGGTGAAGGTGGTTTCTCTTATAACATTGAGTGTGACCAAGAAGGGCATTTGACTCATTTGGTCTTTGCTCATCCTATGTCAATTGAATTGAGTAAGAGTTACCCACATGTCTTTTTGATGGATTGCGCTTATAAAACTAATAAGTATAAGATGCCATTATTGGATATAATAGGAGTTTCAAGTTTCAACACTTCATTCTACTCTTGTTTTGTCTTCATGCAAAAAGAAGAAGAGAAGGATTATTTGTGGGCTCTAAAAATGTTCAATAAAATTTTGGGAGTTCATAATCAGCCATTAGTGATCATATCAGATAGAGAATTGGCCTTAATGAATACTATACACATTGTATTCCCAAGTGCTTGTAATTTGTTATGCATGTGGCATATTGAGAAAAACATTCTTGTAAATTGTAAACCTCATTTTAGAGAAGAAGTTGATTGGGTTGCTTTCCTATCTACTTGGGCTGATTTAATCAAATCTCCAAATGAATCATCATTCGATAAAGCTTGGGATCATTTTGAAAATACAAGGAGAATGCAGCTGCTTTGAACTATATTAGAGGTACTTGGATGCCATTGAATTTTTTTTTTGTAAGTGCATGGATATATGAGGTTGTACACTTAGGTAATTGGGCTACTTCAAGAGCTGAAGATGCACATGCAACACTAAAGAAGTATCTTCAAGTTTCAACCGGAGGTCTTCGTGAGGTAAAAGAAAAAATATGTCTTGCTATTGAACATCAATTTCAAGAAATCAAAACTCAACTCTCAAGTGAAAAGGTTCGTGTTCCACATAGACTATGGATTCCATTCTTTGAAGAAGTTGTTACTCATGTATCTATGTTTTCTTTTTAGATGAGTTATACAAGCAAGATGAAGCTGCAAAATATGGTAATCTTTCATCTCAATGCATAGGCCATTTTTTCAAAATGATGGGTATTCCTTGTGGACACATGATTAAGGATATGAAATTTCAAGTATTGCCTTTGAATGCCATATATAATCAGTGGAGGATCAATGCACAATTGTTAAACAATGATCAACATGCAGGTTTGGATGATGAAGATGATCAAATAAATAGTCTTCTATTGGACTTCAAAGAGAAGTATGAAAAACTACCCATTCTTCAAAAAGATGACACAAAGAGACAACTATCTAAATTTGTTGGTACTTCTTTTCCCCAAATTTTGGAGCCTAAGATTCAACCTCATAAAGGACGTCCACTAGGGTCAAATATAGTGTTTACAAAGGTGTTGGCCACAATAAAAGTACTTGTCCATTTCAAGTTGCCTCTTAATTCTACCTTTTGGAAATGGATAGAAATGTAAGTATTTGTAGGCAAATTCTTTTTTTCTTTTTTACCAAGTATGTGAGTACCATTTATCTTTGTTGTAGTTAATAGTTAATAAATTTTTTCGGTTAACTTGTTTACAAGTAGAAGAACCAAAGAATGTTACTAATAAAACTGTCATTAGGAGCTTAGATATGCAGAGAGCGAGGTACTTCTTATGCATAATAGTCTCAAATTTTTATTCTTTCATAATTTTCAAAGTTGTACATGTTTATTAAAGGGAATTATATCTCATCAAATTTTACAGTAGTAAATAGTATTATGAGAGATCAATTAGTTTGTTAATTAATTAGTCTTCTTTCTTGTAGGTATTTTGAAGTGGATGGATGGATTCATCCTTATTTCACATGTCTCTTTTTAACACAAGGAAGAAGTGTTGTATGGAATGATACAGTTTGGTTAATTGAGCTAAATTATCTTTTTTGTGGTTATAGCTTTTCTCTTCCCTTGTATGGAATGATATAGTTTGGTTAATGAAGCTAAATTTTTGGCAACCACGATAGTTTTGTCTGTACTTTTTGGTTGTTGCTCTTGTTGCTATCTCTATTTAGCCATCTTTTCTGGCTTTCAATGAAGTTTCAACTATTGACCAAAAAAAGAACATGCCAATGGAGCTAAGTTTTTTGCTCTCTTTATTTCCCGTGTTATCTGAACATCCCAATGAAGCATCTAAGTAAATATTTATATTTTGTTCTCGAATGGACCCATAGGATTATAATTGTTTAGTGGAGTTCTTCAGATCACCATTTTCTAGTTCAAGAATGGAAGTTGCCAGATAGGGGTGGGCATAAAAACTGATAAACTGATAAACCAATCAAACCGACTGAACCAAACCAAACCAAACCAAACCGAAAAAGAGCATTTTTTGACTAAACCGAAAAAGTCAACCACAGACCTGAACCGAACCAAAGGTCCACGGTTCGGCCTTCGGTTCTAATTTTTTCAAAACCGATGAACCTGAACCGAACCGGCCAATATTTAAATATATATATGTTACACGTAGCGGCGTATGATTGGCCAAAAAAATATTAATGTGACCCTCACATGCAACTCTCTCCTCTCTTTCACTCAGTCTTCTCCTCTCTTTTGTTTTCACTTTTCTTTTTGTTTTTGACCTAAGAGGCTGCGGCACCTCTCTCTCTCGACCGTCTCTACTTCCATCCTCTCACTCTCAGTCGATCAGCCACTGCGCCGCCTCCATCCCTACATCCAGGTCAGCTTCTCTTTCTCTTATCTATTCTTTTTTTTTTCTTGTCGCATCTTTGCTCCGCTAACTCTCTCTTTGCTCTATCTTCTTATCTAGATTTTTATATGTTTCTCAGTCTCAGTGTCTGATCGCCGACAACATCTATTCCTCTCCTGCGATTTCTTCTATGAGTTTTTCTCTCATATCAGTCAAAGGTGAGAGCATCATCTTGCTTTGAATTTAGGGTTTATTCTAAATTAAATTTGTGGTTTTTTTCTTTTAAATTAGGCTTGTCGATTTGGTGGTTGACGTTGATGTGATGATATATTTTTTCAGGTTTTAGGGGTGTCGAATTAGGGCTGCCATAAATTAGGTTATGTTATGTTGTGATGATTATTTGAAATTGACAAAGAAATTATGAACTGTTAGTTTCATTATACAAATTAGGGCTACTAGCATTTAGGTTCTTCTGTTAAATTATTCTAATTAGGGCTACTACCAATTAATTTTTGTTTTATGAAATTAGGTTCTGTTTCTACTGCTACTATTCTGTTGTTATGCTGCTGTATTAATTATGTTTATGTTTCTTTTTGTTAAATAGGTTATGCTACATGCTAGGTATGTTTTGATTGGTTAGTTTCTATTTTTATTAAAGAACAGATGGAAGAGTGATGATATATTTGTAGTCTGACATTGTTCATGCATGATACTTCGAATTTTTCGAACGAATTATGGTTACATATTAAAGATTAAGACCTGTAGTTCAAATTTTGGTTTTAATTTTAGGATTTGTTTTTAGAGCAGTGGATATTTTAGGGTATTTGGTTTGAATTTTTACGAAAGGAATGAAGCTTGTTTGTAACCTAACCCTTTTTTTGTTTTCATTCACAGTTGTTTAGCATCGCTGCTGCTGCTGAGCTTTGAAAGTTTGGAAAATTTTGCTTAAATGGAGGTAAATATTTGGTGTTAACCCTATTTTTGTTTTGTTTTGAGTTAATATGTTTGTATTCTGTAATTTGTAAGCTGTTTTGTTGATTTAAATATGTAATTTGTAATATGTATGTGATTTAAATCTGTTTTGACTCTGTTTCTTGCATCTTTGGATAGGAAAAATATGTTTTTACTGTGTTTAAATCTGGTTTTTGGATAGGATATACATTTAGGGAGTTGTATGCATAGGAAAATCTGTTTTGACAGTTTAAATGTGTTTTTGAATTATAGGATATATGTTTTAATATGTTTATGGATAGTAAAACTTTGTTTGGCTGTGGTTTTAATCTTTGTTTAAGTGGGAGAGCATTGGGAAATTGCTTGAAAATTGTTTGATTGATTGGGGACATGAGAAGATACAATTACTGCAGATAATGCAGCTGCCAATACTAAGGCAATTGATTATGTGAGGAAGAAAATAAATGGGTGGAAAGATTCGAATAGTGTGTTAGGAGGAGTTCACATGCATATGAGGTGTAATGCTCATAAAATCAACTTGATAGTTAAGGAGGGTTTGAAGAGATTAGAAAGCTCAATTGTGGCAATTCGTAATGCGGTCAAGTTTGTGAGGTCCTCACCTTCTCGGTTGAGTTACTTTAAAATGTGTGTTGAGACGGAAAAAATAGAGTGCAAGGTGTTGGTGGTGATGGATGTGCCCACTAGGTGGAACTCCACTTACTTGATGCGGCATTGAAATTTCGAAAAGCTTTTGATAGGATGGGATTCTTTCTACTTAATGTACTTCAAGGAAGAGGAAGGAGATGACGAGAGAATTGAAAGCATTGAAGGAAGTGGGAAAGAGAAGGGAAAGTCTAAGACTAATAAGAGGGTGGGTCCACCTAGCGACGAAGATTGTGAAAAAGCCGTGACATTTGTGATGTTTTTGAAGACCTTCTATGATGTTACTTTGAAAATTTCAGCTTCTTTGCATCCAACATCACACTCAACCTTCCATGACTTGCTTGCCATAGATGGGGAGATTCGGGAGTTGTATAGATATGATGTTACAATTCCTATTGAAGAACGGACAGCCATGGATATTCTTTTTAAATGATATCGCAACATCAATGAAGAAGAAATATGATAAATATTGGGGTGAACTTCATAAAGTGAACCCATTTTTTATTATAGGAGTTGTGATTGACCCCCGACTCAAGCTTCGCAATTTGAAGCACATCTTTGATGAAATATTTGAAAATGATCCTACTTGTGATAGATTGGTGGCTCAAAAGACAAATGAGGTGAAACAATTTCTTTTGAATATGTATGAAGTGTATAAGCCTAGTAGTAGCAATATGGGTGCTACTAGTACTACCAATGAGAGTGGTGGCAGTACTAACAATGAAACCGACTCTTCTTTGGTTTTTGGAGGTCTTAAACGAAAAACCGTGATGAAAAAGTGGAAAAAAATTCAACAAGAGAGTGAGAATATGATTATAACACATGAAGTGGATAGGTACTTGTTGGATCCACTTGAATCCATTGATCAGGAGTTTGATATACTAGGTTGGTGGAGAATAAATGGGCTCAAGTATCCTACTTTGGCATCAATTGCAAAGGATTTGTTTGCAATCCCTACTTCCACAATAGCTTCGGAGTCTTGTTTTAGCACAAGTGGGAGAGTGATTGACTCGTTTCGAGGCTCATTGTCTCCTAGGATGGTTGAGGCTTTGATTTGCTCTCAAAATTGGATAAGGTCCGAAGATATATCTTCATTGCAATATGTGCCAAGCATTGAGGAGATGGAGTTCTATGAATCAATTGAAATAGGCAATATTTTCATTTCTATTAAGTATATTTGAATCCGATTATTTTCTTATTTTTATGTATTCTAACTCAAATTGGTTTGATTTATTGTATTATATTTTGTAGAAATGGGGAGTAAAACATCCATGACAAATTTGAATAAGACTCTCCCTTCGTAATGTGATGAAGATATGTTGGAAGGTATTTTTCTTGCATCTTATTTTAATTATGATTTGCTAATGGTGAAACTTTGTGTTAATTATTTTAAGTGTTGTGTAGGTTGCTTTGTTAAGGCTTTTGGAAGAATGGATGCAGTAGATTTTTTGCAAGGATATTATCTTTATGTGTATTTTGTGATGGGTTGTAATCTTTAATTTCATAAGTTTAATTTGGATTGCTTGCTTTATTTGTGTATTATTTTTTGTAGTGGTTTGTAAGACATTATATTTCCTTTCCTTGGTTTGTTGGTTGAATGTGTGAATGTGAGATTCATTTAGTTGTTTAGATACTTAGATTGGAATGATGGATTTTTATAGGTTGAATATGCATAATTTCAGGTTTTGAAAGAGAAGTAAAGTGATTTGGGCTTGTTCACAAGAACTTGTTAGGTTTTGGCAATTTGACAACAAAAAAAGGGTTTTGGCTGAAAATAAATCTGATTTGGGCCTTTTTTTGTTGAAAATAAATATGATTTGGGCTTTTGAAAATGGTAAAATTGGGCTCAAGCCCAAACCGAAAAACAATGCAGAACCAAGGCCTATTTGTGGTTTGGCCCAATTTCGGGTTTTACCCTAGACTCGACCCAACCCGAGAACCGAGCTCTCCATTGGTTTGGCCCTCATATCGGCCAAAATTTGACCCGACCCAAACCGTGCCTAGGCCTAATGCCAGATGCAAATGGATCACTAAAGAATATTTTTATTCCCAAAAAAAAAAAAAAAACAAAAAAAAAAAAAAAAAAACCTGGTTGCAAGGTTTATTCGTGGGCATGTTTTTTTTTGTAACAGGTGGATAATATAATTTTGCCTAGACAAATATATAGTTTTAATTATTTTTTACTTGATGAAAGGAAAAATATTACTAAAAATGTAGTGCAACTTGGAAAATTAAGTATAAAAAAAAATAGTAATAGGGTAGAGTAAGGGTAGAATGGGAAAGAGAAAAAAGAAAAAAGAAAACGTTGATTAAAAAGTATTAAAAGCAAAAGGTAGTGCAAGTAGAGAAAAATGGAGTGGGAATATCAGCTCCCTTAAATTTTATATAATATTCAACGCCCAAATTGATTTTAAAGCCCAATTGGCTTCCACTTGACCCAACTTTCATTTACTAAGTGTGGGACTTCCACACTTATAAAGACCTCACTCTCTCTTCTTTCTACCAATGTGGGACAAATGTCCTTGAATTTCATTCAAACTTCCAACACAAGATTGGAGCCACTCACATGCCTTTCATTGGCCTTTGTCATACATGCCTTCCACAGAGAACATTGTTAGTTGATGATCTTGAACCGAGGAGCAATTGCTTGCAGTGATTGTATCCCGGCTCCACTCATGCCCGGATCATTTTTCAAAAACTTGTGGTACACACACAACCAAAATGAGTCATTTGATTGATTGGTGCCAATAGCCCCATCTTCAGAGATAGAGACCCACCCTTTGCATAATGCCTCATCTTCTTGTGGTTTCCAATTCACACCTCTTTAAGGGTTTTAGGGCCATTCTCAACAAGAATGAAAGGAGAATGAAAAAATATAACAAAGGGAGAAAGGAAAAAATAATAATTTTTTGTGGATTATTTACCAAAGGAATGGCTATTTATAGAGTTTGGAATAAGTTTTGGGGTTGGAACTGATTTAGATTAATTATAAATATTATTTTAACCGTTGGATTTAAATTTGAGCTGTTTGATGTGAAATTTTACCGTTTAGATTGCATAAAATTATTCCTGATCGTTGATATGTGGATATAGCCGTTGCATTATAAAAAAAACAAAACAAAAACAAACTCAGCTTTCAAATTTGGCCATTTGATTGCAACAGCTCTTTGTCCAAATGCTACCATTTGTCACGCAACAAGAATGCAAGGAGACAGCTTGCTGCCACATGGGGCTCTTCTGTTTTTCATTTTTCATGTATGCTGTAGAGCAAGGATTTGGGCTCCACACAAATTATTAGTCCAGGCAAAACTTGGACTGGTATTCCACCCCAAATTCCACCCATCTCAAATTTCCACCCCTCAAAATACATGGGTTGGAGATGGGTTTTGGGCTCAAAAATCAAAATTTGAGTTTCCACCCCTTGGGTTAGAGATGGCCTTAGATTAAATTTTAATGAGGTGGCGTATAAAGAACAAAAGTCAAGCAGATCACTACAGAGAAAATCAGAGCAGAGGATCCGAATCCCTCTCTCTTATACATGTTTGTGCAAATTTTTGCACGGGGAATATTCACCTCTTCATTCTTCAAACCCTATAATATCCTTCTCTTTCCTTTTCCTCGAACCCTGCGAAAAAAATTGGGGTTAATGAGCCACACCAGGGGGTGTTGGCCAAATGCTCTCCGATGCCTAAGTTAGTTCGATTGGATCTTTAAAAAGATATGATAATAGCTAAAGTGGTTGGAGTTACGGTACTAGAAAACTGGGTGGTCAGAGCCATGTGTGGAGGGGCATGGCCATGTGAGGGGAGAGAGAGAGAGAGAGAGCAGAATTTTGCTGGGGTTTTCAAATTACCTTGGAGGTATAATGTAGCCATGTATTCATAGTGCTCTTGCCTTCTGGGGTTTTCAAAGAGTAATTTCTATATTTTTTCCCTTAAATGGAGAGATTGAGTCAATTAGGGATTTTAATAAGAATCAAATCCCTAATTGATGACGATATCTCTATTTTTGGTCTAAGTAATTAACCAATTACATGGAGATAATTATTGACCTAAGAGATATTCTCATTGTGCACGTGGCGCCTCATGATTGGTTGCCGAAATATTTATTCCCACAATGCAGTAGGCCTAAGAGACTTTCTCTATGTAATCAGATTATCCAATCTCATTTTTAAGTGTCCTAGGCTACCAATAATAGCAATTTTTGAGAGTGAATAAACTAAATCCAAAAATTCCATTCCAACTCAAGCAATTTTTATTTCATAAAAGAACTGTTGTGAAATTATTGCAAATGCACAATCCGCACAAGTAATATAGAGATAAGTGAAGTGTCGCTCCCATGAAGACTATAATTTCCTTTTAATTACCAATTATGATTAATTCAAAAGTTTATTTGAATGATTAAGAAGATTGATTGATTTAACTAAACTAAAACAGTTATGAAAAATAGCAACTTAATTAACAATGGAAAATCAAGTTGATGAGACACTAGAGCATCCAATATCACCATACTTAATTCTTATAGCCGATTAACCCTAATTACTACCCATGTTGACAGTTGGTTTCTCCTAATTCATTTGATATCCCCTCTCGGGCTCAACTAAAAGTATTCTCAATTAACAACTCATTCTCTATCGAGCAACGAATTTAGAAAATCAAGAACCCATTAAGTTCTATGATAACCTGCAAGAAAATTACATGAGTCATGTTAGGTCCTCTCGAGCACTCATTCAATACATGGTATTTGTTACGAGAAGCAAACACCAAACATCTCCTCTCGGCCTCCATTTGGATCATCAATTAAATATTAGCTAGATATTTAAAGCATTACGAATAGTAACAAATACTCAGCATGGAATAATAATCAAAAATTAATATAACTATAAAAATAGTGTTCAGGGTTAAGCTACATCATAGCCCTAGCAAGAGAAATTAGTTCATGACAAAAGAAAAGATAAACAAAATAATTGTTGTCATAAAACTGATTTGGCCGATGGACTTGATCTCAGGAATCTCCACAGCAACACCTTCGGAAGCTCCAAAAGCACCCCAATAGCAAACTCTTGGCTCTCTCTCTAATATATTTGTGGGTGTATGAAAGTTATATATGGTAAGACGATGGTACCATCTCTTAGGTTAAAGTTTTGTATTTATAGGCCAAGAAAATCCTCCAGAAATAAGGAAAGGCAATGTCTAATTAGGAAGTAGAGGAATAATAGGAATATTGAGAAAGCCAAAACACACTTCGATAAAGGAGAAAAGGTGCAGCCGTTATTTGGAAATAATTAGCTCCAACTCAAAAAAGGAATTAGGAAATTGAGCTTGGGTAGAAAAAATAGGAAAATAAGACCAAGGTTTAAGTGGATCTCGGCAAGACTAGATAGGCGCAGGTGACATTAATTCAATTTCAGCCTATTATAATTCAGCAAATGCTTGCTTCTTTATGGATATCATCTTCCGTCTTCTTCTTCATAGCCCATTGTAATACAAAGATATTGATCCTTTTCCTTTATCATTGAATCAGCCCAATAAATTGAATAAAAGAAGACAGCACCACCACCTTCATATATGTGTGTATTTTGCTTGCTCATTAATAAAAACTGACAGATTTTGACACCTAATCTCTACAGCTGCACAGCCAACAACTACATTCTAATTCACCTCCAAAAATGATGGTAACTTTTCTAACTCAAACTCTTTGGCGCTGGTCATTGAGACCAATTGTGGGTATAAATTGACACCTGCACAGATGTACTCCACGTATTTGATGAAATGACAAAGTAAGTTCTTGAGATTTCATTGAGTTGATAATTCCACCAATTTTGATCCCTTAAGCTTCCAAAATCATTGTTTTAGCTCCAAACCCTTCATAGGAACGGTTGCCTACAAAATCTTCACTAAACACATTAAAATAACCAATTTCACACCAAAACAATGCAAATAGAGATAGATTATATATGCAAAATATGAATCTATCAAACTACCCCAAACCTATTTGTTGCTAGTCCTCGAGCAAAATTAGAAACAAAAACAAAAACAAAATGAAAAGCTAACTAAACCACTTCCGCAGGTAATCTCGATGGCACTTAGCATGTGCCACAAGCTGTTAAACCTCTAAGTGTCCCTAGTAAGAGGAGTTGTGTCTCCTGAGGGTTTACCAATTATAATACCCACAAAAATTTTACTACAAAACAAAGTCATTAAAGGCATCACTTTAAACAAGCTAATAAAAACCAATGCATGTCAATCACATTTGCATCACTAAAGCTATGCCACTTTGAGTACATTGCATCTTGGTGTAACGTGTAATACCTACAGTCATAACATCAAAGCTTAAAGACAACCACATTTGAACGCCATGGAATTATTTCTCCTTGACTCTAATCCTCACTAGATATCACTCTATTTTTTTCTCTCAAAATCCTAGGCTTACACTCAAATGTCACATATGTGTACGAATATTAACACATATGCTTAGCACGAAGAACGAAAACTTCTGAAAATAAAGTCTCCTGAAAAGAATCGAATACTAAGAACATGAGTACATACCTCACCTCCAAGCAAGATTTTCCAAAATATCAATTAGGTCTTCTACTTAAGTTGTAATGAAAGGCTAGGCTCGGGTTAAGAAATAAAGGAAGGGAATAACAAAAACTTAAGACATACCAAAGCATTATCCACAATCACATACACGGCCTGCTTCTTTTGAACAATTTGTAATACTCAACATCCACGAATTGTGCATCTTTCCTACTCCATTTGGAGTATTTTCAACTTTTATTGTTTTGAATTGCAAAATACTTTTCTTTTCTTCAGTATTCTCTATTTTTTATTTCTTTCTTTTTCTTCTTTTCTTGTAGTCATTTTTTTTTCTTCTTGCAATTTTGCACAAACACCTCGGTACATGCCAATTCTTCGGTGCATAGCTCAACCTTCTTATTTTCATCACTTTGGCACATCCTAAGCTATAAGGTATGGCTTAGAAATGGGTATAGGTTAAAAATAATAAGGGTGATGAAAGAAAGGCTAAGTGTTTGGCTACAAAGGGGTTAACGATGCACACAAAAGGGTAGGATGAAAGGCATTTTAGTTGGTGAAAACATGCATAGCCTAACATCATTTCTCATGGTCCATCCCACTTGGAAGCAACGTACCTACAAAAGTAAGAACATTCTTTATATCCAATACAAACCTAATGAGAGCAATCCAATTAAGGACAAAATAGAAGAGTATTTAAGAGTAGAAACAATAAAGATTGGCTTTTGGTTCAAAATCTCACAAGGGTAGTCTCCACTAATATTCCATAGTCATTCGAGCATAGCAACCTTGTCCACCAAAATATTACGAGTAGGGTATGGTGAAGTGCAAAGATTATAATGGAATAACCCTTCATGGAGACACGTTAGTAAAACATTAAAGATCAAAACATGACATATACATCTCTATTAGCAAGAAAAAGTGATAGTTTTAACTAGAATTCACATTTTGGTGAAATTGCTTCTTTTCAATTTCGACCTTAGATAAGTTTTCAGTGACTATCTCACAAAGTACTGCATGAAATTTGGCAACGAACTCGGGAACCACACAAACAAAAATTAAAAAGTTAAGGAATGAAGGTACCTAGTTGGGTTGGCTCCCAACAAGTGCTTAGTTTAGAGTCAATAACCCAACTTTCGGAAATGCAGTTGTCACATATGGTTTTGGCCGATGACCATTAACTTTGAAAGTTGTACCGTCACGATCATTCTAAGGACCAACGAGCACGAAGTTTACCAAGAAAGAGTTTCAACCGTGAGTTGTAGAGGAGAATGCCTTTGACCCACATAAAATTCTTTCTTCAAGATGTGCTTGTCATGCCACTTTTTTGTACAGTACTTGTAAATTTGTCCATTCTCATACGAGAAGTTCCTCTAACTCATTCAATGGCAACTTCCTCTTCTCACTCACCGAACTCATGTCAAAATTGAGCGTTTTAATAGCCCAAAACGCTTTATGCTCCAATTCCACAGGAACGTCGCACGCTTTCCCAAAAAACAAGTCTATATGGTGACATCCCAATTGGCGTTTTGAACGCCATTCTATAAGCCCATAATTCATCATCCAATTTCAATGACCAATTTTTCCAAGAGGCATTCATTATTGTTTCCAAGATTTTCTTTAATTCCCTATTCAAAACTTCAGCTTGCCCATTAGTTTGCAGATGGTATGGAGTGGAAACTTGTGGGTAATGCCATATTTTGCAAGAAGAGAATTAAATTGACAATTGCAAAAATGCATACCTCCATCACTAATAATTGCACGAGGGACCCCAAATCTTGTGAAAATATTCTTTCGTAGAAATTTAACCACAACCTTGGAGTTATTAGTGGGTAAGGCAGCGGCTTTGACCCATTTTGATACATAATCTACTGCAACCAAAATATACAAATTCCCATACGATGCCGAAAACAGACCCATGAAGTCAATACCCCAAACATCAAACAATTCTACCTCCAAAATATTATTCAAGGGCATTTGGTTTCTACTAGAGATATTTCCCTTACGTTGGTATTGATTACACGTCACAACAAAGTCTTGAGCATCTTTAAACAAAGTAGGCCAGAAAAAACCCAGATTGTAGGACCTTGGCTGCAATCTTGGAAGCACCATAATGGCCTCCACATGCCGAAGTGTGACAATGCGATAATATGTCAACCATCTCTGTCTCAGGTACACATTATAGTATAACTTGGTTAGGACAGTGCTTCCACAAATATGGATCATCCCAATAATAATGTTTAACCAATGATAGGAATTTCATTTTTTATTATTTATAAAATGACATATTAAGGGGGGAAATTACCACAAGCTAGATAATTGACAAAGTCTGCTTACCAAGGAGTGACGTATTCTTTCTCAGAATTGATGGAAAATAGTTGTTCGTCAAGGAATATCTCTAGGATGGGTGGAACATCTTCTATAGCTTCATCCTCATGGACTAGCAAAGAGAGGTGGTTAGCCACCATTTTCTCATACCCTTTTTTTTATCTCAAATTTCAGTATCAAACTCTTGAAGCAATAAAACCAATCGAATTAGTCTCGGTTTTACTTCCTTCTTGGCAAGAAAAAATTTCAAAGCCGCATGATCCGTATACAGAATTACTTGTGCACCCAATAAGTAAGAACGAAATTTATCCAATGCGAATACCATTGCTAACAATTCATTTTCCATAGTGGCATAATTTAATTGGGTATCATTCAACGTACAACTCGCATAGTGAATCACATGTGGTAATTTATTCTTCCTTTGACCCAAGACCGCTCCAATAATATAGTCACTTGCATCACACATAATCTCAAATGGTAATTCCCAATCAGGTGCAATAATGACTGGCGTAGTGGTGAGCTTCTCCTTCAATAAATTAAATGCCTCCAAATATTCTAAATCAAAGCTGAAATTGGCATCCTTCAATAGCAACTTACAAAGAGGCTTTGTAATTTTCAAGAATCCTTAATAAATTGATGATAAAACCCACCATGTCCCAAGAAGCTCCGAATTCCTTTCACTATAGAAGGGGGTGGTAGCTTTTCTATAGTCTCAATTTTTGCACGGTCAACCTCAATACCTCTTGTTGAAATTTTATGCCCCAACCCAATCCCTTCTTGTACCATAAAATGACATTTTTCCCAATTGAGAATTAAATTTGTTTCTTCACATCATGTCAACACTAATGGCAAATTATCCAAACAAGAATCAAAAGATGAATCGAAAACATAGAAGTCATCCATAAATACCTCAATAAATTTCTCCACTATGTCACAAAAAATGCTCATCATGCAACGCTGAAAAGTGGTAGGAGCGTTACATAACCCAAAAGGCATACGGCGATAGACAAAAGTGCCAAATGGACATGTGAATGTCGTTTTTTCTTGGTCTTCAGGCATGATAGGGATTTGATTATACCTTGAGTACCCATCTAGAAAATAGAAATAACCGTGCCCAACACGTCTTTCTAGCAATTGATAAATAAAAGGTAGCTAGAAGTGATATTTTCTAGATGCATAATTCAATTTCCTTTACTGCAGACTCTCTATCCTATAACAGTTCTTGTCACGACCAACTCATTATTTTCATTTTTTACAACAATCATCCCTTCCTTCTTTGGCACAATCTGTGTAGGACTCGCCCAACTACTATCACATATAGGGTAAATAATACATGCATCAAGCAATTTTAATACCTCTACATGAACCACTTCTTTCATGTTGAGGTTTAATTGGCGTTCATGCTCAATGGATGGCTTATGCTCCTCTTGCATTAGTATTCGGTGCATACATATAGAAGGGCCAATACCCTTGATGTCGGCAATCGTCCACCCAATTGCAGTTTTATGTTTTTGCAACAACCGTAACACTTTTTCTTCTTTAGTTTCACTCAGATTTGCAGCAATAATAACTGGTAAAGTTTCAGAAGTTCCCAAATAAGCATACCTCAAATGTGTTGGCAATGATTTCAGAGTGAGTGTAGGTGCAGTAATTACAGGCGATGCAGTCTTAGGAGGTGCCACACCTAGTAGTTCGAACTCGTTCCATCTCCTCGGGTTGTACAGTTGTGATGCATCTAAATACAAGGCATATTCAGCAACTATTGGGGTGTCATCTTATGAGGTAGCGGCATGGACCAATGTAGATTCCCATGGATGGCTCGGATTCTCCTTTTCAAATGTGCCTATAGCAATTTCATCAACTAATTCAATGCAAAAACAATCGTCTGCTTCTCTTGGAAATTTCATTAACTTTGAATGTCGTTTTTTCATTCCCAACTCTCAAAGTTAGTAACCTTTCTTCCACATCAATTAGAGTGCATGAAGTAATTAGAATGAGGGGCCCAAAATTAGCTTTGTATCATAATCTTCTTCCATATCCAAAACTAGAAAATCAGTTGGAAATTTAAGTGTATCAACCTTTACTAGAATATCTTCAATAATTCTGTCTAGATATATGATTGACCTGTCCTCCATCTGCAAAGAAATAGTAGTGGATTTAATTTCACCAATACCAATCTTTTTAGCAACAAATAAAGGTAGTAGGTTAATGTTAGAACCCAAATCACATGAAGCTCTTTTAAAGAAATTATTTACAATAGTGCATGGAATTTTAAAACTCCCTCTATCTTTTTGTTTTGGTGTAAGCTTCCATTATAAGATGGCACTGCACTCTTCAGTGAGTTGGATTTTCTCATGCTTCCTTTTCTTGGAGAGGATGTCTTTCATGAACTTTGCATAACTTGGCATTTGTTCCAAAGAAACGGCAAAGGGAATGCTTATATGAAACTTTTTGAAATCTCCAAGAATTTCGAAAATTTCTCATCAATTTTATTTTTCCTCAACCTCTACGGAAAAGAGATTGGTGGGACATATGGCTTCAATGGAGGGGAAGGAATTGGTATATAATTTTTTTTCTTCTAAGGATTTCTTGACAGTGGCTTCTGGGATGGTGATTGGCAGTGAAACTGCATGCCCCATTTCCGCCCCAGACTTCTCAGCTTCTTTTTCTTTTTATAATTCTTCTTTTTCCAAGTCAACCGCAGTATTCACTTGCTTCCCTTTACGAAGCGTGATTGCCTTTGCTTGTTCTTTATTTTTTGGGTTAACTTCGGGTTGGCTTGGCAATACTCTTTGGTTTCTTCTACTCATTACACTAGCTAATTGGCCTAATTACACCTCCAAATTCTAAATAGAAGCATGCTGATTCTGAAGTTGGGTTTTTGTTTCAGTCATAAATTGAGTGGTAGACATAGTCAACTGAGTAAGCGCATCTTCCAAGTTTATTTTCTTCTCTTGAGGCAGAAAGCCAGGTGGTGGCCTCTGCACATTCTGATTATTGCTTCATGAAAAATTTGGATGGTTTCGCCAACCGAGGATGTATGTATTGGAATAAGGATTATTCCTTTGTCGATTAAATTCTGCAACTTGATTGACTTACTCAGCAAACACGAATGGGTTCCCTGTAGTGCACTCTGAACTTGCATGAGGTCCTGCACAAAATTCACAACCAAAATTAGTATTAGTGTTCACAGCAATTACACTCAAAGAATCAACTTTTTTAGTAAGGTTAGAAATTTGTGTTGTTAGCAAACCCATAACATTAACTTCCAAGACCTCAGCTGGCTTCAGATTCATTCTCTCACTTAGCCATTGGTAACTGTTGGACGCCATGGTCTCCAATAGTTCAAATGCTTCGGTAGCCGTTTTTGCCATTAAAGCCCCTCCAGCCAATGGCGAATCCATAAATTTTTCAAAAAAAGGGCAATATTTAAAAGGCTAAAAGTTCAAAAACAAAATTTAAACAACCAAATTTCTTTAGAATTTAAACAATACTAATGTCATTGATGAAAAAAAAAACAGCACAAACAAAACGTGGAAAGCCTCTTTGATGCATTTAGTCAAATACATAGTGGGCGCTAGCCAAAGTTTTAAACGGTGGTGAGGGGTAAGCTTTTTGAGATATCAATTGTTACCTAATAAAACATACCTTGGGATCAACAGAGGTGCATACTCCAGACTCTCCACAAGATTTTCTGACAAAGGAAAGTGCAACTGCACTTCCTTGCACCTCTGTAGGTTCGCCACTGCCTCCAGCTGCTGCATCAACTAATGTCCTGCTTGTTTGACTCAACCTATTGTAAAAAGTCTGAATCCAGGTTGGTAGCTTATGGTAAGGACACTTGCGCAATAAATCTTTGAATCGTTCCCAGGCTACATAAAGAGGCTCCTTATCATATTAAGTGAACGACATAATATCTTGCTAGAATTTTGCAATTTTGATTGGAGGGAAAAACTACGCAAGGAATTTCTTGGATAAACCATCCCAAACTCCTTCAACTCCTTACACAAGTTAGTATCGAAAAACATCCTGCCATACCAAAAGGGAAATTATACAACAATATCCATCAAGTACAAAAGCTAAAACTAGTGTTAATTTTTATCAAATTCGATTTATGTAAACTACGTCATGCAAATTAACGTGTGCATAGTACGTAGTTGGAGTTTATCTGAACCTAGCTTTGAAAATAAAACAAAACACATGCAACGCCCAAAAACAAAATAAGAAAATAACTCTTGCAAGAGATGATGACGCCTCTTTACCCTCTTTCTCTTATCTTTCAAAGTTTAAGCGGTGAAAGATAAGAAATTATTGTATGGTACTAGAATATATTTACGTGGTTTATTTTTGTTGACATGTTATTGATGCAGGAGCATAGGGGTGGATCAAGATAGATATTTATCATTTAATTAGTTATTTCATGATATATTGTTATTTTCTTATTTAGGTAGTTTTAGGATATCTTTTATTATTTATGTGTGATTTTATAATTAATTAGTTGACTTTTGGACCAAGCAGTCTTGGTGCCCAAGTCTTGTAAAGCCTATAAATAAGGCTATTGTAATAGTTGTAGAAAGAGGGAATATTGATGATTAATGAAATAGTTTATTTGTGGCATGGATTTGCTACGATATATGTGAGTTTGCACTAGCCCTAGATTTCGGTGCTCATGTATCTAGGGCTAGTGCAAATTCACATATATCGTAGCAAATCCATGCCACAAATAAACTATTTCATTAATCATCAATATTCCATCTTGCCAAAAGGTAGATTCTCTCCAAATTTTAATTTTTTTTTCATTAATATGTGTTTTTGGAGTTAGTTTTGAGTTTGTGTGGGGTTTGGGGTTGAGTAAAGGGGAGGGATTGGAGTTTGGGTTGGATTTGTGGTATAACAATTTTAGGGGAGATTATCCCTTTTTTTTAATTGTACTTTGTTAATTTATGTGTACATTTTGAATATTATATATATATATTTGTTGGATAATTTGATCACTATTTTTCATATGTAATTTTATTTTGAATATGTCAATTTAAATTAAAGTAATTAAATTTAAAAAGTAAATATTTGAATAAATTAATATCAATTTAAATTAAAGTAACGAAAAAAATCATACAATTAAATTAAATTTAAAAATTAAAAATTCGAAATAATTAATATAATTAAATTAATATTAAAGAAATAATAAAACAAAAAGTCAAAAACCAAAATATTTTGTCACGCAAAACTCTAAAAATTTGGGCGGGTACAAAAAATGGGACGCGGGAATTTTTTTTTAAAATTTTTTCGTCGCGCAAGGTTTTGCGCGACCAATATGTTTCGTCGCGCAAAGTCACTTTGAGCGACCAATATTTTTTCGTCGCGCAAAGTCTCTTTGCGTGACGAATGAAAAAATTTCGTCGCGCAAAGTCTTTCTCCACGATCTTTGCGCGACGAAGTTTCTGTCGTGCTAAAATTTGTGCGACTATAATGTATTTTGCGCAACGAAATTCTCTTCGTTGCGCAAAGTGAAAAATGTAGTAGTGATATCACATGACCGTGTACTACACTATAATTAATTACTTGTTAAAGAGAGTGGAGCAATGAGTTGTGATTATGATTTTGGTTGTTGTGAGGATTCGATTAGTTCTAATCCAAAAATGAAATAAAATAAAATAAATTAACCCCACATAGAGCCCTCTATTATATATATTACCGTTATGCCAGCTTTCTACTCTAACCATGTCCATGTCATGATGATGATGCACCATTTCATGTGAAATCATATCACCTTTTCCTTTTACAACACCAAAAGAATTATCCCTCTCACTCGCAAACAAACAAAAACACATACACACACAGAGAAATTAAGTAAGAGATATGAAAAGACAGGATAGTAGTCTGCGCTCAGCCTCCTCACGCGGCGAAAATGGAACAGAAAATCTCCACGCAAAGACCGTCGGCTGCATGTCCGGCATCGCCCACTTTCTTTCTAAATACCACTCTTCCCGCAAATTCCTCACTTTTGGTTTGTTCCATTTTTTTCTTCTTCTTTATCTATATATTTTGTTCTTCTTCTTCTTTATCTATATATTTTGTTCATCCATCTCTCTCTCTCTCCATATAAATATATATTTCATATATTTTCTAATTTATGTTTTTAATTATTTTCAGGGAGAAAGCAAGAGAAGAATGGGGCTGGTTCCTCTTCTAGAATATCAAAGTCCTCGACAGCAATCCAAGCTTCCACACCGCCTATGTTAGGTCAGGTAAAAAATGGAGACAAGTCCATTTATCTGCGTAGATTCTCATGCAACATACCAAGAAGTCCCACGCTTCCGGCAGAGATCCGGCGCTCCAACTCTGTGGACCCGCCTGAGAACTCCCCAATCCCACCAACCCTAATTGCAAGGCTGATGGGGTTGGAACAGGCTCTAGCTCCGCAAGTCATGCCAAAGACGGCGGTGCCAGAGCCCACATCCACCAATAAGAGGCAGCAGCTTTTGGGCGCATTGGAGAAGTGTGATGAAGACTTGAAGGCCCTAAAGAAGATCATAGACGCCGTTCGGGCAGCGGATGGGCTCCGATCACCCGCCGTGGTGAAGCGAATGGAGGCCATTGGTGACAAGAAGAAAAGGTTTTATGGTGCAAATTCAAAGCGCTTGGAGTTCGGTACTGAGCATCCGAGTCCGGTGTCCGTTCTTGATGAGTCTACTCGTTCCCCTTTCAGCAACCACCAACACTACAGAAAGCAAGTGTTAAATTACGGTATGTGCCATGTCCTCTCTTTTCTTCCTTACAACTTTTTCTTTTCTATTTTGCTTTTGGTACTTATAACCATCTAGCATCTCAGTCTTTAGTCTATTTTTTTCTTATTTTTAATATTACATTTAGAAGATATCAATCTTTCGCCCTTAAAGCTTTATTATATTTATTTAGTAAATAAGTTACTTATACAAATTCTTTAATGTGTGTGTGTCATCGGGCATGTTTAGCTTGCTCCCTTTCCGCAATGTGCGATTAAAGCAATCTTGTTGTTTCCTTATACAAATTGTTTAATGTGTCATAGGCCAAAATGAGCAGAAAAACTTACTTGTAATATGGATATTACTATTTTGTTATTTCCGATCAATAACACAATGATACGTGAAAAAGTTATTTACGTATCATTGTATTATTAGTTGGAATAACAAAACAGTATTATCCCTGTTGTATGAGAATGTTTCTCTAAAATGAGATGTAAACTACCAACCCAAAGACCGAATATTTATAAAAAAAAGTTGATGATGTAGTGGAAGCTCTCATAGGTGCTTCACTTTACCTCCTGACATCCATATATTAAAAGTCTGAATTTGCCCACCTCAATTAAGTCATATGCATATAGATCTGGTTTCATGTGGTTATTGTCTACTAATTTCTTGCCGCAGTTGATTGCTAAATATTTACTTGCTCTTTCAATATTTTCATACGGAAATTGCATTCAACTTGAAGTGGGAGCTTGTAGCTTTGCCTTCCTTTATGACGAAAATAGAAAGAAAAAAGAAACTAATAAAACTTATTAAAAAATAAAATAAAAAAGGAAGTTAGAATCTGACAAAACAAGGTCCAAGCACATGAAGATTTTACACCAAACAGAAGATTAGAAGAAAAAGTCACCCCTAGGAATGTTTCTTTTGTGTCCGAAGAGAGCATCCCTAGGAAAAAGTCTGCTATGCTCCACCAAAGATTTAGGATTCCAAGTTAACATCTTCCATGTACATGTTGTGGCCATCATAACCATACTATAGTGGGAGACAACCTAATTGATCTCTTCCATCATACTATGTGCAATCATTAATCATCAACACTATATATATAGATTAAATCATCGAGAGATATTTAGTCATATACTCATTCTTAGCATTAAAACTATAAATAAACCCAACACCATTTAATTTCTATAAACAAACCCAAAAAAAGACAACTGACCCTATTGAATTTAATTTTGATTATTAAATAACTTTCATGCTCTACTAAGTTTTTTGGGTTTTTTTTTTATGGATTTTTGGTTTTTTTTGGAAGAAGATATTTTTTGTTTGTTTTTAAGAAGTAAAAAAATATTTATTTTTTTTTTTTTTTTTTTTTTTTTTTTTTTTTTTTTTTTATTGGCAACATAAAATTTTACATAACAACCAAGAAACTAGAAAACCCAAAATTAATTCAACTTATAGAACACCCATTTCTATCAAAATAATAATAATAATAATAATAATAATTTATAGAAAAATATTTAAATAAAAACCAAAATTGACAAAGGAACTTAACTTAGAGATATTTGATTATATACCCATTCTTAGCACTATTGTTATAGATAAACATTATACCATTTAATTTCTATAAACAAACCAAAAAAAAAAACTCTACTATTGCCAGCTGTCCTATTTTTTAGTTTACTTAATATACTAATTTTCGGTTTTACCCTTTTGTTTTAAGTGTTTTAGATTTCTTGTGAGGTTTTGAGATTGAGCTAGTTTTAAGAAAATCAATGATAGTTTTGTAAATTACAGAAAGTTCAAAGCCTCTTCGTTATATTGTAAATGGATTTTGGCAGCATAAAAAATGAATCAATATGAAGAAAGACAAACCTATTAAGAGCCTTATTAACTTTGCATGGACTATAAATCTGAAATTCCTTCATGATGGAGTCAAAGTTGGTTCAAAAGCAAAAGGAGAGTGAGAGAGACAAATGGAAAGGAAAGGAAGACAAACCCTAATGGATTTACCTGGCAAAACCCTCTTTTGCAGGCTGTGGGTTCCATGACCACTTTGTGTATGGACTAGTATATGTTTAAAGATTTCCCCCCCCCCCCCCCCCCCCCCCCAAAAAAAAAATACACGCTTAAAGCTACGTCTGGAAAAAGCATGTGCACTGCGCGTGGGGACAGCCTTGTTGAGGACATCATGCATTATGTAATGATGTACAATTTATGCGTGCATCCCTATGCAATTGCTATGTCTACAGCTAATGGTTATCCAAACACAGACAATCCGCTACACACAAGAAGTTTGTAGTTCAAATCGTTAAGAATGTTTATTTTTACATCTAAGATCTAAGATCTCAAGTTCGAGTGCTATAACAAGAGTTCTTTATTTAAGTGTACATTTTTCAATTAAATTATTGCAAGATTTTTTATTTATTTTTTACTAAAAACCAAAAAATCATTACAGTGTTGAATTTTCATAAGTCATCATGGGCTGCAAGGTAGGGATGGTCCATGGAATTAGTACTCAACAGTGAGCACTTTTGTAATGAGTCTACTCTATTTCGTCAATTCTTTTGGTTCATGCAATTGCGCACGAACATGTGTGTAGTAATAATAGCATGATTTTAAATCGACGGGCCGACCTGTTTGACACCGCTAATATATTATGTAATTTTTTTAAAAAGAATCTATGTAATTTAATTTGAATGCAGGGCGAGCACAACCTCAACAACAAAGGAAGAAACCAGGAGAAGAGGACTTCATCAACATCAATCCAAGTATGATTGACAAAATCACAACCGAATCAGTGGAAGCATCATCATCACCATTAATATGGAACAGCAACGCCATGCGAGAGAGTGTAGAGGAAGTGTGCAGGGACATTGCTTGGGGGGAGAGGAGAGAAATTGGAAGAATAGGGTTGGCTTTACAGGACCACATTTGCAAAGAGTTGATCCAAGAGATGGTCACAGAAATGGGATATAGTTGTGTGTATTCACTGCCCTTTGAGGCATGTAAGAGAAGACTACGTTTCTAATTGGTGTGTACTACTTTAGTAACATGAATGATTTTTGGGGATTTTATTATTATTATTATTAGTGTTTTCTTTTTCTTTTTGGTGATTAAAATGACTTGGGTGATGCTTTTCAGTTTCAATCATTTGGCTTTTTTTTTTAAAAAAAAAAACTCAACAAAAAGCATTTCCGTTGCCGGGACTTGAACCCGGGTCTCTCGGGTGAGAGCCGAGTATCCTGACCAACTAGACTACAACGGAACTTGTTATATTCTCGGCTACAAAAGACTTATATGTTTTTGCATGATTGTCCTGTTTTGCTAATGCAGCTTATCTGCTGCTTTGGACAAAGTTTAGGGGATCATATTGTTGTCTGGAGAGCAATCTTATTGGAACCTTGATATCCAAACTTACAAGAAAAACATTTTAGATTTTCCCAACAGGTGTATTAAAAGTACAAGTAATTTATTTTGCCCGTAATCTTGCCAATCTCTGTGTCATAAAGACTAAGAACAAGTTTGAGTTGATGCTGCAATCATTCGCTCTTTGGTAACCCCAGCATTGCACATGTTGGCAAAAACTCGTGTGTATTGCATTCCATAATTCGAGAGTGACCCACAATATTTCTCATAAGTTCTCACCTGCATCAATGAATCAGTATCCAAATTAACCAACATATCAAAGAGTCTGTACACTACGTTTAGTTCATAACTGAAAAAAACTTACAAGCGTCTTGAAGCAGCTCCAATCATCCACAAGGCTTTGACTCTGAGGTCGAAAATTCTTCAAGTTACTCTCATGTCCGAACAAAAGCCACCGGATTTTGTCTACATTGCCGTCGATGCGCTTCCTACGATCAACTTCGGCACGTAGTTCCTCTCTAGCTTCATGCCTCTCATCAGACCCAATCGGAGCATTACGCGACTGGATTAATATACAAATAGAGATTACATTTGAGATTTAGAACTAATATAGTAAACCATCAAAGCTGATCAAAGAAGTTAAAATTAGTTAGGAAGATAGAGAGATCAGAGACCCTGAGCAAAAAGTGAAGGAGATCTGCGTCGTGTTGGTTGATAATCGATCCTAAGAGCGATGGTGACGATTCACTTTGGGTGTAAGAAGTAGAGTTATCATTTGAACCCATGTAAGAGAAGAGTAAATCGTTGGCTTGATTCAGATTTCCATACTGAGTAACATGAGAACCTAGTCCCTCAGTAGTATTTCTTGTTCTCTTTCTAACCTGTATCCCATTTGCAAATGTAGCCAACACCAATCAAAGCATCAATGGAGAGAAAAAAAACCAAGTGACATAATTAATAACGAACTAACTAAAATAAGTATATAATTCATAAAAAATAACATAATCAAAATAGCGTATATTTCAGTTGTTGCAGTTAAAACATATATAAAAATATTTGTAAGAGGATATTATAAGTTTCGATATTTTACTGCTTCATATTGCTGTTCAAAAGTTTCTTTCCGCAAATCTTTGATGTCGCTGCTCCCCATGTACATAAAAACACCAAAAATCATCAAAGTTAAAAAGATAAGGATTAATTGAGATAATCAGTAGTTAACGAGAGCAGTTGTGCTCCCCACTCTGCACCCGAATTCGAATCCCCCTCCCAATAGTTTAGATTAGATTAATATAGAATATCATTTGTTGGCCTCTTTTAGCTAATTGGTTGTGTCCCGTAAACTTCTGTTGTGAATTAAATCCAACAAATTGAGACTAAATAATATTCAGAAAATAGTACGTACCAATCCTCCATCCAAGAAATACTATACAAGTCTCCCAAACAAGTGGTGTATCCTGCGGGAGGACCAGGATTAAAACCGGGACAATATGTTCCCCAACTGTTTTCCGTTGCATTTGCTGCTGTGGTCGCATAGATACTTATATTGTTTGGAAGGAGGCCCTCGAACATGCTCCCAGATTCACAAGATTCAAGGTAAAATACCTAAGTTTTTTCAAAGATCATTAGTTAGAATATAAATCCATTAAAAAAATACAAATTTATAAATAAACCCAATCCTAGACATGTATTTATAAAAAGCCCAAGCACTATTTAAACATAGAAACACACCCAAAATCAACCCCAAGATCAACAATTGTATATTTTTGGGTGTGTTTATAAATGGGTTTTGAGTGTGTGTAATGATGGGTTTTGGGTGTGTTTATAAAGTGTTTTGGGTGTTGGGTTTTTTTATAATTTCAGTCCCCATTTTGGGTGTTTTAGTGAAACTCCCTTAAAAAAAGACCATTTCTTATAGTTTTATTTTACCATATCTTTGTAGGACTTGGCTTCATGCTTCTGTTTCAGAACATCCACTAGATCGTTTGCATAAACATAGTCGCCTTCAGGCATCCCTACACCAGATCATTGAAAGAAAAAAAGGTTGGTAGGTTGAATATGTACACTAATAATATGTAAATTACTTCTATACGTACGTGTGATATTTGGGAAGGAGGATTCAAACACAGAACCTCGGGTACAGGAATATAACTGCTCTTAACAACTTTAGCTACAAACTCCTCGCTAGAAATTACATTCTTAGATTAACTAATGTAAGTTACTAACCGATTATTCCAGCGGCACCATGGTCTGTATAGTAAATAAAAATGTTGTCATTTGGACCACTGTCTAGAACCTTGCCACTACCCCCGGTGAGAGCAGTTTTATTTCCAAGAATAACGGCATAAAGATTGGCAGCGGTCACATGGTTCCTGTATAATCCTGCAAAAGCGAAGTGTATATATGTCAAACAAACTAGTATACTTATTTTAAAACTGAGATTAGGTGCTCAAACGAATCAACTCGTAGCACTACATTAACATGTCACGTGTTGCTACTGTCACACTAAATAATTTCTCTTTTTCTCATCTGAATTAATTAAAATTTATTAACAAAAGAAAAGTAAAGAAACCTTGGGAACTCCTTCGTAAACATCTGGACCATCTGGCTTGTTGATGATGACACCAGGTCTAGGGTTCTGAACATTGAATGCAATGTCATCGTACATAAAAACAATAATGTTTTCATCTTTCAATCCGCCTTTCTTCAATATTTGATATGCATGACATACATCGGCCTGCAATATTTCCAACAAACTATCTTAGAAAAATAATTATAATTAAAAAAAATTAGATGTTCCATTTCAATATGAATACATATAAAAAAAAAATTATATATATATATAAGAGGCCTAAAGTGCTAATCAATTATATGGCACTAATCACTTGTTCTCTCTCTCTCTCTCTCTCTCTCTCTCTCTCTCTCTCTCTCTCTATATATATATATATATATACATATATCGGACGAGTAACGCTACCTTGTAAGGCTATGTTGTTATACAAGTACACTTATTTTTCAAACCATATGAATCACAACAAAATTTGGCGAAATCAATATAATCAAGAGTCGACATTCATAGTCTAGCAAGACAAGCATATTATGTTACTAGACAATTTGACGAAAGAACAAAAATTAAACGAGCCCGAAATTTTTTAGTTTTTGTTTTCACTTTTATTATTCCTCCCTCCCATCCTCCCCTCTAATCTTCCCCCTCAATCACATATTCACTCTCATTCTCACTTCCATTCTCTGTCTTTTCCCTCCATACTAGCACAAAAATTAAAAAATTAAAAACTAAAAACTAAAATTGAAATAGTTATCAAACAGGCCCTTAGTGAATTGATTATACACCTGATGCCTATAGTTCTGATAACCATATGAACCAGCAACTAGGACTGCCCATTGGTTCCATTTTGCTCATCAGTCGCAGTAGATGATGATGAGCCACTGTCAACATGAATGATGAAATCCTCTGGAAATTCTGATGGCATCAACCTGGATGCATTTGCGCAAATCAGACTTAAGGTTGCAATGAATATAAGAAATGTACCACAAAGGTGCCCAGCCATCATGACTTTGCAATGATATTAACAAGTAAAACCAAACCAACTATATATTTGTAGGGTTTCTTAGTTGAAAATGAATGGTTGAGAGACTGAAACTTCGATACAAGATAGAGGTATAAGTTAAGATAATGGATTAAATTAAGTTCAATAAATACAATGCAAACCAGATATATAATTGTTTTTTATAATGGAAAGTTCATCATTTGTCACGACTATACATGCAAGGCTTCAAACTTGCACACATCCTCTTCGATTTCCACAATATATATCTGTGTATAATGCAAAGCAAAGCTAGCAAGCAATTAGCTTATGCAATAGCCAGCTAGCAGACTAATCTAAGCTAATTTAAAACTAAGCTTTGGCAACCTGTACTTTTCTAGTCTCATACTATTTCTTTTCTTCCCATGTTTTTCTCGCCTCATGTTAAAACACTCAGCTTCAAGAAATTTACATCGAGCTTTAGAAGTATTCGCATGATAAGTGAAAAAGAAAGACGGGAACAAGAAGGAAAAGGGACATGATAAAAAACCTATTTTATTATTCCCTTTGATATGGGTTTATTTGTTTATTCGAACTTACAAGTAACGACAATTAGAAGAAATGGAATGAATTCCATTCTTGATTTTCTCTATGTTTATTTGCATCATTTAATACGCGGGCCTAACTTTAAAAACTTTAATCAAATACCCTACAAATTAGGAGTTGGATCAACTAAGAGGGGTAGTTACCGATACAATGTTAGTTGGATTGGCCCAGGTCCTTAGTGTACTCCCAAATGGTCCTAAGTTCAAGTCCCCATGGTACTCGTGTGTGAGTTTTCCCCCCTCCCCTTCCTAAAAAAAAAAAGAAAAAAAAAAAAAAAAAAAAAAAGGGGGTTAGTCTTATTCTCATTCCTTGTTTATGCTATTCCATTTCCTCTTATTCCCATTATGTATTGGAAATTGAAAAGAGAAGCACCACTAAACCAAATAAACTTGTTGAAATCATCACATGGTTAGAAATGACAAAAATTTCTTAGTCTTCATAAGTGCCGAAAGCACCAAATCTTAAGGATTGAATCCAAGAAAAAACGCACAGAAAATAAGTCCAAGAACAAGAAAATAGAAAGATACATAATTTAATGAAGTTCCTCATGGCCAGTGTCACTTGAGTACAACCTCATAGCAGTATGAGCAAACAAATCAATTGTCAATAAATTAGAGTGTTTACAAAGTGTTTGGAGACCTCAACCCCGAATACACTTAGTGGCTCTCACTAAAAGAATAAACAAATAATCATACTCAGCTAAGTGCTGATTTGGTATTGGTTATTGGGGTCCATATTATTTTGATATTTTTGAAAGCCCAACCTATTTCGTAACATGTAAAAAAAATCACTTATTGTGAATAATTTATATGTGTTGGGGTCTTTTTTCGTCGAAAGACTTGTTTGGGCTTGTTGATTCGTGGACCGCCATATAGTGATGAATCAAGCCTTCGTTGCCCCTTTCTCTGAGTTAGTGAGAACTAGGCTCAAGGCATCCCAAAGGAGAAGCAAGTCCTAGGGGAGTACTCTGTTGTTCTTCCAGTGACTGCGTGTTTTGTGTTGACGTTTCCGGCAGCTCTGAAAATAGTTGGAGATTGTGCATTGATGTTGTATAGGCTTTGCATGAGAGTTTGCTTTGGTGAATCAAGATATTACTAGGCTTAGCATGAGAGGCTTGTGGCGTGGGAGCTAAGAGCCCATAAGTTTAACAAGTGAGAGAGTTGGAAAGGTAAAAGCTTGGAATTGTAGCTGGACTATATCTTCCGGCAGCTCTGGAATTGCTCCCACCAACTTGAATGGGTTTCTTGAAACAGATAAAGTTAACTATGATGCTTGACTCTTAGGATGGTGATTACATAAATGCTTGGGTGATATTCAGGGTTTAACATGGTCTTCTAAGAGAAAATGAGCATAAAGAAAGGTGATGACTATGGTTTCAACTTAGCTTGAGAGGATGGGTGTTTCATATATGGGATGGATCTTTTTAAGAGAGAGAGAGAGATGGGGATGAATGGATGAGTGGCTTGAGTAGATTTTCCAGCAGCATGATGATTGCTTGGTTGTGCTCTGGATGGTTGAAGATAATTTGTTGATGTTGTACCGAGATTGTGTGAGCTTGGCATGAGGGCTTGGAGTGTGGGAGCTAAAGACCCACAAGTTTAGCAAATGATAATGCATGTGATTGGCTTGGTGTTGGATATGCTTGAGTTGGGTGTTGAGAATTTGTTGTTTATTGCTATAGCTATAGGGATTTAAGAGTTTCAAGAAAATGAGAATAGGAGGAAAAACTTGAGGCTTGAAGGATATGGTGTTTATAACTTGGTAGAGTATGAGGAGGAAGGAAAGGCTTGGGAGTTATGGCTGTTGGGAGCTTACAGCAGCCAAGAGAATTGGTCGATGGTCGCCGAGATGCTTACAGCAGTCAAAGAATGGAGGTTGATGGCTCAGGAATGACTGTGATGGCTGCTGGAATGCTTGCAGAAGCTAAGAGAAGGGAGACTTCTCATGGTTGCTGAGAGGCTTGCAGCAACCAAAAGGAGTTGGTTTTGCCTGGGCAATGCCTCCTAATTTATAGAAGGTGGAGGCTCTCTTTCGTTCCAATAGGTAAAAGGAAGTGTTGGAGCTAGTCTATTTTCAGCGGGTAATAAGGAGCATTGGGACATTCTTATTTCCAGCAGGTAAAGGTAGGCATTAGAAAATGACTATTTTCTATAGGTAAAAGGAAGTGCTTGAAGAATATCTCATTTGCTCACCCACATTGAAGAACTCCAAGTAATGGACTTGGACTTTGGTGCTCCCAAGTAGCTAGCTCAAAGTCTCCATTATCTAAGAGCTTCTATGGGCCTTGTGGACCTTCGTAACTTTCCACACCACAATCCCTCGTGCAAGCCTCGTAAACCACATTACTTGGGTTCATGTGAGCTTGGTAGGTGATTGACATAGGTAAAATGTATTAGCGTGACATGGAGTTATTTGGCATGTGCTTGGAATGGTTGGGCATGTGTTACAATGACTTGGGCTTTTGTGACCGAGCTTAGTGACATATCATAATTAAAAGAATAAGTTTTTGGCATGACATGGATGCTATTAGAATTTGTATAAAAGCTTATGTACATATTTATTTTGTCAAATTAATTCCCGAAAATATAATTAGAATTAATACGTGACCAATTTATCCCTATTTCATACGTCATATTGGGCTTTAAATGCTTTTGGGCCTCAACAATATGATGAAAAGCAATTAGGAAAAGCAGCTAATGATCTGCTTTCATTTAATTATGCGACAATAAGGTTTTGGAGGGTGCTGAATTTTAATAAAAATTTCAAATTTTCGAAAATTGTAGTATAACAAAGTAGCTCATACTCACTTGTATATTATTCATTTTGGTGCCCACTATTTATATCATTCATCACCCATAATTGGTAGGGTACAGTGCATAATAACAAACCCATAAATATTGTAAATACAATCATTAGTAATTATGGTAGCTATTATGGGTGTCGTCCATAACTTTTGAATTTACAAAACTCCCCTATTCATCCACCATGTATGGAATATGCCTCGTTAAAAACCTTGCAAGTAAAACAAGATAGGAAATAACCTGGACAAAGGGAAAAAGAGTACATGTCCATCTGTAATATAGAATGTTCGACACTACCTCATTAAAACCTTATCATGAAAAATCTAGTAGGATAAAAACCTGAACGAAGGAAAAGGTCTAGATGTTTGAATTGATGCATTCCAATATTGTTGACCATCTTTCTAGATGTTGTAGTTAGTAATGCTATAGTGAGTAGTAACTCTGCAAAATTGTTGTTGGATTGTTTCTGTTGGACATTTATCTCATCATTCTTCTGAAGCTCATGCGTATTGAAAATTTTTGGTGAAATATGCTTGGTTTTCACTACTACAAAAAGTGAAAAAGACGACCACAAAAACACGACGGTCTACGTGAAAACCGTCGTTGTTTTTAAAAGACGACGGTTTTATAAAACCGCCGTGTAATAACACATTAGACAACTAAAAAATGGAGTTTCAAATGGCTGTTCCAAAAACACGACGTACTTAATTAAAAAACCGACGTCTTATTGAAATAGGATTTTCAAGAGGTAAAATCATAGCCAACAAATAACGGCGGAAGTTATGAACCGACCGACGTAGAAAGTAAAGACGACGGTTTCAAAAAAAGCCGTCGTTTTTACCCAGAAATTAACACGACCAAGTTTTCGTATAAGGCGACGTAAAATTACAAATAAATCCACGGCGGTAAAATACAAAATACCGCCGTATTAAATTAATGTACAACTACGGCAAAGGTAAATATAACGACGTCTTTCTCGTATTTCTACGACGACATCTTTCAATCTTACCAAGTTGGGGTTTTCATATAACGACGTATTATAGAATTTAACGTCGTATTTGTCCACTTTATACGTCATAAATTATATTTAAACCGTCGTCTGAATAAGAATTTTTTTTAACAATTTATTTCTTCGATTTTGTTATCCTACGTCGGTAGATCTACCTAACGACAAGAATTGAAATAACCACGACGGTTTATATAGAAAACCGCCGACATAATCAGATTATTCTGAGATCACAAGGGTTAGGAAATCTTACAAGATGGAACTCCATCTGTTGCTCATCATAATCTTACCAGAAAGACAATATTTTAGAGGTTAATGATGTATGTGTATTTGTGTCTTTGAGATACACAAACGCACATACACATTAACATCCAAAAAATTGCTTCTGAAATTTGACGACGGCAGCCTCAGATTTGCAATCAGAGAGACAATTTTTTGGAAGTTGATGATATGTGTGCGTTTGTGTATCTACACAAACGCACGCACACATCAACATCCAAACAATTGCCTCCTAAAATTTCACGACGGCAGCCACAGATTTGCAATCAGAGAGACAATTTTTTGGAAGTGAATGATGTGTGTGCGTTTGTGTATCTACACAAACGCACACACACATTCACATCCAAACAATTGCCTCCTAAAACTTCACGACGGCAGCCACAGATTTGCAATCAGAGAGACAATTTATTGAAAATTGGTGATTGCTGATTTGCAATCAGCCACAGATAACCAACATTCAAACAATTGCCTCCCAAGAGATGAGGTGAGACAGAGAAAGGGGCAAGAAGAAGTTGAAACCCTAATCGAATACTAAAACTGAAAGAACCCGTGGAAAAAAACCCTATTTATAATTAAAAAACCAAATCCACGTCGGTTATATTACACATAACGACGTTTAACAAAAAACAATCCTCGTCGGTAACAAATACATTACGTCGTTTTATTCTTACTTAAGACGACAAGAAACGACGACGGTATAACAAAAACAGTCGTTGTTTTATATTTTTATTTGATTTAAATCAGTCACCTAGAAAAGAAACTTTACAAATTCTAGAACATTAATTTCCTCGGGAAAAAAAACTATATCTATAAGGCACTGTTTTTGAAAAATACACTATAAGAAAAAGGGGAAAAAATTATATTTAATAAAAAAAATAAAATCCACGTCGGTTATATTACACATAACGACGTTTAAAAACGAATCCACGTCGTCGGAAAAAATAATACGTCGTTTTAGTTTAGTGTTATCCACGTCGGTATATTACAATAAAACGACGTATATTATAAAAATAAACGTCGTAACTTTAAAACAACCGTCGTGTTAAATATTTCTACCATGACGCGAGATATTGAGTTATCGACTTTTATTTAGGAGTTTACTACGGCGGTACCTACAACACTACTGTCGTATTTATGTACCACGTCATAAGTTCAAATTAGCGTCGTAGTTTGTCTATTAATACGTCGTCGTTCTATGTAAACCGCCGTCTTATTACTATGAAACGGTTTGTATACATATACAACTTTTCGTCTACCTGACTTACACATGCACTGTTTCCAAACCCGAGAAAAACATTTCAATCTCCCAGAGAAAACTTTTCGTCTTTTTTCCTTGTCAGAGCACTGTCAGAGTATCTCATCGTCTTCCTCTTGTCTTCGTCGTCGCCTCTGAACTTAAACACCAAAATCCGAGAGAAAGCTTTCATTGCACGCAAAAGGTAAGCTTTCATTTCTCACTATTTTTGTTGCTATTTTGCATGCTCATACTGTTTTTGTTTTGAAAATCTTTTTACCTTTTTTCTGGCGAAAATCATTTTTATTCTTTCCAAGTTTGATAAAATACACAGACAGAGAGGGAAAGTTTCAACTTTGAACATAACTAATTCAACTAAATAAGACGACGGTAGCTTTTTATTTACGTGGTTAAATATGTAGACCACGACGGTTCGTCAGTCGTCCTAGCGTCGTCTTAAAATTGATCTAAGTTGTTTTTAAAATGACGGTCAATTTTTTATTTGCTTGTTTAGTTGCAGGTTTGATTTCTCTGAACCATGGTTTTCGTTTTTCCTAATTTGATAAAATACAGAGACAAAGAAAGTAGGGTTTGGTATCTTATATAGACGACGGTATCTTATTATTGACGCCGTGTGAATGTTCATACCACGACGTTATACTAAGATACCGTCGTCTATAAAAAGATGCCAAAGCTTTTTTTCTTTGTATTTTATCAAATTAGGAAAAACAAAAACCATGTTTCAGAGAAATGAAACCTGCAATCAAACATTCACAAAGAAAGAAAAATGTTTTTGGTTTCTTATAAATACGACGGTAGCTTATTATTCACGTCGTGTGAATATCCATAACACGACGTTATATTAATATTTACGTCGTGTTAATATGAATATCACGACGTCGTGTAAATATCGCCGTAATAAGTTCTTATTACGTCTTATTTAATATTGTTTCGTCGTTGTTTAAACATTTATATTGTTCTTCTTTAATCATTTATTACGTCTGATGTTATGTTATTACGTCGTGTAAAATCTTATCATACGTCGTAGTTTATAAATAACCGTCGTTTGTGTTCTAATTTTTTTCACGAAATATTTTCACTTGCAGGTTTGTTTATTCTGTAACCATGGTTTCTCAAGACCAAAGTAAGTACTCTGGCTCCAAAAAAAATGGAGGTAAGGAGCTTGGAATGGTAACTCCTCAAGACAAGCCCTTGAAGAAGATGAAGTTTGTTTCATCTGCTGAGAAAGAACCAAGCAGCACGACAACAATTTCTGAGGATTCAAAGTCAGGTCGAGGTATGAGCACAATGCCTCGTGTTGTGAAGAGAAAATTGCAGAAAATCAAGCCAGTTGTTGAGTACAATAAAAGGGGGAAAGGATGTGGCCCTGCACATACTGAGATGCAGTCCTACATTGGTGTGTTGGCACGCTCCAGAGTCCCACTTGTGGACAAGAAATGGGCTGACATCCCCAATGATATAAAGGAGCAGATTTGGGAAGCCGTTGACATGGCTTTTGTGGTAGGTCAAGGGGGCAAGACCTCGGTGTTATCTTCTGCTGCCAAGAAATGGAAGGATTTCAAGTCTACACTGACGAGGCATTATATCCTTCCATACATCAAGGAGAGGGAGAAA